AAAGTCGTCGTAAAAGTAGATTTTCCTAATTTTCAAATGTACTTCATTCTTCTGTGCAATAATTATTTTAAGAATATGTATACATATATGAAACGGACCAGCAGTGGGTACAGGTCGTATATAATGTTTGTAACGTTTGTGCATACACATAAGCCAAACTGCGTTTCCTTTTGAGTACACAATCACTTTTCATCATAAAATGCTTATCATCGTAGTCAAAGAAACTCGTGTGCAGCAAACGAAAACTGTAAAGACATAGGCTCTCACTTCATGATATACTGAAAGATGTTTTCCATTTCGGGCGGAACCTTCAGATCCTGATACAGCTTGGGATCGTACGCGCCTTCAGCTGGTATCACGACGCCGCCTCGCTTGCGACCGCTGCCGATCAGGGGGTCGGGTCGCTCTCGTTCCATTTCTCCGCTATCTGTTTCTGAATTGTAAGATGATTAAGGCTGCTTTCAGACTACGCTATACTATAGTGCCATATATGAGGCCGTCAGCACAAAAGTGGCCTATCCTACATTTTTTCATATTCGTGGTTCTTTTTTTTCCTACCTATGCTGATGGCCTTGAGAGGCTATTTCAGCTTCACCCTAACGTGTAGGTGAGCTCACGGGGCTCAAACCGGGTTGTTGCTAACACTGGCCCTAGCAAGAGCAGTGCTTCGCAGAATCTACTACCGGATCTCAAACGCGACCCACTGAGAAGATTCGCCGAGAAACTCAGTGGGCTGTGTCTATTGGTTAATTCGCTCGTCGAGCCCCTCGTCGTAAGCGACAGGTTCGACGAGGATGGTGACCGGTGCTTGTGGTACCTAAAAGCACCGTTAATGGATCGGGAGGATCCGTAATGACGTGTTTTGAGCAACGTCGACTGTATACCATTCGGTCTACAGGATCGGCAGTCAGTACAGGTCACCAAATTCGGACCTCATTGTCTCCATACTTATTATAGTAAGCTCAGGTAAGCTTAGGCCACTTTTGCGCTGACGGCCTTATATAGTTGCCTATACTTTTTTTATTGCTTGGATGAGTGGACGAGCTCACAGCCCACCTGGTGTTAAGTGGTTACTGGAGCCCATAGAAATCTACGACGTAAATGCGCTACCCACCTTGAGATATAAGTTCTAAGGTCTCAGTATAGTTACAGTTTTAGTGATAAGACAGTCTATTGTACGGTAGAGTTGGACTTTTTGAATAGTTTGGGTTATTTCGGTGTACTATTAAACATCACATTTCAAGACCATTTGTTCGTAGGACTTATGGGCTCCGGTGACCATTTAGCACCAGGTAGGACGTGAATACCTCTATCGGTTTAGAGAAATAAAGGCTGTTAGCTGCGGTTTGTAGCAGTATTTGATATTTTTTTAACTCACCAGAATTAGAAGAATCATTACGTTTGGAGGACGCTTTGGGTCTCTCGCTGCCTGCCTTGGTAACCTTCGTAACGTTTTTCTGGACGTCATTCGCTTTCTCGGACACAAGCGGCTTCTTGTCTGGTACCTAAAACATAATGCTTGTATCTTCAGAGATCCTCGTAAGCCAGCCTTACTGGGGGTAGCACGTCTTGTGAGTCCGTATGGTTAGGTACCACTACAATACCTATTTCGGTCGTGAAGTAGTAATGTATTTCGGTTTGAAGGGCGGGACAGCCGTTGTACTGTTAAAAGTGAAACCTTACAACTCATGTTCTAAGGTTCTAAGTTCTAAAGTCTCACTACAGTTACAACGGGCAGTGAGCTAAATAAACAATAAATATAAATCATTGAATCTCAAAATATTTCTCGGTACAAACGTTAATGATGTTATAAACTAAACAATATTATTAGCTGAAGCTAACCGTTTACAGCTGCAACAACGTACAGCGTCTGGACGCGGCCACCATAAAACACTTTGATATGAGATCTCAAGGAAACGCGTTAAACGCGGATGAGAATAGAAAATTCTTGGTGCATTTTTTCAAACAGATCATTGCACTACGATGTCCGTGCGGTATAAATTCGTTAACCCGATCGCAGCCATTGGTTTTTTTAACTTAGCGTTATCTATATTCTACACTAATCTATAGTATACCATACTAATATTATAAAGAGGAAAGATTTGCTTGTTTGTTTTTATTGAATAGGCTCCGAAACTACTGAACCGATTTGAAAAATTCTTTCACTGTTTGAAAACTACACTATTACAAAAAGTGTCGCGACAGCATATGTCTAACTATTGTAGTTATGCCGCAATAAGTGTTATTTTATTTAAAAAAATAAAACAATGTCAAATATCGTTGAAATTTTTGTTAAAGACCCGAGTGGAGCCGGAGCGGGCCGCTTGTAATTTATAACGCTACAAACTTTAAATGTTGACTGCTCACTAATATAAATATTTTTATAGATTTTTCGTCATTACGATTAAGCAAAACGCCTGCCATCGGTTACGAAGAACGTAAAAAAAAACATTCTCGAATTTAAGAGAGTTCATTTTTATTTCGAATATTTCAATAAGTGCTATCTATAGTTATTCTTGTTAACAAATTACCATAATTATTATGTCGGTCAATTTAGTACTATTATTCATTCATAAAACTCGGAAACAGTTCACAAAAAGACAAAGACTTGCCTGATCGTCTAAGGACGTATTACCCAAGAAGTTCTCAGATCCCGAATCGCTTTGACTGTCAGAATCGAAGTCGTGTCGCGCTGTGTGTCTCACCGGGGGATTGAACTTGGCCATAGTAGCTCTGACCACTTCCTCGTCGCTCGAGGGGCTGTCGATCTCGCTAGCGTCTACCACAACGGTCTCGTCATACATTGGAACATTCTCAGGAGTCCTGGCCGTCTGTGACTGTTTGTCATTAGTTGCCATGGAAACGAGCGAACCGCGTTTCGGTGTGTCTATCGGGGAACTTGCATGGAAATAGCAACTTTTTGTGGTCTCATCGGATGTTTTTCGCTCACGTGGCACGGATTGGTACGAAAGTTTTGTGATGTGGTTTTATTAATTTACGTTAGATTCATTTTTTTGTAGACGCAAAACCCATTACGTCTGATCGTGACAAACGCGAAGTTAACAACAGTTGAATTGAAATAAAAATGCATGCCATTATAAAATTAGTATTATTGTTATTTATTGTTTACTGTACAAAGAAATATTACACATACGGCTCAATTTAAATTGTTTTTTTTTTTATTGCTTAGATGGATGGACGAGCTCACAGCCCACCCGGTGTTAAGTGGTTACTGGAGCCCATAGACATCTACAACGTCAATGCACCACCCACTTTGAGACATAAGTTCTAAGGTTTCAGTATAGTTACAACGGCTGCCCCGCCCTTCAAACCGAAACGCGTTACTGCTTCACGGCAGAAATAGGCGGGGTGATGGTACCTACCCGTGCGGACTCACAAGAAGTCTTGCCACCAGTAAAAAATATGTAAATTGTATGCTTCAAAGGCAAGTGGGAAAGTGGGAACTCTAACTTTTCCGGCAAACCAAAATCAGAAGTCCGTAGGTCACAAAGGTGGAAAAGTATGCATAAAATCAAACAAAACTAAAAAACCATGAAGATTCAAGAATTTAATTTAAAAATATACAATAACAAGATTCACAAATAATAATAAAACATAGATACCTACGTTTTTTTTTCTATTCATTTTGGGACAATTCTATACTTTCGAATATTATTAAGCCGAATAAGTAAAATGGTTTAAAATTATTTACTTTTTAGTATTGTTCCTCATTACACCCATAATATAAAAAGTGCACGATTTTGATATCTTTCGTCATATCGTAACATGAAATGTGTTCATAAAAGCACATGGGCACACATATAAAAGTTGCATTTAGGACGCTCAATCTGCATGATGACCTGGAACTTGATCAGTCAGTAAGTATCTACAGTCGGCATCATTGCGCCACTTTGAGAAGGCGGCACGACATGAGAACCCTCTTGTCGTGGCCGCTGGAAACTACATACCCGATCCTGTACCTACACCGAATGGTAATCAGTCGACGTCACCCAAAACACGTCATTACGGATCCTCCCGATCCATTAACGGTGCTTTTAGTTACCAAAAGCACCAGTTTAAAGTCGTCGTGGCCTAAAGGATAAGACGTCCGGTGCATTCGTTTCGAGCGATGCACTGGTGTTCGAATCTCGCTGGCGGGTACCAATTTTTCTAATGAAATACGTACTCAACAAATGTTCACGATTGACTTCCACGGTGAAGGAATAACATCGTGCAATAAAAATCAAAACCCGCAAAATTATAATTTGCGTAATTACTGGTGGTAGGACCTCTTGTGAGTCCGCACGGGTAGGTACCACCGCCCCGCCTATTTCTGCCGTGAAGCAGTAATGCGTTTCGGTTTGAAGGGTGGGGCAGCCGTTGTGACTATACTGAGACCTTCGAACTATATCTCAAGATGTGTGGCGCATTTACGTTGTAGATGTCTATGGGCTCCAGTAACCACTTAACACCAGGTGGGCTGTGAGCTCGTCCACACATCTAAGCAATAAAAAAAAAAAAAAAAAAGTCACCGAATTAACCCATAGACACAGCCCGCTGCCTTTCTCGCCGGATCTTCTCAGTGGGTCGCGTTTCCGACCCGGTGGAAGTTTATGCGAAGCACTGCTCTTGCTAGGGTCAGTGTTAGCATCACTCCGGTTTGAGCCCCGTGAGCTCACCTACTAGTTAAGGTTACGCTGAAATAGCCTCTCAAGGCTATCAGCTTAGATAGGAAAAAAGGCCGCTCCCTCATCTGCGAGATTGAATTTCTTCGTGACCTTCAGCGAATGTAAATGTGTCTAATTATCAATCAAATATGACCATAAATATGACATAGGTATAAATGTGACCTGAACTTCCTGAAGCTACTTTTATTTCCAAATAAAGCACAGCAAAGGCTTTCTGTGCATATTTTTTTGCTTCACACATATAATTTTGTTTTAAAACTAGAATAAACAAAACTAAGGTAGGTACACGGCAAGAAAAATAAAACACTAACACACAAATAGGTCAATAACTTTATTCAACTAAAAATAATGTCAAATTTCAATATCATACAAAAATAATTGGCACATACAAACCGTGCCAACTCGTGCTTAGGAAAGAAAACAGTGTTACTAATTTACAACAATTATAAAACTATGTACTAACATTAATCTAAAGTTAAATTTGTTTAACACAATCTTACAGCGTTTTTATCTGACTTACTTTTCTGTACGCATTTTAATATTTTTAGCGACATTACATCGAGTACAGATTACAAAATGATTGGACATGCGCAAGAATGATGAAACTTGCAAGGAATCCTTAATCCTTACTGGTTTATAGTAATGCAAGTTCATGGGTGGTTAGGGATAAATTTAAAATGAATTAGAACAATTTTGCGAGACTAAAAATGTAAATTTATTAATTACAATCTTACACTAATCTTAACGTGAGTTATTATAATGAGACAGATATCGACAATTCGTTGTTCATTTCCAAAAACATGGCTACGCATTTTTAAAGCTCCAATTACTATCGTTTTCATTGTTTTTAGAGATACATAAAATAAGTAATCTCTGTTAATAACAACTTTTAAGGATATCTATATATTTATTTTACATATTTTTCTATTCTCTATAGGTACAAATATATCCAATAAGATTCTACATAATTATTTAACAATGTAAAATTTTACGAGATTTAAAGTTTCAATTCACAAGTAATTCAGACTATTCACTTCATCATCTTTTTTTTTTAAAACACTGTTTAGTTATGTCCAGCATAATACAAACAGTGCATTTTTCGTTTAGAAATATTGAATGTTTTACACTCTAAAAGGCACATAATTGTTGACAAGATCACAGTGTTTTATGGAAAAAAAATTATATCAAAAATCAATTGTAATTTCGTATCACACTAGACAGTCTTGGCGCTACACGAGAACCGCGAGTTACGTAATATTTTGGCACGAAACTTGGCGAAGGGTAAACGTAAACTTAATGCGACTTATCACAAACGATAAGCCCACAAGCGACCGAAACAAGAGCTCGAATCACAGACATGCAATAAAAAAACAACAATATGTTTTTATGTTCGTCTAAAATTAGTTCAGCCGACTTTGTTTATGAGTTCGTCGCATATCGCGGTCAGTTCCTCGTTCGCCTTAGTTTTCTGAGCTAAGGTCTCCTCCAGCGACGTTATATGAAGCTCCTTGCGTTTGATCATAGCGTTTAGTTTGACCACCTCCGCCTCGTGAGATCTGTTCAGCCTCTGCAATTCGTCGTTGGCGTGATTTAGTTTCGAGGTCGCATGCTGTTTTAGCAATTCATAATTTTTATGCATTTTCGTGACGTTTTCTTCCATTTCTTTCAGTGAGTTCTTGTATTTTTCTTCGTTCGCTTTATAACTTAATATAACTTGTTTACTTTTTTCGTATTTGCTGTGTAGATCGTTGAATGAGACCTCCATGCTGGCCAGGTGAGCAGTCTGCTCATCCCTCTCGTTAATCAAAGCTATGCGTTCTTCTGCGTGTCGTTTCTTGTCTTGTTCCGTATCCGCTATCAGGCTCGCAATCGTTCTTTCATATTCTTCAACGACCGCCGCCATGCTCTTATTAATTTTAGTCTTTTCGGCGAGTTTTTCGTTCAAATCGTTTATCTTTTGCAACCGTTGCTGTCCTTCTGTTTCTAGAACTTTCATTTGGGATTCTAGATTCGTCAATCTCTCTTTAAGCTCTTTGCTCTCCGATCTTAAATTGTAAACGTGCGTCTCTTTTTCTGCTAAAATTTCGCGAAGTTGGGTCAGTGCTAAGTCCGCTTCGTATTGTTCTGGACTGAACTGAGTCGGCTCCGGTTCGAGGACAGTATTATTGCCACTAAGAGAGAGAAGTCTATCAATAACGGCCATGGCGGGAGACGTGAATGTAATAGAACGTCTGTTCGATCTGGTAGGGGTTGTGGACTTTCTTGTAGGCGCGGGGTTCACAGCCGGAGTTACTACCATCATTGGTTTGGTAACAGTCACGTTTAGGTCGTCGCCCGTGATGCTATGGTAGTCCGTTTCAAAGGTAACATTGAGGGTAGAAGGTCCTGCATCATTAGTAAAGTTTTCTTGTGTGTTTATATTTTTAGTAGGAGTGCTTTGCCTCTGTTGTATTTTCTGCAGAGCAGCCGCCATACTTTCTGTAGACATCCGTTTAGCGAACAGAGGATCAAACTTTAAGAAAAGGCTTTCTTTGCCACTATCGGCTACAACATTCGTCTTGTTTTGATTGAGGAGGAACTCAAAGGCTTCCGCATCAATGAACAATTCACCTTCAGCATTTTCATCATTCTCTGCTGCCGGTGCGTCACTAAAGTTCATCATGTCTGTTCTTTTATGGTCCACAGTAGCATTGGCATCATTATCGTCTTCGAGTTCAAGGAAGGGGCCTTCAATGGTGTCTTCATCTTCTGTATGTATTTCTGTAGTTATAGCACTATCATCATTTGATTTTGATGAAGTCGAAACACTTATGTTTACTGAAGTGTCTTTTTCCATTGCCTCTGTTTCCATTTTGTCTACAGAGTCTTTTTCCATTATCAAATGCGTACCATCAAGTTTAGATTCTGCGATTTCAACATTTTCCACAGCAATGTCTTGCTGCATCATCAATGATGAATCTGGAGAAGATTGGATTTTACTTCTCGTGGCAAAAGGATTCTCATCATGCACTGGTAGTGGCGATTGACACATCTTTGATTTTGTAACGAAAGGGTTAAAATTCATGTCATCAATTTCGGGTAAGTTGAAAACGTTTCTAGATTTCAAACCATCAGAATAGCATTGTTCAGCAGATTCATTTTTCGTTTCAAGTATTTCATCGTCTTTAGGTTTTTCTTCGTTGCTTTTGGTTTCCGATTGAATTTCAATTTTAACGACAGTTTCCACACTAATTATAGTTTGATTTGATTCATCATCAACTGTGTTAGGAATTTTATTTAGTTCTTTTGTGACTTTATTTACATCTAACGAATGTATTTGAGAAATTGATTCCATTTCTTTTTGATCAGTGATATTATCAGATATACGATCCATTGATGACTCCGAAAATGCTTTACTATTTCTTTTCAAATTAGATCTTTTTCTGTCTAAATACGATTTACGTTTATTCTGATTGCTTTTTTTAAATAGTTCAATAATTTTTTTATCATCTGTTTTATTATCTACACTTTGAATTGGTGTTTCTGGTGCAGGTGATACTCGAATATTGGTCTTCGTAGAGAACGGATCTTCCATGTCATCAAAATTGAAGTTGTATCCTTTAGAAGAGATAGGTGGAGAATTTGCTATTGGCAAATTTTCTATTGTTTCATTTTGCATACCTTGGGATACCTTGTCTAAGTCTACTGATACATACGGACTATTATTTTCAGATGTTATGAGCTCATCATCCATTACTTCACCTTGTATGTTATCTGTTTCTTTTTGAGCATCAACTAGGCCTTCCTTTACTTCTGGAATTTCTGTTTTATCATCAGTTGTCTTAACACTGGTCATTCCGAGTTCCAATTCTTGAGTTTTGTTTAAATTTATTGTAGAAATGTTGTCATTTAAAGCCATTTTACTATCTATGTTAACCTCCAGTTTTAATGAAGATTCTGTTAATTGCGTATTTTTACCATTGTGTATTTCCTTCTCAGCAAGTAATGTTTTGTTTAAAAGTGTTACATTTTGCTTATGCTCTATTTGAGATTCAATCATACAAGCTGAATCAGTCGTACTTTTTACTTCTGAACTAACACTATTAGCATTAGGTATTTCTTCTAGAGCACTTATTGCACCAGTCATACTTTTAATTTCTTCGTCAACAATATTAATATCATGAATTGCTTCAATTGTATCAATCGGTTTCGTAATTTCATTATTAACCAGAGTGAGTTCACTTATTTCATCATTTTTGTCGGAATTTTCATTGTATATTGCATTGTTTTGATCTCGATGTTTGAGTAACATAGATGCATCTTTTAGTTTTTCTGGAGAACTCTCAGCTTCAAAAGGTGTGATGTCTAATTTAGTTCGATTTTCATTTGTGACCTGTTGTTCTTCATTGGATTTGACATCAAGATCAGCTATTTCATTTGCTGATAAAGCCAAAATTTCTTGTTTACAATTCTCTACTTTCACAACGGTTGCAGTCTCATTCAATAAATCAGGTAGTACTTGTGGAGCTTGTTCTGTTTCTACGACATCAGCAAGATGTCTTTCTATATTATCTTGTTCACTTATATTCTGCTCTTCCTTCACAGTACTATCCATTTCAGCTTTCTGATTAATTGTTATGTTATTCAATTTAAGTTCTTCAGTATTTACATCGCTTTGTAAATTTTTCTCACAGTGAATATCTAAAGTAGTAATATCACAATCTAAATTATTTCCAAATTCTTGTAGGAAAAACAATGTTTTCTCATTAACAACATTATCAATTAAAGCCATGGCTTCAGATTGTATTGTTTCAATATCATCAATTATATCAAGTTCTGCAATACGTGGTCTAGGGAATCTTGAACATTTTGTGATGTCATTTTCAATTTCATCTTCATCAGGCAAAGGTACGTCTGAAGGTAATCGAGGAAGTGGAGCCCCAGGTGTTTTAACTAATATGTAGTTCTCTGGAGTGACACAGACATAAGGTTTCTCTTCGTTTGACTCGTGTACTGGAGTCGAACCATTATTTTTTGGTGTGATATTTTCTAAGGAATCAAAGCCACTTTCCTCATTAATGGTATTACTTTCGTCCAAGAGAATTTTCTTTTCTTTAATATCTTCAGATTCTTTTTCTACAAAATCAGTCTCCTGCATTGTTTTTAGCATTTGAAATAGACTAGCTGTTTCACTTTTACATGGTAATTTAATTTTCTCCTCAATATTTGTTACATCCACTACTTCATTACCCAAACAAGTAACATTAACATTTGGAAGATCTGTTACTGTACTAGAACTTTCCTTAAGTAATTGACTTTCTTTCTCACATGAAGTAGACTCTTTTTCTTGGGTATGTTCTGTTCTATTTACTTGTTCGTTTATTTTACTCTGTGTTCCATTCTGTTCTACAACTGCTTCTACACAAATGGTTTCATTATTTGCATACGCTTTATCATAATCCATACAAATATCTTGTGTTAGTTCAAATTCTAAGTTGTGTTCTAGATTTTCACTTGTAGCAATATTATCTACTGCTATTGTATCCTGTAAATCTTTTGGGCAAATTAACTTACTCCCTATTTGTGTTATTTGAACTACATTTTCGTGATTTAAGTGCTCTTCATTAGAATTTTCAGTAATATTTATTGCATTAAAAAGATTGCTCTGATGTCTTTCGTCAGGAGCTGGTTTTCGTTCTATAACAGAGCTGTCAAGAACGTCAGTCCCACAGATGTTGACAGTTTCATTTAGCATATGTTCTTCAGTAAAATTATTTTTTTCTTTTTGGTTTTCATCTTTCGTAAATGTCGTCTCACAATCTACAAATTCACTATCCGATTCGACAGTGCTGCAATCATTTTTAATATTCTCAGATTCAGTTAGAGTTTTGTCTTCCAGCATATCATTGAACGACATATCCATATACTCAACCGTTTTATTTAGATTTTGATTATGTGTTTCAGTTACATTTTTCAACTGACTGTCAGTTGTTTTAGTTAAAAACAATTTGTGTACGGGAATCTTTTCTTGACTGAACAATATTGTTGTTTCGTCTTTCCATAGTAATTCTTTTTCAAGGTCTTCATTAAATGTGACACTTTCTTTGTATGGACTGTTCCTGTTGGATATATTTAAATCTTTATTTCTATGAACTACGATAGGAGTGGACGCAGAGGCTGTTTTTTCAGTTGTCTCTTCAGTTTTAGGTGTTGAACATTCTTCTAGTCTAGGTGAAATTTGATTTGATCCCACATCATTATCTCCAGGGGGTATAGGGCTTTGTGAGGAACGAAAAATATTAAGTACGCTCTTGAGACCTCGCATTATTGGAGATTCATTTTCATTTTTTTCAGGTTCTTTTGTTGGTGTTGTTGCATCAGGACTGTGTAATGCTGAAGACGATGAACTTGCTAGTGATATGTTTTCATCATCGTTTGTTTTACTAACAGTTACAGTGATATCATGAGGATCACCCGTCAACTCAACACAATCCAACTGTTGTAAAATTGTTATTCGATCTACTTGGTCAGTGGGAAGTGACTGGAGAGGCAACGTTTTAAGAGATTTTACCACATTTTCATTCTTTGATATATTAGAATTTAAAGATCGAGTCAAATTATTTTCATTGCTGGAATAATTTAGTGAATCATCATTATCAAGGCTTCTATTGCTAGTATAGTTAGTAAAGCTCCTCGACATAGGTGATGCGGCTGGGGTTATAGAATACCTCAGTTTCATGTTGAGTTCTGACACATCCAACTCCTCGTATCCTTTCTCTGTACATGGTAATACATTATTGTGATATGTATTCTCTTTATTATCAAAATCACTCTCTAAACTGTCTATATCCATCGGTTCATCGCGATTTGCCATTTTTTATATATCACTAAACACACAACGGTTGATTGTAGCGTTTTTAAGACTCTCTGCTCTGCTCGACACGTCACGATCTGAAGACACAAGTAAATATTCAATCCAACACTAACATCAAATATTTTTCAAATAATTTCACTGATTTCTATTTCGTAAAATAAACGGTTCGGTAAGTATGTCATTAGAAAACAAAAATGTCCGAGCACTGAACTGAAACTCGCATTCGTATTCTATTTTTATCCTTTTTGTGTTGTACGCTGTACGTAGTCCATTTTATATAAGAAGCGCGCCCAGAGGGAATCTTGCCAAAAAATAACGATCAGTATACATAGAAGCAGCACACAAACATACCGGATTGAAAACCGTTTGAATTCGGTAACTTTTTCAATTTGAACTGTCAATTGTCAGATTATGGTAGTGCAGTTAGTATCGATAGTGACGCAAATTAAATCGAGTGGCGAAGGTGTTTAAACATTATCTATGGTCAAGTGGAAGAAAAAGAATGTCAAACGGCAGGAGACATGATCACCGAAATAATTCAAATCTAAAGCGATTAACCCATAGGATTAACCTTAATGTATAATAAGAGAGTGTCAACCTATAGAGCCATCGCTACATTTCGACACTGTCATTTTAAAATACGAAACGTCGTGTTTCCGCTACTTGTTAAAAAATAAACATATTATCGTTTATGCGTAAACTTTTGTTGCTGTTTTTCAAAATTTCACTTCTAGGAATATTTTCTTTGAGAGTTAAAAAGTAGGGATTAAAAGTGTAATTTCTCTCATTTGAAAGAGAACTGTCAATATTGAAGCTTTTACATTAAGGTTAGTAAAAATAATACACGTGATGTAATTACAATATATTACCTATGGTCATTACTGTAAGCAATAATGTACTTTCTTTTACTTGTATTATGATGTACTTTCAGCAATAATTAGTTTAGAGATTATATGATTATATTTATTCATTATTACATAATTCACAATATCATTATTCATCCCGTGCAAAGACGGATCAATACTATTGAACATATGATGATTATTAATTGGATTATAAAATATTTTTTAAATAGGCTTGAGACATGAAAATACAACATGAACATGATTTAATATGATGGAGAGATAGTAGTTAATAGCAGACATATTTATAATTTAAGTTTAAATTTTAAGTATTTTATCAACAACTCTCGCTTGGAAAGAGGGTTTTTTTGAACCCCTAAAAAGAGATCCTAAAAGAATATCTATATTTTTAAAATACTATAAATGTAAAATTGAGTTTTGTTATTGACTCTTCATTTTCATGTATCGCAATTTTCGCATGCACCTTATCACTGGTAATTTTTCTTAGTACAATGGGAGCGAAGTAGATATGCTATAAAAAATTTAATTACAAGGTGTGGTCCTGTCATCTAAAGCGATCTCTCATTCAACCGTTGTATGGACAAGATTCAAGAAAGAAAAGTGTGAATCTACTATGACTAGAACACAAGAATGAAATTGGATATGCCATTGTAATATTTTTCCAATTAGGTATTTCTGCAACTAATATGGTCTTTTCAACTATCTAGGTCCTAGATTCTAGGAGATGGAAATGGAGCAAAAACACTGGACTTGGCTGGTTGGCCTATTACGAAAACTGATATCATTCAAACTTTAAACTATTACCTTTTTTATACCTTAAAAAAGGTAATAGTTTAAACTTTTTTATACCTTAAAAAAGGTAATAGTATGGCCTGGTAATGACACCTTTACGCCTCTCGTGCAAAAGAATTTACTTTTTGAAACAAAGCCTATGAATTACTATTTCTTTGCCTGTTTTTTGGGATCAAACAAAAAATTATTAATTCATAAACTATAACAGCTGTCTCTTGTTTTGCTTTTGAGTTTTAAAATTTGAATTTTAACTTAATTATAACACTTATTAGTTAGTAAGGATTTTAAAGAAGTGAAATTTCTTATCTAAGTTTGAAGAAAAAAAAAACCCTTACATTACTACAGCTTAAGACAGAAGATACAGTAAGTTAATTTAAAATTACTTTAATAAATAAAATGTTATGATTTTCAAGGTTACAGTATAACCTCCTAGTTAAAAAATTCACACAGTTTATATTTATTATATAGGTATCGTTGTAATGACATTTAGACCAACGACGTATTTGAAAATAATTAATAATATTATACTGTGTAAAGTATAGGTATCTATTGTATGAAAGTAGGTGTATGTAATTAGATCGTGAAATTCCGACACGGTCCAATGATCAGCAACATGTTCAAAGCAGTCGCCCATAAAATAAAAACTATATCCACGACATTCATGTAGGTAAGTCGAGTGAATCAATCAGTAAGTAAATGAAACGCCGCGGTGATGCAGTCAGTAGATATACTTTTGATGTACATGGAAAGTGTATAACGGAAATTAAAAACCTTTTTATTATCCTACAACAAGTACAACATATTTAGTCTTTTATGAATCAATTCGAAATAAAGTAAGAATTTAATTTTTTAAATATTTTTCTTTAGATTTTGTAGCACCATTTTGTACTTTCAATTTTTTTTTCCAATTCAAATTACATGTATGTATTTTAATCATTATTGTTTACTATTTACACAGATTTAGAAGCTATATTGACAGTAGCTATATTGATTATTTTGTTGTAATGTTTTTTTATTTATTTTTACTTAAGCAACTTTTTTTTACAAACAGGTTTATAATAACACATCTTTTTATTGCAGGCTGGTAGATTGACTATGGTAAATTATGGAAATAGAAAATATAGAAGATACTGTAACAGTGAAGCTATTGTTTTTTGCTAAATCAAAAGAATTGTCAGGAGTTAGAGAAACTTCCATAACTTTACCAAGAAAGTTGGGATATCAGAAATTGTTGAATATTATATGCGATAAATATAACTTAAACAGTATTAAGAAAAATATACTTTTGGCTAAGAACGAGGTAGTGTGTGAGGATACAGTAGATATAGAAATTAATGAACAAGACAATTTAGCTGTTATACCACCATTGAGTGGAGGTTAAATAGTATTTCACAGGATGGACCATATAAAATTAACAGTAGATCGACTGTCAGTCGAGGAAATAAGTGAACTCGTAACAGATGATAGCTGCGGCGCTATTTCATTGTTTATTGGCACAACTAGAGACAATTTTGAAGGAAAAAAGGTAAACTTGTATTATATAATATTTTTTAGTCATTAGGAAGATAGGTATTTGGTTAAGATTCTGTATGTGAAGTGTGTTGTTCAAAACGGTAATGGCTTTGAACCATTTTAGTGTTAAGTGATATTTCATGTCACTATAGGCAGCAAATTCTTCGCGATCTACGGAATATGGCACCTGGTGCATTCGTATCGAGCGACGCAATTTTCCTAATGAAATAGGTTAACAAATGTTCATAAATTATTTCTATAATAAAGGAATAACATCGTATTATAAAAATTGAACCCGCAATAATTATAATTTTTGTGTAATTGCTGGTGGTAGGGCGTCATCTCAGCCCGCGCGGTTAGGTACCACCATCCTGCCTATATTTTCCGCGAAGCCGTAATGAGTTTCCGTTTAAAGGGTGGGGAAATAGTTGCAATAAAAAAACTGAGACTGCGACAAAAAGAGTTTGAAGAGCAACCCAGCCCAAATACATAACCAACTTAATTTCTCGCTGGATTGGATTTCTGTTACTAGGACTATTGTTAGCAAATTCTCTCAGGATGAACCCCCATGAGCTTACCTACCCGTCCGTGCGTAGCTGAAGATATAAATAAAAAAACTTCAGAGGTGTCAAGGGACACCCGGATGGAACGAAGTTCCTTTCGATTAATTAGTGAAGGAATTGTAATTTTTTTTTAAGTTATAATAATAAATTACGGCATTATGAAGAAGAAAAAAACAATACTATGAACTAAATTACTATTGTTGAAACGCTATCTCGAGAAACTGTACTCATTACGCGGACCAATCGGATACGNACTTCAGAGGTGTCAAGGGACACCCGGATGGAACGAAGTTCCTTTCGATTAATTAGTGAAGGAATTGTAATTTTTTTTTAAGTTATAATAATAAATTACGGCATTATGAAGAAGAAAAAAACAATACTATGAACTAAATTACTATTGTTGAAACGCTATCTCGAGAAACTGTACTCATTACGCGGACCAATCGGATACGACCAATGTCACGCGATAAGCGCCTACACGTTGATTGGTCAGAATGACGGATCTAAAAAGTTTCGTGACAACTTTTCGTAAGAATTTTTTCCGTCTAGCCCCCTTTCACAACGCGCGATAAGGAACTTCGTTCCAAAACTTCGTTCCAATAAAACATGGCCCTTTGTCTATTTGCATCTTCTAAATTTACAATTTCCAACACAGATATACTTGTTTACGTTCCATAGATAAGAAATGATTTATTTCATATTATAGTTTGACCTCTTTAAACACTTTTTGTAAACAACAACCAAGTCAGATAAATGTGGTGAAGTAAAAAATATTCATGTATATGCAGTAAATAACAGAGATTGTTTAGTCATAACGATGTTAGCAATGATTATATTTCAAAAATTTAAACTCATTTTTATACCTTTGTTTTCAAGTGAAGTCTGTTCATACGGCATGCTGTGGGCCACTTTGAACTAGAAGGTTCTTTCTTCCTAGTTTCGAGATAAAAAAATATATTTTCGTAACAAGCTCACGGCCCACCTGTTGTTCAGTGGTTACTGGAGTCCATATACATACATCTACATCTCAATTGTTTAGTAATTACGCACGTTACTATTATATCGGATTTTTATTACACGATGTGGAAGTAATTCGTGAACGTGTACTAAGTACCGCCAGTAAGCGCCTAAAATTACATACCCGACCCCGGCCATAAGTCAAATCAAAGGTACCGTCGTTATAGAACATCCGACGACATTTGAAGTCGTCGGGCCTAAAGGCACCGGTGTTCGAATCCCGCAGGCGGGTACCAATTTTTCTAATGAAATACGTACTCAACAAATGTTCACGATTGACTTCCACGGTGAAGGAATAACATCGTGTAATAAAAATCAAACCCGCAAAAATTATAATTTGCGTAATCACTGGCGGTAGGACCTCTTGTGAGTCCGCACGGGTAGGTACCACCACCCCGCCTATTTCCGCCGTGAAGCAGTAATGCGTTTCGGTTCGAAGGGTGGGGGTAGCCGTTGTAACTATACTGAGACCGGAGAACTTATATGTCGAGGTGGGTGGCGCATTTACGTCGTAGATGTCTTATGGGCTCCAGTAATCACTTAACACCAGGTGGGCTGTGAGCTCGTCCATACATCTAAGCAATAAAAAAAAAAAAATATCGAATCCTCTCGATCGACTCTCCGGGCTTTTAGGCATTCCAGGCACTGGTTACCGCTCTCGTCGAACACGTCAAATACGACAGAGTTCTACGTACAACCTAGCAATACAATCCACTGAGTTTATCGCCGGATCTTCTCACTACGTCTCAGTGGCTCGCGATTCCGATCCGATGGTAGATTCAGCAAAGCACTGATCATGTTGGGGCCAGGGTTAGTAATTCTCTCAGGTTGAGGGAGCTCATCTACCAAACCGCGCGTAGTCAAAATAACAGCTCGAGGGGGTACCAACGATCCTATAGGAAAGAAAATAATAGAAATAAGTGATTACTGGTGGTAGGACCTGTAAAGTCCGCACGGGTAGTTACCACCGCCCTGCCTGTTTCTGCCGTGAAGCAGTAATGCGTTTCGGTTTGAAGGGTGGGGCAGCCGTTGTAACTATACTGAGACTATACAACTTTATGTCTCAAGGTGGGTGACGCATTTACGTTGTAGATGTCTATGGGCTCCAGTAATCACTTGACACCGGGTGGGCTGTGGGCTCGTCCATCCATCTAAGCAATAAAAAAAACCATAACTATCGGATAAGAACACCGACAAATTCGCATCGCAAAATACGAATGTCGAGCTAATAAAAGCGTATTATAAAAAAACGAATTTTATCGACTTCTATAACAGCTGCTGTATATTTGCAATTATAAATAACAGTTGAATTGACAAATCAATATTTGTTCATTCCAATGCAAATTAAACGTAACGAGGAAGTAAAAGAAACAAATAATTTACCTTGAAAATGAATTTTACGTGAAAACGCTTATTGTCTTAATTATTTCACTTAATACCTAAATGTCTTCACGGCACGACCTGGTGATAAGTAAATTCCATTATTTTTTTTCCTACCNGTGCTGCGATAGACGACTGGCCGCGCAGATTGAAGGCCTGTATTCAAAATTACGGAGGTCATTTTGAATAAACTTTAGTGTCATAAGAATCTATGTTTTGTTAAGTTCATTTTGGTATATGAATGGTTACATAATGAATAAACTTGTTTCAATTATTTTACATTAAACATGTGACAGAATTTATGACCTGACTAGGTATTATCATCACTACCTAGTATAAAACTAAGTCGCTTTCTCTGTCCCTATATCCCTATGTATGCTTAAATCTTTAAAACTACGCAACGGATTTCGATGCGGTTTCTTTTAATAGATAGAGCGATTGAAGAGGAAGGTTTATATGTATAATAACATCCATTAAATAGTGGAGAAATCAATAATAAATTACAGTTTCCGAAGCGAAGCGAGGGCGGGTCGCTAGTTGTTAATATTATACATTGATACTATAAACGTTTCTTAAACTAACGGAATATGTAGTCCAATGTTTGTCGGTCGCGTATCTCAATTAGATTTCACTATAAGGAATCTTATTTACGAAATAAAAAAATTAAAAAAAAAACTTATTTAATTAGTAGACTGATTAAACAAAAAAGAAGGAAGTGCATAGATGCTTCTAGAACTGCTTCAATTCAACGAATGGCAATGTAAACTGACTGAACAATTAAGATACTGAATGTATGATATAGATAAAAAACCTGTTGGTGCGGTCGGGTGAATGACTTTTCAGACATACATTGAAATCGTCTTGGCGTAAAGGATAAGACGTCCGATGCATTCGTATGTAGCTATGCAACGGTGTTCGAATCCCGCTGGCAAGTATCAATTTTTCTAATGAAATACGTACTAAATAAATGTTCACGATCGACTTCCACGGTGAAGGAATAACATCGTGTAATCGTGTAATATATATAAAAATGAATTGCTGTTTGTTAGTCTCGCTAAAACTCGAGAACGGCTGGATCGATTTGGCTAATTTTGGTCTTGAATTGTTTGTGGAAATCTAAAGAAGGTTTAAAAGGTAGATAAATATGGAAATGCTCGGAATGAAATAAAAATAACAATTTTGTTTTTCCTTTGATGTGTGCCGCGTCGGACGGATTCCTTTTATTGTTTTAAGTTTATTTTATACAAAAGTTTAGGTCTTTTATTTATCGGTTGAGGTACTACGAAGTCTGCCAGGTCAGCTAGTCGTGTAATAAAAATCAAACCCGCAAAATTATAATTTGCGTAATTACTGATGGTAGGACGTCTTGTACCACCACCCTGCCTAGTTCTGCCGTGAAGGAGTCATGCGTTTTGGTTTGAAGGGTGGGGCAGCCGAGAGACCTGAGACCTTGAACTCATATCTCAATTTGGGTGGCGGTATTTACGTTGTAAATGCTTATGGGCTCCGGTAACCACTTAACACCATGTATAAACAAAAAAACATACCAACGTATAAAACATGTCCACGTCTGTCTGTGAAGTATTACGCGAACTGAGATAGTCGATTGCTTTCAACCATCTTTCACCAGTTTCCATCGCTCGCGGCTTGAGCTAAAATATAGATTTTGTTCGGCAGGTACTAAGGCTGGAATATGAGGCCTACGAATCTATGGCCATAAAAGCGATAAAAACTATTTGTGATGACGTCAGACAAAAATGGCCGCTTGTACACGGAATAGCTATTTATCACAGGTAGGACTAAGTTTTTTTTTTATTTTCTCGGAAATATTATTAATGACATCGAAATCTCAATGATGGAATACGATCGTTCGTTTTTTTTCTGCTCTGAGTAACTTTATTACGTGTGAGGTCATTTGGTATCAAAGTTCAGTAAAACATTTTGTGCTGTATTTCAGCTTTATGTGATGATTGGATGGGACAAAAATGTTATCAGATATTATTTAATGTTTCAGTAAATATTAAATTATAATATTTACTATAATATTATAAATATTACTAGACGTTAGGGAAGTCAATGAAAAGTGTCAGGTAATTTTTCTAAGGATAATGAAACAGTTGGAATGAGGAATGAGATATTTTTTTCGCAGTCAAAAGTAGCCTATGTCGCACATTTGACTTAAAACTACCACTTAAAAAAAAACATTCAATTCGTTCGTTCGCTTTTGTTCACGTGAAAGAATGACAAACAAACGCACTTTTACAATTATGATATTGATTAACGTGAAAGTTTGTACGTGTGACGGGTAGCCATCACAATACAGGATAATTGACAGATGCCTGAATCCCACTTAGGACATTTTCAAGATAAGCTTGCTTATATACAAGCTCCGAATAACAACATTCGGACTGTCGGTCTACCGAGCAATATCACCCGCTCGATGAAGATCCTCCCTTTGTCGTATTCTCCCACAGTACGCTTCGATGTTTATTAGTAATTTACGTAATAATAGTTAATCAGGTTTCACTTTGAGAAGGCGGCACGACATGAGAACCCTATGTCGTAGCCGCTGGAAACTACATACCCGATCCTGTACACCGAATGGTAACCAGTCGACGTCGCCCAAAACACGTCATTACGGATCCTCCCGATCCATTAACGGTGCGTTTAGGTACCACAAGCACCGGTCACCGTCCTCGTCAAACGCGTCGCTTGCGACGAAGGACTCGACGGGCGAATTAACCCATAGACACAGCCCACTGAGTTTCTCGCCGAATCTTCTCAGTGGGTCGCGTTTCCGATCCAGTGGTAGATTCTGCGAAGCACTGCTCTTGCTAGGGCCAGTTTTAGCACCACTCCGGCTTGAGCCCCTTGAGCTCACCTACTAATTAAGGTTACGCTGAAATAGCCTCTCAAGGCTATCAGCTTAGGTAGGAACAAAAAAATCAGGTTTACAAATTAACTGATAGTTTATAGTATAGACCAGAGAATGACAAGGACACATATGACAAGCACAATTTTTTTTGGATCACGAATTAGTCATTAATATTTCACAAAATTGTAGTTCAATGATTATTTTAATTCAATTGACATTCCTAATGTTGTTCAGTTACCGATTGAATGACAAGTGTCGTCTCTTTCACACTCAAATGATTGCGTTGTAATGTTGACGTCCGGTGCGTTCGTGTTGAGCGATGCATTATAATTTGCGTAATTACTGGTGGTAGGACCTCATGTGAGTACATCGCGTAAGCAATATTTAAAAAAATGATACTCATGGTATTGTTCAAGGTTGGGCAACGTTCCGTGTCGAGAGGCGTCTGTCGTGATAGCCATAAGCAGTCCGCAGAGGAAGGACTCCTTAAGCGCCGTATCCTACACCATAGATCAGCTAAAGGCCTCCGTTCCTATATGGAAGAAGGAAATATACGACGGACAACCGGCCCAATGGAAGGAGAATCGTGAATGTGCGTGGTCCAAGTAGTATTTGTTAAGGGAAAGTCGATAATCTCAAACCTCTTTTTGTTTTGTTTTTGTTTTTTTCACGTGTTCGTGAATCAAACGTTTTTTTTTTTGCTTTTATTTTTCATATTTCGAAGGGCTGCAATGTTCCGGAAAAGGGTTACTTTGAGTAGTTTATGTTATAATGTCTTGCCATAGTAGAAAATTTTTTTTAGGTTTATTAAAAAAAATTATTAGGTAAACTAATATTTTCTTTATAAATGTTATGGATTTAAAAAAATCCAAATTAATAATTTTATTAAGAAAAAAAAAACATTTTTCCACCTACCTATAATATGTAGGTGTTGTGTTTTTAGAATTGAATTTCAAATCAATTATTTTACAATAAACAATGCATAATAATGATATTTTACTTATATATAACAATAAAAAAAATTATGCACTAAGAGAGAATATCTAGTAAAGGTTGTACTAAAATGGACACTAGATGGTGCTGACAATTGAACTCGATACTATTTAATAAACATGTAATAAATNCCTATAATATGTAGGTGTTGTGTTTTTAGAATTGAATTTCAAATCAATTATTTTACAATAAACAATGCATAATAATGATATTTTACTTATATATAACAATAAAAAAAATTATGCACTAAGAGAGAATATCTAGTAAAGGTTGTACTAAAATGGACACTAGATGGTGCTGACAATTGAACTCGATACTATTTAATAAACACGTAATAAATGTGATATTCTGTTACTCTGTTTGCATGAAAACGCTTTTGTGTCAACTATCGATATTAATATATTCTAATATAATTTTACTCATCAAATTATCGTGTCGGCGGCTGTAAATGAAATCGATTCTTAGAGATAAATTTTCAATTTGTTTTTCGCGCGCTTTGCCACAGGTGACGCGCCATTTTTAAAAAACAATAATTTTAACCGAAATTATATGCATATATATGTATTTATATCACAGTATATGTATTTAGATTTATTACCTTGTGATAGGTCAATCGGTGAACTGGTTTTATATTTCTTTTTTATCTTTGATACGAATAGCGTTTTTGGAAGCCAGTCAAACGATATCTAAATATGTATGTATTGAGTTTTGTTGTTTGAAAGCGAATTAATAGTAGAGGCTATAATAATTACTAGAACTGGTATAGGGTAGAAACTGACTTTCGTATTTTTTTTTATTAGTTCTGTAGGCATACTGTCACTGTTATGTTAAGTGGTCGTGGTCGCTAATGGACATCAACAATACCAGGGTTACGCCAAGCTGCTGCTTGCTGAATAATCAGTCTGTTAACTATGAGATGTCGATTATGTATGCGTTTTGTGATTTACACTGTACGATTTTAAATATTACATATAATATTGAGACGAATTTCGGAATTGGTTGAGGCATCAAGCCCCAGTTCACAGATGGGCGGTGATGTTGTTTTGTATAGCGAACAAATGTTAGCTATTATTTTAAACGTGTGAAGTTTTTTTTGTTTACATTTGCTGCAATGTGTCTCTGCGACGCGCTAATTCTATTCATGTTTGCTAAATTTTATATTTATCCATGGAATTTTCTGGATTTTTATTTGTAACATAACTAAGGTTGTTATTTAGTGGTATTGGGGTGTTTTAAGTTGTTTTAGTTTTATTATTGTTTTTTTTTTTAGTTATTGAAAATATATTTTGATTGTTTAAAAATGTTGTTTTATTCACGTCTTGTCCTTGATTAAAATTATCTGTTTTTTTTTTCTTTCATCTGATATAATTTATAACAATTAATTTATCACAATTGAAGAGTATAAATTATAGGAGTGGTTGTAGTATTAATCGACTTTTGGAGACACTATATAGACACTTATATACACAGGACACATTGACGCAAAGTAAACTTTGATTTGAAAATAAATTTTAGTTAAATTGTTCGATATAAAAATGATTTGAAAATTCATGCCGTCCATCTAATCGTATGACATTATCAAGTTTTCTCGTCTCCGTCGACGAATGAGCGAACCAAGCACATGTGATACTTTGAACGATTGAAATACTCCCGTAGCTAGCTCCTAGCGAGATTCCTCCCCAACGAACTACTTACGCTTATTTGTCATTACGGATCCTCCCGATCTATTAACGGTGCTTTTAGGTACCTACCTTAAGCACCGGTCACCATCCTCGTCGAACTCGTCGCTTGCGACTAAGAGCTCGACGAGTAAATTAACCCATAATAGACACAGTCCACTGAGTTTCTCGCCGGATCTTCTCAGTGGGTCACGTTTCCGATCCGGTGGTAGATTCTGCGAAGCACTGCCCTTGCTAAGGCCAGAGTTAGCAACACTCGGTTTGAGCCCCGTGAGCTCACCTACACGTAAAGGAGAAGCTCAAAACAGCCTCTCAAGGCTATCAGCATAGGTGGAATAAAAAAAACGCTTATATCCGGAAATATTTTTAGCGGTAGGCAGCGGCTTGGCTCTGCCCCTGGCATTGCTGAAGTCCGTGAGCGACGATAACCACTCACCATCAGGTGGGCCGTATGCTCGTCTGCCTACAAGGGTAATAAAAAAAATGTACATCTGACCATGCGTTTAAGACTTAAAAAAACACTGAGCTATCTCTAACTTTATAGTTTCTTTTTAATTATCAGCTAAAATAACAAGAACTCGCAGCGCGATTTTTGTTAAAAAGTTAACGATGCCCATAGATAATATTTATTTTTGGAGCTCGAGAAGCCATAGGCTGTACCTGAAGTACGTTGGTCTGTAATGTGACAGTTGCCTTAGCTAGTCTTATAAACAAGAACGCATGATTATTTTCGCGGCTAAAATAGTCTGGCTTATTTTTGTTCTCGCTTTTATTAAATCGTTTTGTTTTTGTTTTTCCCTTTTGAATGTTTTGATCAATTAAACCGGTTTTTTTTCGACTGAAACCTATATTCGGTTTATGATTTGCAACCGTAACGAAACAGGGAATAAGGTTATATTTTGTATCCTTATTTTAGTTCCGTCGAAATCGGAGTCGAAGAACATCGACAAAAATTTAGTACAGATCAACGTTTCGAGCGAAGAACTACAGAAGCGGATACAGAACTTTATTGAGAGGAAACGGGAGCAGGTTAATTACGGTAACATACAGGACTTCGTGCCGGGGCGGCTTCAGGACGAGGAGGACACGTGCGCGCGGGTCAGGGCGCAGTTCGTCAAGCGAAACGATTCTAAAGGACATTTGAAAGGTAATTGAAGTGGTCGGACATTGAAGTCGTCGTGGCCTAAAGGATAAGACGTCCGGTGCATTCGTGTTGAGCGATGCACCGGTGTTCGATCTCGCAGGCGGGTACCAATTTTTCCAATGAAATATGTACTTAACAAATGTTCACGATTGACTTCCACGGTGCAGGAATAAGATCGTGTAATAAAAATCAAACCCGCAAAATTATAATTTGCGTAATTACTGGTGGTAGGACCTTTTGTGAGTCCGCGCGGGTAGGTACCATCGCCCTGCTTATTTCTGCCGTGAAGCAGTAATGCGTTTCGGTTTGAAGGGTGGGGCAGCCGATGTAACTATACTTGAGACCTCAGAACTTATATCTCAAGGTGGGTGGCGCATTTACATTGTAGATGTCTATGGGCTCCAGTAACCACTTAATAGCAGGTGGGCTGTGAGCTCGTCCACCCACCTAAGCAATAAAAAAAATTAGTAACTGCAAATGTGCAAAAGGCAGTGGCGGATTAAAGGTCCAGAGCGCCCTGGGCAATCACTTTATCGGCGCCCCTGTACCGGCCGTAAATGGCCATCATAATACTATAAATTTTAACTAGTTGTTTTTGCAATTACGATGACGTTGTATCATCCAACCCTAGACTTTAGTAGACCAGGACCCTTGTACTTACGCTAATGCGCGAATGAAATACAAACAAAGCCGCAAACAAATATTGCATAATACTAGTAGGTATATCGATGCTTGTGCAATATAATCTATTATAGATTTAGATTATAGATCAGCATTTAGTTCTTAATCGTCGATATGTTATTTTCTTTATTTATTTAAAAATTCTGAGCTCCCGCGCCCCTTGTAACTACACGCCCCTAGGCACGTGCCTAGCATGTCTTACGGATAATCCGCCTCTGGCAAAAGGAATGCCAGTTTTTTTTTAATTGGTTTGTTGGGTGGACTAGCTCACGACCCACCTGATGTTAAGTGGTTACGGAAGCCCATAGACATCTACAACGTACCTAAATGCCGCCACCCACTATTTGACACACACACGCATGCTTAATATTTTGTTTATTGTCAAACTTTTCTTATTGTTTAAAGTCTGCGGTCAAATTGAGAATAGATAAAATATTGTTTGTCTTTATTAATTATTTGTCTAAAGTGTAGTCTTGGCGAAATCTGTGGTTACAGAAGTGTAAATAGACTTGACAATAGAATCATAATAGTGTACAAAATTACAATTTCAATTAATTAAAGCTGATATTCGACTACCGGGGGAACACTAGTCTATATAAAAATGAATTGCTGTTCGTTAGTCTCGCTAAAACTCGAGAACGGCTGGACCGATTTGGCGAATTTGGGTCTTGAATTATTTGTCGAAGTCCAGAGAAGATTTAAAAGGAAGATAAATATGAAAATACTTGGATTTAAATATAAATAACAATTTTGTTTTTCCTTTGATGTGTCCCCCGTCGGACGGATTCCTTTTGTTTGTTTTAAGTTTATTTTATACGAAAGTTTAGGTCTTTTATTTATAGATTGAGGCACTACGAAGTCTGCCGGGTCAGCTAGTGTTTTATAAATATGCGAATAGTCCAAGTGTGTTTGGACAGAACTGAGTTTCTTGATTAAGATGGTTGGTGATTTAAAAACGCTTGCGTGTGTTTATTTTATTTCAGTATACAAAGTCAACAACGAATGGGGTCCGCAGACGGTTAGTTTCAGTGGCGTCCCCGTTGGGTCCTCGGACCCGGGCCTGCCGCCCTCCGTAGCCGAGCGAGTCGTGGCCGTCGAGAAATTCTTGAACATGGGCCCCGTCTCCAAGGACATCTTCAAGCGGCTCAAGGACATGGAGGACAGGATCGCGTATCTGCAGTCGGTGTCGCCGGAATACGCGCAGTTCTGGGTAAAGAATGAGTGTTTAAAGCGTAATAGAATTCGAAGTCGTCGTGGCCTAAAGGATAAGAGGTCCGGTGTATTCGTATGTAGCGATGCGCCGGTGTTCGGATCTCCCTGGCGGGTACAAATTTTTCTAATGAAATACGTTACTTAACAAATGCTCTCGATTGACTTTCACGGTGAAGGAATGACATCGTGTAATAAAAATCCAACCCGCAAAATTATAGTTTGCGTAATTACTGGTGGTAGGACCTCTTGTGAGTCCGCACGGGTAGTTACGACCACCCCGCCTATTTCTGCCGTGAAGCAGTAATGCGTTTCGGTTTGAAGGGTGGGGCAGCCGTTGTAACTATACTGAGACCTTAGAACTCATATCTCAAGGTGGGTGGCGCATTTACGTTGTAGATGTCTATGGGCTTCAGTAACCACTTAGCGCCAGGTCGGCTGTGAGCTCGTCTACCCATCTAAGCAATAAATAAATAAAGAACAAAACTGGCCGATTAAATTAGATAATTTGTTGTAATTGAGTAGGTAATTGAGCGAGTTCTCTTGTAGGTGGTCCATTATTTGGTGCCGTAGTATTTTTTTTACTACATTATTCCATAACTAAAGTGGTAATAATAATTCAATAAATTAAAAAAAACATTACTTAAACGATCCACGTAGCCCATAGACATTAAAAATAGTACTTTTTTTCAATGAATATATCAATAACCGAACAGAAGAGAGAACGCACTACATTAAACGAATCTAAATCTTGAGGCATCAGTACTTACGGTCGAATTTTGAACGTTGTCGAACGGAAACTAGAAATATTGAATATTTACAGAAATAAAAATAATTTACAGAAAACAAAGGCAGACCTGGAAGAGATAAAATCTGAGGATCGTATAGATTACGCGTTCTCTGCTGAAGACATCGCGAGGAAGATCGACCAATTGGAAAAGGCCAATTTATGACAGTGTTGCCACTAAATCAAAGGAGCCCTAAATTAGGAATTACCAATAAAAAAAATCTACCATTCTTTTAATATCGTTTGAGCATTGAGTAAATAATATCAATTTGATTAATATAATTTTTTTTTAATTTTACATATTATGTTATTAAAATTTGATATTTTTCAGGTAATGTAAGATAAATTCTTGGAAATTTTACTTGATTATGTAGTCTTTGTATTAAAACGATATTTTAAACACTAGTATTATTTACACTTGAATTTTTTTTAATATGTATATGTATAATTTTAATGTAACGTGGCTAATATAGGAGTGAGAAATAAAAACGTACCTTTTTGCATTTTGAATTTCTCTTTACACCCAAACCCTGAATACTAATATACACTAATATCAACAAAGATAATATTATGTTTCCGGCCAAGAAAATATAGTTTTCAAAAGCCCATATTAAATGTATATATGTATTTATATAAAAACTTAATTTACCCATTTATAGATAAAAATTGATTTCAATAAATAAAACACATTTTCAATCAACATTATATTAATATCTTTCCCTATTTACTATTCATTATGATCACATATTTGTCATTTATATACAATCGATCTACATACAACCAGAGCAATGAATTTGCCGAATGTGAACCAAATTTTTTGATATTGAAATTTGAAATGAATTAACGTGATAATGAACTTTCTTTATAAAGTCTAATCAAATGTCCGTGAAATTTATCAAATACAAAATTATAAAAACTATTATTTAAGCTTAATTCGAAAATAGCTTTGGTGTGCATAAAAATAATCTTTTTTTTAAATATTTGAAATTCTATAAGCGACGGTGACCACTCGCCATCAGGTGTGCCGTGCGCTCGTCTGCCTACAAGGGCTATATTTATTTATTAAGGTTTTAAATCTGACTGAATAACTTTGCAGCATTTATGGTTATTGTAATTGAAAATGATTTAGATGGCAAAACACAACGCGCCACTTAATTTGAAAAAAAAATAACACCCTGTATTTTTACATTTTACCGAACCATTTAAGAAAAGCGCCTTATGGTTTTATGGCGGGCGAGCAGACATACTTAATACTTACGGCACTTTATAATATTACTGAATTGATTTTAACAACGTAATAACACAAAAATACCGTTACAAAAAAAAAAAAAACAATTCATCAATCAATCAAAAAATCATTCGTGTGAGATGTAATTTTATGATTACAATAAACAAAACAAAAATTATCGCTTCAACAAAGAATAAGACAACTACTAAACAAACGAATAGAAACTTTATAAATTGCAAATCGATTTTAACAGTTTTCTATAGAACAATAAATAAATGGAGTCAACGATCGGTATTTCAAAATTGTACTAGTGCGGTCTGTTCGACATTTAATCGATGTTTATCGATATTTTATACGAATCGATTATTCGCACGATCTCAACAAAGTATTTACCGTCTATGATGACGAGATATGATTTGTGTTTATTTTCATTTTTATTTCCATTAGTGAAAACATTTTTTTATTATTACCATTAGGTAAATAAAAATGAATGAAATAAAGTTTATGGTGTATTAAAGATTGGTAGTATAATCGAACACAATTTTCATGACGATATCACTGATGGAATCGATTTAATTCGCGGCCTGCTGCTGCTGCTGTTGCTGCTGTGGTCTCCTCATGTACATGACCACTCCCAGCATCCCGAGCAGTGTGGTGATCACGTACAGGTCCCAGTTGTACAGGAGAGCGGACTCGTCTCCGGTTATGAAGATCATCGCGAGTGGACTCTGCAATACGTACTGTGAGATTATTTCGATTTGAGAATGTGCTGAATCAATCAATCGCTTAGAGTTTGTATTTCATTTTATTGTTAACTAGCGACCCGCCCTCGCTTCGCTTCGGAAACTGTAATTTATTATTGATTTCTCCACTATTTAATGGATGTTATTATACATATAAACCTTCCTCTTCAATAACTTTATCTATTAAAAAAAACGCATCAAAATCCGTTGCGTAGTTTTAAAGATTCAAGCATACATAGAGATACAGGGACAGAGAAAGCGACTTTGTTTTATACTATGTAGTGATCAATATGGAGGTATAAAGAAAGAGCTCTAAGAGTGTTTTCTTTTTTTATGATTGAAGGTTCACTGGTGGCCCGGAGGCCTTTCCAGTTTCACTAGGACAGGTGGGCGAGCAAAGGCTCAGCCAGAAGGGGTGGGATTAGCTAACAGCCACCCGAGCGCATCCGAAGGAGACCTAACGACTCAAGAGCAGCTACTTCGCGGATGAATCTACCACCGGATCGGAATCGCGACCCGCTGATAAGATCCGGCGAGAAACTCAGTGGGCTGATGCATGGGTTGGGTTGCACGTCGAACTCTTTGTCGGGCTTTTTGGCGGGGTGAAGTTGTGTGATTTGTTTTATTTTGCCTATTTAGTATTTCCTCAGGTTTAAATGTGTAATAACGGTGGTTTATTTACTGTTTAATATCTGTGAAAGTGCACAAATGTGGGGAAATGAAACAAAGCCGCTGGACGTAACTTCTCGTGATCCTCCAAAAAATCCATCTCAAGTAAATTGAGTAAAATGCCATTTTACTAAGATATTTCATCCCATATCATTTCATTTCATTTCATTTTATTTCATCCCAGTTGATTAATGTCTCAATTAATCATCTTCATTTCATTTCACTTCATATTATCATTTTTCATAAAAATATGAATATAAATTAAAATAAGACATGACTTAAAGGTCTTAGTTACCAGGTCATAAAATCCCTTAAAAAAAAAGAACTCTTTGTCGAGTTCGACGAGTACGGTTACCGGCGTCCCTAAGCCGGCTCCTAGTGTTGGAGTTGAAGGCGTCTAATGCAAAGGTTATTGGATCTGATGGATCCGTAAGGGCATGTTCTCTAAGAGTGTCTGCTGTGTGGGTGCGGTGGCGGGACATACGTACAGTGGCGAGGTCCTGCAGCGCGAGGCGCGTGTGCAGGGCGGCGAGGGCGAGGGCGGCGGGGAGGCGGGCGTCGGGCGCGGTGTCGGCGGCGAGGTCGTAGCACCGCTTGGCGAGGTGCGCGTCCTTGGCTAGTCCCAAGCCGCGCTCGTGCATGTAACCCAGGTTGAAGGTAGCCTGCGCGTTGTGCAGCTGCTCTGATGCTATCCTGCATTTAAACATACAACAGTCAAATAAACCCCCAGTAAATTTCTTTTGCATAGCTTTACTAAAGGCAGCAGTGCGGGAGGATTAGGTAAGCTAATTCATCGAAGAGTTCAATGAGCGGCCATGAGCACAGAGAGAGTGCCGTGAAAGAAATACCTTGTACTAGAAGCCCACTGACTCCCTTTAGAGTACTCACTGTGGGTTGTATTTGCTGAACACTGGTAACCACGTAGCCTGTATATTCCGTCTTTTATATTTTTGTAGAGTCAAAATTTTTACACTGTAAATTTGCCCTTAAAACAAGTCATTGTACGCACTATATGCATTGAAAAAATCGGTTTTTTTTTTATATTTTATGACGTTGTAACGAGCCCTTTTAGACTTATATTTTCTTCTTACATTGTTATCACCATCATTCTCCTGCCCTTCTCCCAGCCACCTGGGGTCGGCGCAACATGATTTCTCCTTCCATACTCCTCTATCATCTACCATTTCTTCGCTCACTCCTCTCTTACACATATCGTCTTTATTATTACATTGTTAATCATATGAAAATTTATATGAAGCGAAATGAGATGAAATGGCTTAAATTGAGACAATAATCAATTGGGATGAAATTAAATGAAACAAGTTGAGGTGGGATGCGATATAACTCTGTAAAATGATGGTTTACTGAGAACCCGACATGCTTCATCCAGCGGCTTCCCATATTTGCTAAATAGTTGCTAAATAGTTACTGAACTATCTTTAAAATTACATATAAACCTAAAGAAAGACAAAGTTAACACATTAAAACGCACAACTTCGGTTCTCCTAGCGTTCCCGCCAAAAACAATTCACACAACTTCACTCCTCCTAGCGTTCCCGCCAAAAACAATTCACACAACTTCGCTCCTCCTAGCGTTCCCGCCAAAAACAATTCACACAACTTCGCTCCTCCTAGCGTTCCCGCCAAAAACAATTCACACAACTTCGCTCCTTCTAGCGTTCCAGTCAAAAAAGTCCAGTTGATTGGATTTTATTGCACAGGTCACGTATTTGTTGTTCATTGCTCTTCGCTTCTATCTTTTTAATGTCCATTGCTGAACCCATAACTTTTCGGTAGCTTTTCGAATCGACCGCTTAAAACATTACGATTACATTACGATCGATTAGCACAATTCCTAGCTTGTTTCTCTAATGTCAAGCCGTCTGTGTAAACAATGTAAAAGGACAATGCCCAAAAGTGGGCCAATTTTATGTCAAAACTATTTGTACTTGAAAAACTATGCCTTATTTTTTCACGTTGTTTAGTTTATGTATCAACATTTCTTTCAACCTGGCATTGTTTTACAAAAAAATAAATTACATAATTGATAACATCCCAAGACTGAGTGCCATAGTTTTTAAACTCACCAATAGGCAAAGGGCTTAGCCCATAAAGCCTTATAGTAAACCTTTAAGCTGCCAAACGAAAGAGTTGTCTGTGACTTGAACAACAAATAAAAAAAATATAGCTAATAGGTTATAATTCACAGACTTTTTAGTTTATTTTTGTTCAATTCAATATTTATATATTGTAATAATAATTATTACTTAAAACCATGAATTATTTAATATTTTTAGATATTATTGATTCCTTAGTAAAAATCTCAATGGCCTACCCTTACTCTATTCTTATCATATATGATCAGAGAGTTTTGGCAGCAACCCGAGCGAAGCGTCACTTGAAGTTTTATTTTAATGTTTTTTTAATAGTTTATTGTGATGTATAATATATAAATTGAGTGTTGTTTTGTATATTAAACGTCAATAATCGTTGTTCACGATTATTGAGGCATTGGAATAAAACTGTGGCTAACATAGCAGTGACTGTTTTTTTTTTTCAAGATAGAAGGTCTGCGGAAATTCACGCTCACTTAATGTGCTATTCATCGAGTTGACGTCAAAACTCCCAAAAAGCAATAAAAAGAGATACACCAGATTTTATCGAAAAAAAAAAAAACTACGACAGACTAAGCTGTATAGGCTACGCTCTTTGCCTGCTTATTGAGGAATTTAACAACAACAACAACAATATCGTTGCAGGCTTCCGGATTTTCATTTTATTATTATTATGAGGATATAATAATAATAAAATGTACGTAAGGGCTTATTTCTAGCAACATTAACCACAATTAACTTATTTAATACTGTAAATAATGATAAGAGCGATTATTGATTTCGAAGAAAACAATTAACAACTTAATTTTAGCTGCAGAAAAAACAGATTTCTCTTAAACCTGGGTGAGAATATAAAAATCGTTTTCTGAATATGCAACGATATTTCTTCGTCTATCAAATTAGGTTAAAACCCTCATGACCCGACAACTTTTTTTAGGGGCCCAAACGCTCTAAGAAAATGGGCATTGTCCTTTGGTATTTTTCCCCTATCATCTCGACCAGGACGGATTTTTTAAGCTATTGCATAGCTTCTATCGCGGGTCTTGAGCGCGGCGACTGAATGAAGAAATTCCATAACGAAAATAACCTGACACTACGCCTACTATGTAGCTCGCGTTCAACACATTCGCACGTTGCGCTGGTGTAGTGTTTGTGAATAAGCGCGCGGCGTGACGTCACACTGCATGAACATCATGAAAAGTCAGCCCATCTCTCTCTCACGCGGTCTAGCTTCTGAGTGTGAAGGGGACAGTTAATGTTTTGCTTTTGTTAATGTTTATAAATATAACGTGGTCTTATTTTTATTATTGTTTTAATATTAAATTATTATTGTCTAATTGTAATTGCATAAGTTGATAGAAAATGCTTTGCAATAGCTTTACCGCGGCAGTCCCCGAGTGCCACACGTCTTTTATTTATTCACTCACTCATTGGCAGCACCGGGGGTCGATTTTAATTAAACGATAGACAGTCTCGTCTCCTGGCGGATGAGAGGCGATTGCATGCAGCAGAGATGCGAATGTTGCGGTGGATGTGTGGAGTAACGAGAATGGATAGAATACGGAATGAATACGTTAGAGGAAGTCTGAAAGTGGCACCTGTGACAGAGAAGTAGAGAAGTGCGCGTTTAGCATGGTATGGGCATCTGATGAGATGAAATGAAAATAAGGTTGGTAAGAGAGTGCTAACTATGAATGTGAAAGGATATAGACGAAGAGGTAGACCTAAGAAGAAATGGGTGGATTGCGTGAAAGACGATATGTAGTGAGCTAGGAAATGGTATATGGTAGAGGAGTATGGAAGGAGAAAACATGTTGCGACGATCCCAGGTGATTGGGAGAAGTGCATGAGAATGATGATACATGCCCCGGTCCACTGAGGATTTTTTTTATTGCTTAGATTAGTGGACGAGCTCATAGCCCACTTGGTGTTAGGTGATTACTGGAGCCCATAGACATCTACAACGTAAATGCGCCACTCACCTTGAGATATAAGTTCTAAGGTCTCAGTATAGTTACAACGGGTGCCCCACCCTTCAAACCGAAACGAATTACTGCTTCACGACAGAAATAGGCAAGGCGGTGGTACCTACCCGCGCGGACTCACAAGAGGTCCTACCACCAGCACAGATTTTATGTTGTTCCCCAACTCTCAGACGGATTGTGTACACTTACCTGTAATGATGAGCGGCCGCTTCCAAATCCTGTGGGGTCCCGAGCCCGTAGTAGTGGTAGTCCCCGAGCTTGACCCTGGCGGCGCTGCATCCCTGCGTGGCGGCGCGGCCCCACAGCTGCAGCGCGCGGACGTGGCGCTCCGCCTCCGGGAACAGCCGGACGTCGCCTGGGTTTACACATTTGAACACATTTATTTAAATAATACGTTAATATTGTGTACAGTGTTCTGATTCCTTCGTTTGCCGCTAGGGGCGCTGTTCCAACTTCTACTACAAAAGTCTTTCTTCAAACGAGGCTTGTGGAAAGTACTTAACGGTAGGTAGCGGCTTGGCTCTGCCCCTGGTATTGCCGAAGTCTATGCGCGACGGTAACCATCCACCATTAAGTGGGCCGTATTCTCGTCAGCCTGCAAGGGAAATAATAAAAAAAAACTATCAGTGGGTCGGAATCACAAAAGGTTTTTTTTCCTACTTATGCTGATAGCCTTGATTGGCTACATTAGAGTTTACCTAACGTGTAACTGAGCTCTCGGGGCTCAAATCGAAAGTGTTGCTAACACTGGCCCTAGCGAGAGCAGCGCTTTGCTGAATCTATCACCGGATCGGATACGCAACCCACTGAGAAGATCCGGCAAAACTTGGTGGTCCACAAAGGGTGGTAAAATGACAAAGCGCGTACAGAATGCGTGTGCCATGTGCGCGTGTGTGTGCGTGTAGAGTGCAGAGTGCGCGTGCAGAGTGCAGAGTGCGTGTGCTGTGTGCGGTACCGTTGTCGAGCAGGTAGGCGGCGTTGGTCTGCGCGACCTCGTAGCCCCGCTCGGCCAGCGCGGCGTACTGCAGGAAGGCGCGGTGCGGGGAGTGCGCGCGCCACGCGCCGTGCGCCGCCTGCAGCCGCGCGCCCCACCGCCCGCGCTCGCACACGCTCTTCAGCAGCTGCACGACGCGACCACACCGACAATAATCAATAGGTAAATACATAAGCGCTATGACATGACGTTCTTCAAACGAGATTTTTGGATACTATTTAACGCGGTAGGCAGCGGCTTGGTTTAAAAGTTGTCGTGGCCGGAAGGATAAGTCGTTCGGTGCGTTCGTATCTAGCGATGCACCGGTTAGTAATTACTGGTGGTAGAACGTAATGTGAGTCCGCACGGGTAGGTACCACTGCCCCGCCTATTTCTGCCGTAAAGCAATAATGCGTTTCGGCTTGAAGGGTGGGGCAGCCGTTGTAACTATACTGAGACCTTAGAACTCATATCTCAGGATAGGTGACGGCATTTACGTTTTAGATGTCTATGAGCTCCGGTAACCATTAAACATCAAATGGGCCGTGAGCTCCTCACATATCTAAGCAAATTTTTTTTTATTCAGCCCAATCGCACTCACAATTTTAACGTTTTCTTGAATAACTTTGAAACTGACTTTGAATTACATAAGCATCAGCCGTGAATAAAGAAGATTGAATGCATAACACAGTGATTCCCAACCTTACGTGTGGGGGCGCGTTCCTAACGTTTTCAAAATATAACAGCACACAAAGAAAAAAAAAATTTAAAATTGTTTAATAATATAATATATAGTGTTTATTACGTAGTTTTGAAAATAACATAACATGTACTATCTACATAATAAAAAAACATGTATACAATTCACGTGTTAGAAGGGAAACCTTCAAAAATTTAAATACAATTATGCTAAATGTCTAAGTATATGTCAAATTTTGTCATTAGTAAATAATTGTAAATCATATTTTATAGTATGAGGTAGCGCCCTCTGTGAATTGATATTTTAACTTCAAGTCTAATGTGTTCTATCTCATTCTCTCGCCGGCTGAATCCTATACATTTATGTGTTTGTGTCTCTATGGACTTATTTTTTCGTTTCATCGAGTTTGAAATCACAACGATTCTAAAGAAGTTTCACTTCAATAAGAATGAGGAACATACTATAAATAAATAAGACATTTATTTCTTGCTTTTACAAAGTTTAAAAAATATACATAAATGTATGTATGTATTCATATTCAGTATGCAAAATAAAAGAGTTTTATAATTAAACAGTTTTTGTACATTTTAGTTAGCAAGAACCCCGGATTGGGTAAAGGCCTCCTCCAAAGGTTGATGATTTTGTTTGGAGTTTGTGCTCGTTTGGGACTATGATTTTCTTTGGAGGGTTGTGGTCATAATCCTCCACGGTGACCAACCGGTTTGGGGTATAAATATACTATACATTTCGAAAATTTGGCGTCGCTTTAGTGCCGTAACGCAGAGGTTGAGAATCACTGGCCGGGCGGCACGCGGCGGATATTGAGCGCGGTTACCTCTACGGCCGTGGTGCAGGACTTGAGCACGCCGAGCCCGTGAGCGTGCATGAGCGCGAGCTGGTGCAGCGCCAGCACGTGGCCGGACTGGGACGCGTGGGAGAAGTACTTGTTGGCCTGCTTAAAGTCGCGCCGCACGCCGATGCCCCCTGCGCACACCGACACGTCACGCACTCGACACACAACCCACCATCTTGGGGCCACTTACTGACTACCGTGCCGTGTGTTCGTTTGCTTTCATACGTAATTTGTAAACACAATATTCGGTAAATCAATTTACTGGTGGTAGGATATCTTGAGTCCGCACAGGTATGTACCACCACTCTGGCTATTTCTGCCGTGAAGCAGTAACGCGTTTCGGTTTGAAGGGCGGGACAGTCGTTGTACTGTTAAAAGTGAGACTTAGAACTTGTGTCTCAAGGTAGGTGGCGACATTTACATCGTAGGTGTCTATAGGTAGGCTCCGGCAACCACTTAACACCAGTTGGGCCGTGAGCTCGCCCACCCATCTAAGCAATAAATTAAAAATCATATTAACATCTGTTGATATAGTAGTCTTAGTTTAGTCTGTGTCGAGTCCACTGTGGCACAACAAACAGGTGGACTTTTTGGCGGGAACGCGAGGAGTGAAGTTGTGTGATTTGTTTTATTTTGTCTCTTTAGTGTTTCTTCGGGTTTAAATGTGTAATAACGGTGGTATAGTAACTGTATAGTATCTGTGAAAGTGCACAAATGTGGGAAATTGAAACAAAGCCGTTGAACGTAACTTCTCGGGATCCTCCAAAAAGTCCACTGAAAAAGTCTCAGTAAATATGACCACCATTTTACTGAGATTATATTTCAACCTATATCATCTCATTTCATTTGATTTTACTACATATTATCATTTTTCATAAAAATAAGAATATAAATTAAAATAAGACATGACCGAAAGGTCTTAGTTACCAGGTCATAAAATCCCTTAAAAAAACAAACAGGTCCCAAACTGTCGTGTCTTTAATCATTATCATCCTACATAATACACACGCTCTATATATTATAAGCACAAACTCAACTAGTCGTGACTCCGATGTGATATATTGCTTGACGGTTTGTAAGTAAACAGAGTAATAATTAGTTAAACAGACCGAAGTACATGAAGCCCAGATGGAACTGCCCCTCGACCCAGCCCTGGTTGGCGGCCATCGTGAAGTACTTGAACGCGGCCGTCGTGTCCTTGGGAACGCCGCGGCCCTGGACAAATATATGTATCTATATTCGTATTTGTTTAGTGATTATTACAAAATATTTATAGCCATATACTCTACTGATGTATAATAAAAAAAAAAATTGCTTAGATGGGTGGACGAGCTCACAGCCCACCTGGTTTTAAGTGGTTACTGGAGCCCATAGACATCTAGAGCGTAAATGCGCCACCCACCTTGAGATAAGTTCTAAAGTCTCAAGTATAGTTACAACGGCTGCCCCATCCTTCAAACCGGAACGCATTACTGCTTCACGGCAGAAATAGGCAGGGCGGTGGTACCTACCCGTGCGGACTCACAAGAGGTCCTACCACTAGTAATTACGCAAATTATAATGTTTGCGGGTTTGGTGAAAATCAATCGTGAACATTTGTTGAGTACGTATTTCATTAGAAAAATTGGTACCCACCTGAGATTCGAACACCGGTGCATCGCTCAACACAAATGCGCTGGACGTCTTATCCGTTAAGCCACGATGACTTCATGAAATATACTCAATTAATGTAGAATTATAACAAAAGCATTTATAAATAAATAATCGTTGCACAACTTGAAACCAGAATGTGCCTATAAACCATATTAGACCTTAAAATTCCGGGGTTTAAAGGCTATTTTTAGAAATCGCATGTGATTAAGGAGTTATGTACGAAGAAAAAATATTATCACGTCGAATGAAAGTGACATGGGCGCTTAACGTATTCTTTGATTTCAAATGATATTATTATTCTTTTTTTTTATTTCCTTTCTCCATATTGGTAAAGAAATGGAAGTAATTTCAAGTTTAAAATAATAAAAATAACAGTGTCACAAACACATATAATATCTCAAAAAGAAGTAACAAAAGATTGTTGCAAGTTTTCTCAAAATTAACAGATTGTATAAAATACCCCATTTGTCCACTCGTGTCTTCAATTACCTGTAAATACATCAACCCTAGTCCGCTTTGGCCCACAGGGTTGTTCAGTTCAGCCGCCTTCTTGAAGTACTTGAATGCCGTGTCGTTGTCTGCCACTATGCCGTCTCCGCCTTCTAAATAAATCTATTAAACAAAAACAGATTTATTTTATTTACATAGGATCGATACATAAAATTAAGTCAATTGCAAAATGACGTAACCGAATAAGTGAATGAATGAATGAACGATTGATTGAAAAGAGCGAGTGAGTCATCGGAAACTCGATAAATAAAAAAAAGGGATTATAGTGATACCCACTCGAGTAAGCTAAAGTAAATTCATATGAACATTAAAAAAATAACAACGTCATCTGGTAGGAGAGCAGATGAACGACATAGAAAACCATCGAGTCCCTTCTAGAAATTGTATCGCGCGAGGAACATTCTGGAAGGTTCGCCTGTGTTCAGGGCCGGATTTAGAAGTCTAGAGGCCTCGGGGAAACAGAGGAGCGTAGGCCCCCTGGCCCCGCTTTTTTAGTCGAGTTTTCCAACAAACAATTTATTGTGACACCACGTAAATTCTCTTAGTATTTATCAAATATACATAAATATAATCGGAGACAAAAAATATCTGAAATTTAGTGATAACCTTAAGTAAAACAGCGAAAAAAAGGATATCGAAGGAGAAGGAAAAGATGTTTACTTGTCGGAATTTGAAAGATTTTTTATCCAGTCTCTATTGTCCTCTATTGGCCTTCACAAAAGGAATCCCCCCCCCTCCGTTTGTGGAGGCCCCGGTTGCTCTCCCCTGCCTGGATTTTAAGGTCGTAAGGTGAAGCGTGTGTATTTGTGGCAGCATCGAAATGAAAAGTGCAAATCCATGTAAGTGTCAAAGTCAAAGTGAGCTAATCGCGTGTGACTTAATGAATACTAAATAATATGGAATGGCATGGCGAATACGCAATTTTCCGGGACTTTTTTGTGATTGTTGCAACATTACGCTTTTTTTTTTAATAATTTGCCTCATATAAAGGCGTTGTCTCTAGTAAAATTAACAAAAAAAAACTATATTAGAATAAATATAGCAACCAAAAATATCTATTATTTTTAATTTTCAGATTTTTTTAAATGTGAGTATACTAACCTTTCCAAGGAAGGCGTGCGCCACAGCATTTCCCGTCTTGGCCGCCTGTTGGAAGTAGTGATACGCTTTGTTGATGTCCAGGGTCACGCCGCGACCTCCTTGGAAGTGTAACTGCCCCAGACCCACCTGCGATATTATGAACATAGAAATGATATGACTTGTATATTCAATAACGCTTATTACATTTAGAATTAATAATACAGAATATGTACAGATATTTATATTGTTTTTTTTAGGGGAAATAAAATTACTACATAAATTAAATAGGGATTATTAAAAAAATACTGAAGATTTAGTTTCAGTAATGAAGAAGAAAATTGTTTATAAAAAAGTTTAAAATTAATAAAAAAATCACAATAAAAAAACTTCTTCAGCTATTTGGATGGAGTAAACTTAATCGAAGTTCAATTAAAAACATCGAACTGTTGATACTAATATCAAATAAAACGCCTTTTTAATTGAATACGCAATTTCGAAAAGGGCACATGTCGCACATTTTGTCAAATACGTTTTTTCATATACATGTAGTTTTGAGGCTTACCTTCACTCATTTTGTAATAATTCCAGTAATTTTCAATTGCTAATTAACACTAGAATATATCTCAAAAGTTAATATTTTAAATTTTACACTGCTTTAGAAAATAATCAGTTTTTTTTCATTTCCTGAACATTTTACATTTTCAGAGATGTGCCCTTTTCGAAACTGCATATTCTATTATAAAGACAAATGTTGCACATTAATTGAAATGTCTCTTAAACCAAATAGCCTTTGATGCCCTCGATATGAAACTGCTAACCGTAGATAAATTAGTCAAATTGGTACCTGTGCTTGTACATCACCCTTCTCGGCGAGGAGCTGGTAGTACTCGATGAGATCCGTGTCTAGGGCTCCGCCGCCGCCCTCCACCTCGTCGATGAGCCGCGTGCGATGTATGGCCGGGCCTCCGTTCAATGTCATTTTACTTGCCACTACAAGATAAATAATTATGAACAATTTAAGCGAATTAAGAGACTAACGAATAGCAATTCATTTTTATATAAAGAGGTTTACAAAATTGCTACACAATGGTATTGAAGATTTACTACACTTTGAAGTTCCGCCCGCAAGATTTGGCTAATTTTGGTCTTGAATTATTTGTGGAAGTCCAGAGAAGGTTTAAAAGGTAGATAAATATGAAAATGCTCGGAATTAAATAAAAATAACAATTTTGTTCTTCCATTGATGTGTCCCCCGTCAGACGGATTCCTTTTGTTTGTTTTAAGTTTATTTTATACAAAAGCTTAGGTCTTTTATTTATCGATTGAGGCACTACGAAGTCTGCCGGGTCAACTACTTTTCCTATAAACTTCAAACTGAATATTTGTTTTTTGTTTTTTTGAAGGTGTTATGGCCTGATAACTGGACCTTTAAACTAAAACTTATATTTTCTTCTTATATTCTGTTTTAATATGAAACATCATAATAATATGAAGTTTATTAAATTGAGACTTTCATCAACTGGGATGAAATTAAATGAAACGAGGTGAGACAGGATGAAATTTGTTGTTTGAAATTTTTTTGTTGTTAATGCACTGTCGATTGCACCCATAATTGAGATGACATCTGCCAGGAACTTTTGTCAGTTTGTCAATATTTTGTATTGATGATCACTTTGTTGGTGCAACTTAATAAATAAATAAGTGGATCGTGTCTTTATATGCATCTCTAACCAACTTCTTTTCACATACCTTTGGCAGCCACCTTCATGTATAGATCCATTGCTTTCGGACATGAGCTCTGCACCGTGTGACCGCTCCAGTATCGATACGCCAGCGCCATCTGTGCGTACGAGCTATCACCTATCGCACCAATAGTGTAATGCACCACGGCTTTTGCCTGCGACACTGGGACTCCGATGCCTGTTGCGTATAAGAAGCCCATGCCCTAAAAAATGGTTACAATGACAATGCAAATCCAACAAAAAAAATCGTAGCTTCGAAAAATGGAACCTTGGAACATCTGGGTCTGCGGAGGGACTGAGGGACTACTTCACGCCTGGACAAAGACTTTTCCTTTATTAAGCACAAGTCCGGCCTCGCGTGGAGTACTGCTCTCTTGTCTGGGCCGGGACTCCCAAATACCAGCTTCCATTTGACTCCATACAGAAGAGGGCCGTTCGGATTGTCGATAATCCCATTCTCACGGATCGTTTGGAACCTCTGGGTCTACGAAGGGACTTCGGATCCCTCTGTATTTTGTACCGTATGTTCCATGGGGAGTACTCTGAGGAATTGTTCGAGATGATACCGGCATCTCGTTTTTACCATCCACCTCAGTAGAGTTCATCCATACTACCTGGAGCCACTGTGGTCATCCACAGTGCGTTTCCAGAGGTCTTTTTTGCCACGTACCATCCGGCTATGGAACGATCTCCCCTCCACGGTGTTTCCGGAGCGCTATGACATGTCCTTCTTCAAACGAGGCTTGTGGAGGGTATTAAGCGGTAGGCAGCGGCTCAGCTCTGTCCCTAGCATTGCTGAAGTGCTTGGGCGACGATAACCACTCACCATCAGGTGGGCCGTATGCTCGTCTGCCTACAAGGGCAATAAAAAAAAACTTGGCTGTTCGTGCTTCAGTTCCAAGAGTCATGTTTTCCACTTTCACAGCGACAATGATAATGTTACAAATGATGACATGTTTTACCCAGAAAAAAAAAACAAGTTGGTTTACAAATTAAGGTCACCTTCTCTAGGTCAATTGATTTAATTATCAATGGTAAGACAACTTACCGCATGGGCATCAGCATTCCCTTCGGCTGCCAGCTCTTCAAATATGCTCTTAGCTTTTTCGAAATCTATTTCGACCCCCTCCCCATAGAGGTATGACCAGGCTAGCTTGATCTTAGCCGGCACATATCCGACTTCGGCTGCCTGCTTGATCTGAAGGATGGAAGCATCGACATCCAAAGTTCGACGATCTAGTTTTGCTACTGCAGCATCATACAATTCTTTGGCTGTGGAAAAATATTTTTGTAAAATGCTTGGTAAGTAAAACCATACTGACCTAATGCCGGCCACTCACATGCGCGCGAACATTGCTACATTGTACGGATATTCGCGCGCACAGATATTCACACTAATGTGTGGGAGACTACGCGAAGGTTCGGGGTTCGCGCGCTTTGATGTCCGTAAAGAACCTACACAGTTTGGAAACCGCGAATGCAGCGAAAGCTGTGCATAATAATTTGCAAATGTCGTTCTACACTTGTGAGTTTGCGTATTCGTGCGAATGTGAGTGACCGGTATTAGAAGATGTTTTCTTTTTGCTGTTAGAATGTCAAATATGAATACCTTCTTTTAATTCGGGAGTTAATTCTGGTTCTGTCTCCTCTGGTAATGGTGGTAGACTGTTCAGAATATCCTGTGGGTTCTCCTCTAGTGGTTTCTAAATGGAAAAAGCAATAGATATGATGTGTAAAGTATGTAGGGTTCTTGAAATTGCACATTCAATTGAATTCTACAATATTTCACAATACTACAGACAGAGAGGTGAAATAAGATAGAGAATTAGTTTTAGGCTTAAATTAAAAATGAAAAAAATTTTTTTTACTGAATTACAGCTTTTGTTTCCTGTTTACTGTGTCACTGTTTCATTTTACTACAACTTGCAAAGCCACTGTCTTGATCATTCAAACAATTTACTAATATAAATATATAAATACCTCATTTACAGACAGTTCTGCTTTTTGGTTAGGAAGCCAAGTTGGTTCAGAGTGCTTCTTAAGACTTTTCTGTAAGAGCTTTAAAGTGTATGCCATTTGTTCTAAGTGTGATTCTGAAAAATAATAATTATTAATTATATTATATGTATACATATTTCATATGATAAATTATTTTAGGCCAGGACTGTAGTTTAAAATATAGGAAACCTAATATAGTTATTGCAATTGGTGTGATTTTATTTAGTAAAGTTATTCTTTAGACAGGTACCATTTTTTGAAGTAAACATATACATACCTACTGCATTTTTGCAGTTATGAAATAAAAATGAAACTGAATCTGAGGCAGGCTAGGTCTATTTTCACAGCAAAGCAAATCTGTGCTCTGATACAAAGAATTAGCCAGGCAGTATTGAATAAAGCATTGTTTAATAAAAGACTCATATTGTATGAATATATTTAGAATTCAACTAGTTAAGAACCTTTTAAAGAGGATAGTAAATAAACATTTTTAGATAAAGCAGGTTTCTTAATGAATTTATGCTTTAGACTTTACACGATTTTGGGTTGAGTTCAAGGAAATTCCTCAATTTGGTATTTAAGCTATTTCTTTGCCACTTGCTCACACCATTAGTGTGATATGATTTTACGTGTGATTGTAAAAAAATCTGCTGTTATACTTTTATATTTATGGCTGGATTTTACTTGATTAAATATAATTAATATTGAGGTATTGTCATTAAAAATACAATTTGTTTATTTAATCTTTATGCTTTTTTAAAAAATGTCTAAGCTCAGTTTTGAGAATAAATTTGAAGTCGTCGTGGCCTAAAAGATAAGACGTCCAGTGGATTCGTGTTGAAGCGATGCACCGGTGTTCGAATCTCGCAGGCGGGTACCAATTTTTCTATTGAAATACGTACTCAACAAATGTTCACGATTGACTTCCACGGTGAAGGAATAACATCGTGTAATAAAAGTGAAACCCGCAAAATTATAATTTGCGTAATTACTGGTGGTAGGACCTGTTGTGAGTCCGCGCGGGTAGGTACCACCGNGGCCATCCACCTTGCCTTGCTGACCTGCCGAGTCCGCCAAGTCACGATGCATATCTGCGTTGTGTTGCCTTCCTCGCCAAGTCAGACTTTGTGTTTTAAGCGGGAGGGAGCCGCGTGTAGGGATGGGTATTAAAGAGATGAGGAGAAGAGGGAGTTAGGAGTAGGAAGGACAGGATACTGTAGCCACGGGAAAGTAGGTTGTTTTTACAGAAGATAGAAAAGCATTTTCAGATAAAAACAGGTTTGTTATTGAATTTATGCATTAGACTTTACTCAATTTTAGGCTGAGTTCAAGGGAATTCCTCAATTTGGTCTTTAAGCTATCTCTTTGCCACTTGCTCACATCATTAGTGTGATATGATTTTATGTGTGATTGTAAGAAATCCTGCAATTATACTTTTATTTCATTAAATAGCTAGATATTATGGCTGGATTTTACTTGATTAAATATAATTAATATTGAGGTATTGTCATTGTCATTAAAAATACAATTTATTTATTTAATCTTTATGCTTTTTTAAAAGATAACTAATCTCAGTCTTGAGAATAAATCTTTACAAAAATTAAGGTTTTTCATTGTACATATATAAGAAATTTTTAATGAACATAAATTAAGAAGACATAACTTGAGAAGCAACTTGAAAAGATAACTTGAAGGCTGTTTATTTCCAGCAACTCTTAGAACTTCATGTAAGAAACTGGCATCATAACATCTGGTCAATTTGATCAATTGAATTTCTTAAACAGTAATTAATTAAGCAGTATTAAAATAATTTAATATATACCTATTCAATAAATTTTATGAATTGAATTCGTATAAGATTTGAAGTTTCAGTAATTTATAATGAATATTTCGATAAATTAAACAGTAACTTCCAAACCTTTATTTGTTTCATCTTTTGACGACTGACTCTTCATAGCATCAGCATACTCCTGTAACGTCAATATCTCTTTATTCATAGCATCAGTCAGTTCTTTGATGTACTCTGAATCGGGTTTCCCTTTCGTTTCTTCAACTTCATTCGAGACATCATCTTCTTCGTTTTTCTCGGAGTCCCTTCGTGATTCGGGTCCAACGGGGTCGGTAGTCGTCAACGAAAAACACAGAACAAGCACTAATAGTTTGTAGCGGTCCATATTTTCGGTTCGAATAAATAATAATAACACTCACAGCACTTACGTGTCCCAAGCACTTGTTTATGTTTTGTTTTAACGTTAACCGGCGAATAAAAGGAAAGTTTCCGTGACCACTTATAGATTTACACGTGTATATTTAAAGTAAAAGGCCAATTAATTTATCAATAATTTACATGCAAGTCTATATTCTCAACTCTTCTTTAAAATAAATTTAAAGGACTGATCTCAAATATATTAAGTGTATAATCTATGGGACTGATTTCTATCAACGTCAAATGTAGTAACTGTCAGCAAAAAAGTAATTATTATTTATTTCGTATTTGAATTGAATAGGCATAGGGAATTAAGCCCATTTTCTTTATTTAGTAGTGTTACTTAAGCTGGCGATAAACATTGTGATTATGTTATTAAATATTAAATTATGAGTGTTAATTTTTGAAGGAAGTTTCGAGTTTTTTTTTCATGAAGCCTCTCTTTAGTGCCAGCTTATCGTCGAATTTTAAGACAGGTTGTATATAATTAATGAAAGTGGACTCCTATAACCCATTGATCATGATAATACGCCGTTTATTATTTGTAAAAATTCACCAGCGAAGGAAAGTGAAACAAAATCGATTACTTCGAAAAAATCCATTGAAGTCTCAATTAATGAAATCTTCCTATTTTTTTTTAGATTTGATGGATTATTGGTGGTCCGGATGTCTTTCCAGTTTTACCAGGACAGGTGAGCGAGAAAAGGCTCAGCCAGGAAGCGTTGTAGTTTAAAGGAGAGTCTGCTGAATGTTGTGCCAGTCTTCAAATTCTGGTTTAAGGAACTATTTTTACAAAGAAATACGCACATAACGCATGTTCACGATTTCCTCTCACAATATACCAATAGCATTGTCCCGAAAAAAGTAATAATTTGCTTACTATTTTGTTAATAAGACAGGTATCAAGTATTCGGCCGGCGTATCTGATGGTGAGTAGTCACCGTCAACAATTAGGTTCAAATCTTAATATTAAAATATTCTACTTTTCTATATCAACTTTTTTTTTATGGCTAAGATGGGTGGACGAGCTCACAGCCCACCTGGTGTTAAGTGGTTACTGGAGCCCATAGACATCTACAACGTAATTGCACCACCCACCTTGAGATATAAGTTCTAAGATCTCAGTATAGTTACAACGGCTGCCCCGCCCTTCAAACCGAAACGCATTACTGCTTCACGGCAGAAATAGGCCGGGTGGTGGTATCTACCCGCGCGGACTCACAAGAGGTCTTACCACCAGTACAAGTAACATATTATAATATATGCTGATTACTGATACTTTTTGGGAATTTTTGATGGGAATGCGAGCTATCAGGCTCTGTTGCTTTACATAATGCGCTTATTTCTTGTTAATAATTAAGAAGATTGAACTCTCAGTCTACCGTTACAATGTTATATTCAATAATTTACAATTACAAAATAATTATAATAAATTATTATATTATAACAAATTAATGAGAATTTGTGGTGAATGGTTTTTTACAGCACTAGCAACGGAAGACATCCCTAAGAAAAAAGGACAGGCTGTCAGAGGAGAGATAAACTTCATAATAAAATTGCGTTTTATGTTTTAAAAGGTTGAAAGATATAAAAACCAGTTGATTATCAATGCATATAAGTTTAGGGTGGGTGTGGAATAAATAAGTGTTTCTTAAACTGAAGTTTGAGTTCAATCCGCAACGACGACAGATGGCCGCATATTTCCTAAAAAATTACTTCATTTTATAAATACATATATTAAATATTGTAGTATTGAAGTAATATAATATTAAAATGAAGTGAGAGTGGAGTTTTAATCAAAATTTAAACAAGACCTGACCTAAAGGTCTTAGTTACCCGGTTATAAACTCCCTTAAAAAAAAGATTTATATGAAAAATTTTGAAATAAATGTCAACAATCAACATGTCAATTGTCAAATAACTCAACAACTGCATAAAGCTAAATCTGAATACATAAATAACTTTATTTTTTAAATACATCTACGATTACAAAACACTACTTTTTTGAATTCAAGGTTTTGGTATTACACAAAACGCAACGGACTAGGTCATTGAAAGTTGGAGTATACAATTTCTAATTAAACCAATGTTTATCCCACATTAAAGATGTTACGTGTACCGGTTAAAAAAAGCACAGGTTTCACACGAATGAAGTCTACCAGTAGTATTCGAAATACGTTTATAAAATATTTTATCGATAATCATGCCCATAAATTCGTGAAATCAAGTTCAGTTGTACCGTTATGTGACCCGACAGTTCCATTTGTAAATGCGGGAATGAACCAGGTGAGCTGATAAAAACTCCTCGGAAAACAAAATCAATAAATGATAATTATTTTCTTTTCCATATTATCTTTGGTTCCCTTAAATTCCATGATCTAAAATTTACGTATTCAGCCAAAAGAGCCACGATTATCAATATATATATATCTAATGAGCAATATACCTTCTTGTCAATTGTTGACTGAAAATTTAATATTTTTTTCAAGAAAAAATTAATCTAAATACAGCTCATTAACAGTGTTACTGTATTAAAACTGTTCGAAATTAAAAATGTTTGAAATACATAAATTTCTAGTACTGTTTAAAATAGACATAGTGAATGATCAATGTTCAAGACCATAATATAAATTCTACATTAATGCCCAATCACGGAATAGGTCATTCACTTTCCATAGCCATTAAAAATTCAAAATACATGAAATCTCAGCATTCTTTAGATGTATATATACTTTATACATAATGTATACATGGATCCCAACAATCTAGGAGATAGAAAAGTTTCTGAGAACAAACAAATATAGACTTTGATAACATAAAAAATGAACTCACTAAGACACCATTGAAATCCAAATATTACAAAGGCAGACTCAAGGCTCCTAGAATTAATATTAATATCAATTAAGAAAAATTATATTCAATGGTGTGAATAGCTGGAAATTGCCAGTACAATTATTGCCTGCTTTAATAAAGTTTACAACTAGCACCACCAGTAGCTTTGCCTTCAAATATATTAAAACACAAATCCATAGGATGATTCAAACAGCTAACTAAATAAGATATTTTTAGCTGAACATATTATTATATTCTTTTTTAAATACATAGATTTCAAATCAATTCTAAGGTTCAAAATTACTGCCACTAGTGCCAAATGTCAGGGGGAGTGGTCATAATGCCTTTTATATGTGTGAAATTCTATTCATATATATTAACCTAATGGTACTTGAATTTTAGTTGAACAATAAAAGTGTCCATTTAAAACTTACTGCAACCTTGTGTACAATAATAAAACATTAAATGTTATTTTTTCAGTTCAAAGGTGTATTCCTTGGCACAGTTAATGCACCATGTCCGAGAGCTGTAAATTCACAGAAGTGCATAAGGGTTGGTGGCAAGCACAATGACTTGGATTTAGTTGGAACTGATAGTCATCATCACACATTCTTTGAGATGTTGGGCAATTGGTCCTTTGGTGACTACTATAAGGTGATTATATGTTACTCTATGGGCTGAGTTAAACATTTTTTCTGAAATTTGACTTCATTTTTAAGGTGTAGTTTATAGTCATAAAAGTTTTTAAGTAAGTGTGAATTCTATAAATGTAACCCTGGAATCATATCACGCCACCAATCAAAAAATAAAATTATACTACTTAATTAAGCAAAAGTAGGGTAATCAAAAGAAACAGCTGTTTATCTTATAAAAAGAAAAAAAAGTCTTGTATGAAGTTATCACAAATAAATTAGGGTAAATGGCTCGTGACTGTTATAAGTTTTTATTTATTACCTGTTTTTTTAATGCTTATTTGGGTGGCCGAGCTCTGGGGGACTCACAAGACGTCCTACCACCAGTAGCTATTAGATTAGAATATTTATTATATTAGTGATTAGAAAATCAATATGATCAATTAATAGAAGAGTACAGAAAAAAAATTAAAGTACTGCTTTTAGAAAGAGGCATGTCAAATGGCATGGGATCTGCTGCTCGGTCCCTATCGCTTGAAGCCTGATGATTTGGTTGTCACATACTTTGCCGGTGATCCTACCATGAAACTGAATGAGGATAGAGAATGCAGAGATATATGGAAGTCTCTTGGGTATGTAAAGTCATTATGAAAGTATAAACTTTAATGTTTGTTTAAAACCATGAAACCGGTAGTGAAACAAACATACTATATATCACATTGATACCGGCATCTCGTTTTTACCATCGCAACGCCCGCCACCGGAGTAGAGTTCATCCATACTACCTGGAGCCACTGCAGTCATCCACAGTGCGTTTCCAGAGATCCTTTTTGCCACGTACCATCCGGCTATGGAATGAGTTCCCCGCCACGGTGTTTCCCGAGCGCTATGACATTTCCTTCTTCAAACGAGGCTTGTGGAGAGTATTAAGTGGTAGGCAGCGGCTTGGCTCTGCCCCTGGCATTGCTGAAGTCCATGGGCGACGGTAACCACTCACCATCAGGTGGGCCGTATGCTCATCTGCCAACAAGGGCAATAAAAAAAAAAACACTACATAAAATATAATCCTTATTTTATTCTCAAACAGACAAAAACTTTGATTACAGTTTGTTCTTTGTCAATAAAAATTAAATTAAAAACATATGATGGATTATGCAGAGGGATACTGAAGGTAGGAAATCTTATGACTCTGCACAGGTAGGTTCCACCACACATTATTGCCGCCAAATAGTAATATGATCTGGTTTGAAAGATGGTGCAGCAGTTTCAATATAAAACTGAGACTTAAAACTAATGTCTCAAGGTGGGTGGCGTCATTTATGTTGTTGACGTCTATGGGCTCCAGTAACACCAGATTGGTGTTATCACGTTTACCAATCTAAGCAATGAAGAAAGTGTGAACCATGCTATCCGGAATGAAGATGTTAGGTTATGAGCAAATGTACATAATAGTTTTAATTTCATTAATACAATTCACAGAGTGTCTCCGAGTCGTATAAAAGGTCTTGGAGCTTCAGATAATTTCTGGGAGATGGGATTGACTGGGCCTTGCGGTCCATGTACTGAAATACATGTTGTCAACCCTGACGGAAGCCTGACCGAAATCTGGAATTTGGTGTTTATACAGTTTAATAGGTATCCTATTCTTATAGTGTCTTACTTATTATGTATATGTCTAACTTATTATGTATAGGCTCTTGTTTAATGGTCACTTTATTGATATATAAAAAGTAATAATTTAGAATGAATATTCTATAGAGTACATATCAAGTGACAATGATAAAGTTTAATGTGTATTAATATAACATTAATATAATATAAATGTCATTGAATTGTTGCCAGTGGTAGAAATGTCAAAAATGTCAATTAATGACTTGTGAATTAAAAAAAATCAATGTCTGATGCAGGGAAGCAGATGGTTCAGTGACCTCTCTGTCTCGTCATCACGTGGATACTGGCATGGGATTAGAAAGAATGGCGAAGTTACTGCAAGGCGTACCCTCTAATTACGACACAGATATTTTCAAACCTCTCATCAAGGCGATCGAGAAGGTAATATAATAAGTTATATCTACTCTTAGCACGATGATATTGTGATTATGGCCGAGACCATGGAGGACCTCAGTACAATCCTCAAAGACCTCAGTAGGGCTTCTATCCGAGTGGGTCTAAATATGAACAAGGAAAAAACAAAAATTATGTTGATTGCTCATGTAGCGCCCACTCCAGTAAAGATCGGAGGCTCTACGCTCGAAGTTGTTGACGAGTATATTTACCTGGGACACACTGTCCAGCTAGGTAAGTCCAACTTCGAAAAAGAGGTCAACCGTCGAATCCAGCTCGGATGGGCAGCGTTCGGAAAGCTACGTAAAATGTTCTCATCACAAATACCACAGTGTCTCAAGACGAAAGTCTTTGACCAGTGTGTGTTGCCAGTGATGACATATGGCACTGAGACGTGGTCGCTCACAATGGGCCTTATGAGAAGGCTCAAGGTCACCCAAAGAGCAATGGAGAGGGCTATGCTCGAAGTTTCCCTGCGAGACCAAATCAGAAATGAGGAGATTCGCAGGAAAACCATGGTAACCGACATAGCCCAAAAGATTGCGACACTGAAGTGGCAGTGGGCAGGACACATTGCTCGCGGAACAGATGGCCGTTGGGGCCAGAAGGTTCTTGAGTGGCGACCGCGTACTGGGAGACGTAGCGTGGGTAGGCCTCCCACAAGGTAGTCCGACGACCTATTGAGGTTCGCGGGGATCCGCTGGATGCAGGCAGCGCAGGACCGGTCTTTGTGGCGAGGCTTGGGGGAGGCCTATGTCCAGCAGTGGACGTCCATGGGTTGATAGAATATAATAGAATATCTACTCTAAAGCCTTGTTCGGACTAGGCGAGTATTTTAGTCGAGTACCGAGTAATTTAGTAGCTAAACTACTCGCTACTCGCCCGAAAAAATAGAACAAAATGGATTGACTTGACTTAATTTTTGGTGCTCAGACACATTTAGCTACTAAATTACTCGGTACTCGACTAAAATACTCGCCTAGTCCGAACAAGACTTAAGGCGTAGTAGTAGTAGTAGATTTTTTTATAATATAACAAGCAATTTCTTCAATCATCGATACGAAAGTATTGGATGCATTGCAAAAGCATAGTACGGTAGCATTTTAGGAGTGGCGCATTTACGTTGTAGATGTCTATGGGTTTCAGTAACTTAACTTACTTAACACCAGGTGGGCTGTGAAATCATTCACCCATCTAAGCAATAAAAAAAAAATGTATAGATAAACTGGAAAATTGCATTGTAAAAAAGGATATCATAGTTTAAGATTGAATTGTTACAGAACAGCAAAAATGTACCAGCTTATAGTGGTCAGTACACGGAGAGCTCAACATTGGACTGTGCTTACAGGCGGCTCGCTGACCACTCGAGGATGATCAGTGTCTGTTTAGCTGACGGTGTCTTCCCTGCCAACAGGTCAGTTGAGTCAAAACTTAATATATTCCAGTAGGACGAACCCCTTGGAACAAATCTGATTATGGCTGTATAGCCGATTGCAGACAAACATAGAGAAAAAAAATCCAGTTAGAGGCAAACCGTTATATCAAATCATGAGGAATAAAACTATTTTTTTATTCCGATACTGAAATAATAAGGAGGCTATGGTTTTAGCTGAGTACCAAGAACGTATCCTCTACTGGCTTTGCTATGAACAGTGCTTCAAAGTGTCATATGCCACTAATTTACTTCTTCTCTTCTACTTATCTTTTTGCCTTATCATTTCCTGAGTTCCATGATGGGTCTTTTTCAAAGAAGATCATTTTCCCAGATGGCATAATCATAACCTGCTTGTCCTATCAAAAACAAAAAAATATGGTTTACAGGAGATTATTACAAAATGGTTTTTTTCCTCTGAAGCTGTTTTCTGCTATATGTATATTTCCGAACCGATTATTTCTCTGTTCCTATAATGCATCGACTACCAATAGTTTCTTATGATTTCATTTGTACTCCACAACCTATGTGTTGTTTGAAGGAAATGTTCATTGTTTGTTAAAATAAATAATGTATCCATCAATATAATTTCCAGCTTAAATGTAAAGCAAATAATGCGTAAATCGTTCAAAATATGCTCTGATGTCTTCAACAACCCTCACCTGCTGTCGAATTTATATGACGAAGTTGCAGCGACCTTGAGCTCTACCTATCCAGAGCTAGTGAGCAACAAGTCCAATGCGAAACTTATTATTGAACACGAAGCCCAGGCTTATGCGAAGATGAGAGCTGGTTTGGTGAAGAAGTGGAAGGACCTGGTGACGAGATACCCCGAGGTTGAAAGCCTCAATGATGTCGAGACACCTGGATTCGCTTTAGGATATAAGGAGTTCAAAGAGGTAAATTTCTTAATTTTTTATTTGCCCTGATGGATGTATATTTTTCACTCTATAATTTTGGACAATTGGGTATCTATTTTAAAAAAAGTATAATCTTTTTTGGCACATATTTGAAGATCTTACCTATGTCCAACCTCTTTACTGAGCTAGTACTTCCTAATGCAGAATATCCTCACATTGTATTCCTATCTAACTCTTCAACTAATTTCTTTGCTATCTTAGATTCTTAGATTCTAGGTGGAAGATCTCACGCCCCACCTGCTATTAATTGGTTACCCTAGTTTGAGACATAAGTTTGAGGTCTCCATATTTACACATCTAGGCAATAAAAAAAATTATAAAAAATTAGTTTCAATTAATTAAATTATATTTCAGACTGTTTCAAAACTTAACACATCTATAATACCCGGAGAATTGATATTCAAACTCTACGATACTCACGGCTTGCAAGAGGAACTAATAAATAGAATAGCAGAATTAAACAACATGACCACAGACAAGGAGGGCTTCCAGAAACTTCTGTCAAAGCACAAACACAGACACAAGACTGCATTCAAAGAGCAAGATTTAAACAAAACCATATTATTCAATGATGCAATCGATCGATTAATTAAAAACGGAATTAGTAGAACCAATGACAATTTTAAATATAATTACGAGATCACAGACAGTAAACTTGAACTTGGAACTTTGACAACAAAATTATGTGCCATTCTGAATGAGGACTGTCAATGGATTGACGTTTTAGATACAATCGAAAATAGACCTTATTATTTGGTAACAGAAGACACGAATTTCTATTGCGAGGAGGGTGGTCAGATATCAGACTCTGGTGTTGCAAGAATAGACGAACATTTATCATTTAAAGTCGATAGTGTTTTTAAAATTCGAGATTTTGTCTTCCACAAAGGCTGTTTTCTAGTTGATAAAAATTATAGTGCTTGTGTTAAGTGCGGTAGTGACGTAACTTTAATTATCGATGGTGAGAAAAAACTTAGGGTCATACAAAATCACACGGCCATCCATCTTTTGAATGCAGCTATCAGGAAAGCATTACCAAACAGTGTTGTAAGTCAAATCGGTTCTAAAGTGACTGACAGGGGACTGTATCTGAATCTGTCAGTTTATGGTGAGAAATTATCAGAAGATGTCCTATTGGCCGCTGAATGTATGATCAGGTGAGTTTTATTAAAATAATATGATTTCCACTAATCTGTATACATATTCAGAACTCCAAAGCGGATGTTGAGTAGATTTTTATTTTTAATTGAGAGAATGAGAGAGTTTGCTTTATTGTACGCAAAATAAATAAATAACAGAAAGCTTAAGTACAAAAAAGTAGAATTAGCGGTCTTATCACTAAGAGCTAAATGGTCATTATTATTTATTAGCATTTATTCCATTTACTAGTCCACAATTGGTAACAAATTTGTACTAGAAAATTTCTTGAATTTAAGAAGTAGATAAGAAAGAGATAAGGGAACTAAATCTGATCACTTAATCAGCTGTGTTGACATTAGTGTGGCAGCACTATCACACATTATAACAAAAGGGACTTTTTGGCGGGAACGCGAGGAGTGAAGTTGTGTGATTTATTTTATTTTGTCTATTTAGTGTCTCTTCAGGTTTAAATGTGTAATAACGGTGGTTTATTAACTGTTTAATATCTGTGAAAGTGTACAAATGTTGGAAAATGAAACAAAGCTGCTGGACGCAACTTCTCGGGATCCTCCAAAAAGTCCACTGAAAAATCTTAGTAAATGACCACCATTTTACTAAGATTATATTTCATCCCATATCATCTCATTTCATTTAATTTCATCCCAGTTGATTAATATCTCAAATTAATAATTTTCATTTCATTTCCCTCCATATTATCATTTTTCATAAAAATAAGAATATAAATTAAAAGACGACATGACTTAAAGGTCTTAGTTACCAGGTCATAAAATAACTTTAAAAAAAAAATATAACAAAAGATGATTCTGCATGTTTCAGGGGTGAGTCGGAAGTTATTAGAAGTCCACCCCTAATAGCTAATATAATGAACATAATAGCTAATTGATAGCACAGTATTATTGAATGGAATAAAGATTCTGAAATATGCCTCGCAGTCATTAGTTTGACAATAGATTGAAATAGTACATAATAATAGTAATAAGTAGCAAAATTGTTGTTCACTAAGATATATTTTGGCCCATTTGGTGTTAATCTGAGTTAACCGCAGTCTATAGACGCCAAGACCTAAAACCGGTCATTGTTACCCGCTTATAAAGCACTGTGGAGGGATATTCATTCCAGATTCGAATGGTAACCATTGCAATAAAAAAAATTAAATCATTAGCAACCTAACAATCTCTCTGCATTGTATTAACATTATTATTGCTATTAATGCAATGGCAAAATATGAAGGCAATGGAATAGGGGATTGATAGTGTAAACAATTTTTTGTTAAAAGGGAATCCATAGAATCAAATGCTCGAATAGAAACGAAAATATTAGACAGCGTCCAACTGGCTCTCGAAGACTCAGTGGTCACTGTTCCGGGAGAGACTTACCCGGAGACCGGACTTAGATTGGTGATAATACAGGAGCCTCTGATCTCCAAGTAAGTTGACATTGTTGAATTTAAGCAAAAATAACAATCGATATTTTAGAAATTAGGGTTAGATTTAATAATAAAACTGGTGGTAGGACCTCTTGTGAGTCCGCACGGGTGGGTACCACCACCCTGCCTATTTCTGCCGTGAAGCAGTAATGCGTTTCGGTTTGAAGGGTGGGGCAGCCGTTGTAACTATACTTGAGACCTTAGAACTCATATCTCAAGGTGGATGGCGCATTTACGCTGTAGATGCCTATGGGCTCCAGTAACCACTTAACACCAGGTGGGCTGTGAGCTCGTCCACCTATTTAAGCTATAAAAAAAAAAACCTCAATGATAATTTTGTATGCTTTTATGCTTTATTTTAATGATGCATACAACTTGTAATTAATACAGTAATCCTCCTTATAACACGGTACTCTTATTACGCATTTTCATATTGCGCGATTTCAACCCCTCGTATAACAAGGGTATTTCCCCATAATACGCGGTAATTTCACACGTTATAAGTACTATTATGCAGTGCACTGTAAAAATAATAATTGTGTTCCTACTTTTTAAATTGTAGATACGTTGGTTACGTTATATTATATTTGTATATAAGGCGTTATATGGGGTCATGTAGGCGCGTTTTGCGAAAATACCCCTACAAAGCGTTTCCTATAATGGAACCACTGTATATATTTCTTATTGTGAACTGTCTTAAGATAGTCTTGTGAACCAGTATACCCTGAATATTAGTACTAGTTATTGTCCATCAGTAAGTATCTTCAGTCGGCGTCGATGCGCCACTTCGATAAAGCGGCACGCACGAGAACCCTCTCATCGTGGCCGCCGGTAACTACATTCCTGATCCTGCGGACAGAATGGAAAGCAGTCGACGTCGCCCAAAACACGTCATCTCGGATCCTCCCGATCCACTAACGGTGCTTTTAGGTACTTCAAGCACCGGTCACCGTTCAAGGGTTCGACGAGTAAATTAACTCTCAGACACAGCCCACTGAGTTTCTCGCCGGATCTTCTCAGTGGGTCGCGTTTCCGATCCGGTGGTAGATTCTGCGAAGCACGGCTCTTGCTAGGGTTCGTGTTAGCAACGTCATCAGGGTTGAGCCCCGTGAGCTCACCTACAAACGTTAGGGTTACGCTGAAATAGCCCCTAAGGCTATCAGCTTAGGTAGGAAAACAAAAAAAAATAGTTATTGTGTCACTAGTATTTGCACTGATTCGATATGGTATCACTTTGAATGACTCGATCTTTGTACCTTTCTTGACCAGTGTCGGTTTGAAGCTATTTAAGGCCACATGAGTAAAGCGCAGCAATACAAAAACAATTATTTCTTATTGGCTAACATTAACAGATATTAACAAGGGCCATCTGGTTTTAATTGCTTAGCCACTGCGACGTGTACGAGGGAAATAAATTTAGGGTGACATTTATAAGTAAAAAAAACCATTCATATTAAACAAGTTAGTTAACAACCAACTTGAGAGAGCATTTTTCGTTTTTTTTTGCCTGTGTAGGCTAACGTGCATACAGCCCAGCTGATGGTGAGTGGTTACCATCGCTCATCAGCAGGACGCCAGCAAAGGGGCAGAGCCAAGCCGCTAACTACCGTTTAAATTGATTCTTCTTAAATTTGTTATATTTGTGTAATCAGTTCTGGCAACTATGATAAATAACATGAAGCCAGTTTATAACAGGGAATTGTGTTGCGGTACTCACGCGCCATCTGCCGGCGCGCTGCGGGACGTGTGCATCACGCAGGCCAAGGGGCTCGGGACCAACGCCCCCACCGTGTACTGCGTGTCCGGGGAGGCAGCCCGGCAGGTCGGTGCCGACGCTGTTAATGACAGTGCCAGTATTTGTGTTTACTTTGGAAATATGGAGGGTCGAGGTAAGGAGAACCGTCTCTGCGTGTGAAAAATGTCCGTTAAAATCTGCTAAATAAGGGCGGCGTTACAGTAGCAACCGGGTACAATTTTAAAAAGGCGCTGAAAGTTATTAGAATAAGATAGAGAAATAAAAAAGGACGAAAGAACTGTAAGCACTAAAAATTATTTTATTTAAAACCGATAAAAAAATGCAATGGATTTCTCCACGTTTTACCACAGCAATAATTTTAGGTTATATTAACGAAATTAGTTTTGGACTACGTAAACATGTGAGGTCTTGTATATTATACTGTCACTAACTACTCTAGTCATTAAATATATTAAATTTCCTAACTCAGCATACTTCAATCAGTTAACAACTGCTCAATTCATATCATACCCTGTGCCTATGCTAGCGCCATTCTGGAGGATTTTTAAACTATTATTTAGTGCTGAAAATGGGACACTTTTTCAAGCTTCTCCCATATGAGACGGTTCTTCTTACCTCTACCCTCCATATTTGGAAAGGAATCTTGAATTTTTTGATAAATACCCTTAATCATTAACCGAAGAGTAATATGACAATTTTTGCATTAGCATTTTTAAAGGGATGCATCTGAGTAATATGTGGGATAGAGGTGGCTCTGTGACCTCAGGTTGAAAAAATCAATGATATCCATTAAAGACGCAAACAGAATTAATTACAGTTGAAACTCAGTAAGTTAGATATTGGATCTTATTGTCGATGTAATGATTACGAGTATCCTTTGATGAGGCCACTGACTTTTTTAAATATTTTTATTATAAAAAAAAAACATTTAAAAATTTTTTACATTTGCATTTATTAGTATTATTTAAAATTAAATTTAAATTATATGAATAAAGCACTCATATTGTTTTATATTGTTCAAAACAAGTAGTAAAAAACATAGTTTTATTAAAGCGATATTTATTAAGTCGATAACCTTCATTTTTAGAAATCATAATTAAAAAAGAACGTTAGCAAGACAGCAAACTTCAAAGATTAATTTGAACTACCTTCACAAAAAAACTGAACAATATATTTTTTTAAAACACAGGCTAGGGAACTGTTCTGCCGTACAAAAAAATTGGAGGAAGTGGTTGATCTGATGGACCCTGAGCGACTTAGAGAAGAGGTGGCGGACATCCGGCGCGCCCTCGGGGACGTGTGCGGCGACCGCGGCGCCCCCCGCGGCGAGCTGGCGCGCTGCCTGGCCGCGCTGCGCCGCGCCGCCGCCCGCCCCGCGCCGCACCCCCACCCCGCGCCCGCCCTGCAGTCAGTACCGCACTTCCTTACATACACCAGGCCGAACCGGACGATACCGCTGTCAATTTAAACTTGCTTTATTGCATCAAACACAAATGTGTGTAGTTTACTTGCGATAGAAAAGAAAAAATCTCGCAGGCGGGTACCAATTCTTCTAATCCGCGTGAGTAGGTACCACCGCCCTGCTTATTTCTGCCGTGGAACAGTAATGCGTTTCAGTTTGAAAGGTGGGTGGCGCATTTACGTTGTAGATGTCTATGGGCTCCAGTAACCACTCAACACCAGGTGGGCTATGAGCTCGTCCACCCATCTAAGCAATAAAAAAAATTTATATCTCTTTCACCTGCAAACTAACTCCTGTAGAAATAGGATAGGTTGTCTCTCTTTAGTGAAGCTTTTACGTTGTGTCATCAATCAACAAACCGCAACAGAGTTTTAACAAATACTAACAGACAAAAAATACAAATTATATTAATACTTATAATAGTACATAAAATATATTACATTTGGAAACCTCTTAAAAAGGTTAAATATGTCAGCACTTTGACTTGTTTGAGGGTGGCAACACTCCGAGCGGTGACAGCTGACAGCTGACGTGGTTGTCACTCTGACACATAGACCTATATAGTAGGGACACGACATATTGTTCTATACGTACAATTGCTTATATAAATAGCACCCATTTTGAAGGCACATACATAAACATATATTTATCTCGTTCTTACTCAGCACTTTAACTCGCAGGAAAACAATATAACAGTATTTCAGTGCGTACATAAAATGAAACATGAATATACGTAAATATCTCCGTCTCCGTCTAATGAGGCCGAAAATCTGCCATGTTTAGCGCGCCAAATGTCATTGTCACGTCAGTTCGGCCGTCTGTTTTGGGTTGTACATTATTTATTGACTATGATATCGATTTAATATGATTGATTATATAAAATTTCATAATTTATCATGCTTAAAACATAGAAAAATAATAATTAAAACGTATTTTATAGGATCTCAAGAAAGTCGATGTCCTAAAACTATTATCTATATGNAAACTTTATCTAATTTAACTTTTTTGTATTCATGTCTATGATAATAAAATCCTTTTGTTTAAACTTTATCTAATTTAACTTTATTTAACCAATTTCTAGAAAGTTGCATGTAGATCATTTTTCGAAAAATAAGGCCATAAACAAGTTTCACTTCTTACGTGTGTACACTAGTACACGCACACATTTTTTTTTTTTTAAAGGGAATCCATAGAATCGAATGCTCGAATAGAAACGAAAATATTAGACAGCGTCCAACTGGCTCTCGAAGACTCAGTGGTCACTGTTCCGGGAGAGACTTACCCGGAGACCGGACTTAGATTGGTGATAATACAGGAGCCTCTGATCTCCAAGTAAGTTGACATTGTTGAATTTAAGTAAAAATAACAATCGATATTTTAGAAATTAGAGTTAGATTTACTAATAAAAAACTTCGATGATAATTTTGTATGCTTTTAAAGAATGATGCATATAACTTGTAATTAATACGCTAATACAGTAATCCCCCTTATAACACGGTACTCTTATTACGCACTTTCATATTGCGCGATTTCAACCCCTCGTATAACAAGGGTATTCCCCCATAATACGCGGTAATTTCACACGTTATAAGTACTATTATGCAGTGCACTGTAAAAATAATAATTGTGTTCCTACTTTTTAAATTGTAGATACGTTGGTTACGTTATATTATATTTGTATATAAGGCGTTATATGGGGTCATGTAGGCGCGTTTTGCGAAAATACCCCTACAAAGCGTTTCCTATAATCGAACCACTGTATGTATTTCTTATTGTGAACTGTCTTAAGATAGTCTGGTGAACCAGTATACCCTGAATATTAGTACTAGTTATTGTCCATCAGTAAGTATCTTCAGTCGGCGTCGATGCGCCACTTCGATAAAGCGGCACGCACGAGAATCCTCTCATCGTGGCCGCCGGTAACTACATTCCTGATCCTGCGGACAGAATGGAAAGCAGTCGACGTCGCCCAAAACACGTCATCTCAGATCCTCCCGATCCACTAACGGTGCTTTTAGGTACTTCAAGCACTGGTCACCGTTCTCGTCGAACCCGTCGCTTGCGACGAAGGGCTCGACGAGTAAATTAACTCTCAGACACAGCCCACTGAGTTTCTCGCCGGATCTTCTCAGTGGGTCGCGTTTCCGATCCGGTGGTAGATTCTGCGAAGCACGGCTTTTGCTAGGGTTCGTGTTAGCAACGTCATCAGGTTTGAGCCCCGTGAGCTCACCTACAAACGTTAGGGTTACGCTGAAATAGCCCCTAAGGCTATCAGCTTAGGTAGGAAAACAAAAAAAACTAGTTATTGTGTCACTAGTATTTGCACTGATTCGATATGGTATCAATTTGAATGACTCGATCTTTGTATCTTTCCTGACCAGTGTCGGTTTGAAGCTATTTAAGGGCACATGAACAAAGCGCAGCAATACAAAAACAGTTTTTTCTTATTGACTAACATTAACAGATATTAACAAGGGCCAACTGATTTTAATTGCTTAGCCACTGCGACGTGTATGAGGGAAATAAATTTAGGGTGACATTTACAAGTAAAAAAAACCATTCATATTAAACAAGTTAGTTAACAACCAACTTGAGAGAGCATTTTTCGTTTTTTTTGCCTGTGTAGGCTGACGTGCATACAGCCCAGCTGATGGTGAGTGGTTACCATGGCTCATCAGCAGGACGCCAGCAAAGCCAGGGACAGAGCAAAGGCGCTGCCTACCGTTTAAATTGATTCTTCTTAAATTTGTTATATTTGTGTAATCAGTTCCGGCAACTATGATAAATAACATGAAGCCAGTTTATAACAGGGAATTGTGTTGCGGTACTCACGCGCCATCTGCCGGCGCGCTGCGGGACGTGTGCATCACGCAGGCCAAGGGGCTCGGGACCAACGCCCCCACCGTGTACTGCGTGTCCGGGGAGGCGGCCCGGCAGGTCGGTGCCGACGCTGTTAATGACAGTGCCAGTATTTGTGTTTACTTTGGAAATATGGAGGATCGAGGTAAGGAGAACCGTCTCTGCATGTGAAAAGTGTTCGTTAAAATCTGCTCAATAAGGGCGGCGTTACAGTAGCAACCGGGTAAAATTTTAAAAAGGGCTGAAAGTTATTAGAATAAGATAGAGAAATAAAAAAGGACGAAAGAACTGTAAGCACTAAAAAGTATTTTATTTAAAACCGATAAAAAAATGCAATGGATGTCTCCGCGTTTTACCACAGCAATAATTTTAGGTTATATTGACGAAATTAGTTTTGGACTACGTAAACAAGTGAAGTTTTGTATATTACACTGTCACTAACTACTCTAGTCATTAAATATATTAAATTTCCTAACTAAGCATACTTCAATCAGTTAACAACTGCTCAATTCATATCATACCATGTGTCTATGCTAGCGCCATTCTGGAGGATTTTTGAACTGTTATTTAGTGCTGAAAGTGGGACACTTTCAAGCTTCTCCCATATGAGACGATTCTCCTTACCTCTATCCTCCATATTTGGAAAAGAAACTTGATTTTTTTGATAAATACCCTTAATGATTAACCGAAGAGTAATATGACAATTATGGCATTCATATTTTTAAAGGGATACGTTTGAGTAATACACGTGGTAGATGTGGCTCTGTGACCTCAGGTTGAAAACTCAATGATATTCATTAAAAACGCACACAGAATTAATTACAGTTGATATTCAGTAAGTTAGATATTGGTCCATGTTGTGACTGACTTTTTTAAATATTTTTATTATAAAAAATAGCATTTTAAACTTTTTTACCATGAAACATTCGTGAAAATATTTAACCTCAAACTAGCAAGACAGCTAAGTTCAAAGATTAATTTGACCTACCCTCACAAAACAATTTTTTTGCGCCCATGTTTTTAAAAACACAGGCAAGGGAACTGTTCTGCCGTACAAAAAAATTGGAGGAAGTGGTTGATCTGATGGACCCTGAGCGACTTAGAGAGGAGGTGGCGGACATCCGGCGCGCCCTCGGTGACGTGTGCGGGGACCGCGGCGCCCCCCTCGGCGAGCTGGCGCGCTGCCAGGCCGCGCTGCGCCGCGCCGCCGCCCGCCCCGCACCGCACCCCGAGCCGCACCCCGCGCCCGCCCTGCAGTCAGTACCGCACTCCCTTACATACACCAGGCCGATGCATGCTTTATTGTACCAAACATAAATGAACTGAGAACATAACAAGTACTATCTCTTTCACCCGCAAACTAATTCCTGTAGAAATAGGATAGGTTGTCTCTCTTTAGTGAAGCTTTTACGTTGCGTCATCAATCAACAAACCGCAACGGAGTTTTAACAAATACTAACAGACAAAAAATACAAATTATATTAATACTTATAATAGTACATAAAATATATTACATTTGGAAACCGCTTAAAAAGATTAAATATGTCAGCACTTTGACTTGTTTGAGGGTGGCAACACTCCGAGCGGTGACAGTTGACAGCTGACGTGGTTGTCACTCTGACACAACTGCAATGATAATTTCATTTCAGATACTTAAATTGCAAAAATGTAGTATTGATGCATAAAGTTAGAAATTGTTGTTGTTGACATTGATTAATCTCCTATCAAATGTACGTCTTCGAAGCTCGAAATCTGAGTGACTACGTAACATTTCCAATGTTATAACATAATGTCGGTAAGCCTACAGTCAAACTGTCACGTAAGGGCATCATAAAAACGTATCTAATTCACTATTACATAGTTTTAATGCAGCAAGGATCAATAAAGTGGAGTCCTCATCCTCGCGTCCTTTTCCCAGGGCCATCGCTGAGGCGGAGATCCGTGAAGCGATCCAAGAGGCTGTTGATGGCGGTCGTAGGTTCGTGGTGCAGTTTGTGCGGTGCTCCTACCTCATGCAGGACTCCGGGCTGGCGCGCGCGCTGCGGTCCGGGGTCACCCTGCCCGCCCTGCTGCTGGGCTGCGCGGGGGGCGTCATCCACGCGCAGGCGCACGTGCCCAAGGTACCAGCTTGCATATGACCTTAGAACTTATATCTCGAGGTGGGTGGCGCATTTACGTTGTAGATGTCTATGGGCTCCAGTAACCACTTAACACCAGGTGGGCTGTGAGCTCGTCCATCCATTTAAGCAATAAAATATATATATATATATATATATGGCAAAATCAATTCGGAGTTGGACTTGCATTCCTTCTCACAAACGCTAGAAATACATAGGCAGCAGGGTTGCGAGATGTGGCGATTTCTCGCCATTGTGACTCCTAAATAGCTAATCAGGCGACATAATTTTATCGTTTGGCTACTGATAGCCAAAGTGGCTATTTTCGTTTATAAAGATTGTTTCTTTGAATATTTAAGTGTGTTCTGTATATCAAAAAACTATTAATTTCAGTAAAAAAAAAAACTTATTCCCTATCTAAAATCTATGAATAAATAAATGTATTTAAATCTTAAATTGTTATTTAAAAATTTACAAAATTATTATTAATATTATTTAAATTTTAAATAAAAGAAGAAAAAAAATATGTACACGTATATTTCATTTAAATATTGGCGCTTACTTGAAGTACTACTAGCGCCACATTACGGTCATAAGGAACACAGCGCCGTAACTTGGCTACTTCGGAAAAAAATATCTGGCTACCCTGATAGGCAACTATGATTTAAAATAGGAACTAAGGATATAAGTTCCACTGCAAACTGGCGATTGTGGCTCCAGGGATGCCTGCAACTTGACAGTGTACTCCGTGTCTTATCACACACTATTACCAGGAGACCTTCGGGTCCCTTCGCGCCGTATGTTATCAGGACTCGCACACGTTGCAGGATCTAGTGACGGAGTCCTTCACGGCGGAGCGCTGGTTGGGCTGCATCCTCCCCGTTTTCCGAGCCGCCGCGCAGCCCCCTGCCTCAGGAGACTCCGCCCTCACGCGAGCTGCGATGACTCCCACTAAGGTAATCTATCCACAGATGTAGTCAATCGGATTTATAAAATGAACTTCCACAGCCCACTGAGTTTCTGGCCGGATCTACTTAGTGGGATACCCCTCCGATGTAATGGTAGATTCTGCGAAACATCGCTATTGCTAAGGCTAGCTGAATTCTCTCAGGCTGGGCCCGTGAGCTCACGTACCCGTCAGCGCATAGCTGGAATAAACCCTGAGACTACCAACGGTTAGGTAGGGAAAAAAATGAGCTTTCACTAGCGTATACAGAACTCGTAAAAAGCTTGGTCCGGTGTAATGAGAAGTTCCGGGAAATTGCGACGTCAAGGTCGCTTGCTTGGTCCTTAATAAAGTGCGATAGAAAATTTGCATCTTGAAAAGAAATTCTGAGCTACATATCTACCGATGATATGCAAACTAGACTCGTAAAATGTATACCGTTGTACACCGATGTTATTATGTAAGTCGTGTTACAGGTGAGCCTGATCGACTGTGAGGATCTAGTGCAGGACGCCATGCGGGCCGCCATCAGGTTCGCGCAGGCGCACGCGCACGCCCCCCGCCGCCCCGCCGACAAGAACAGGCAACACAATTAGATATCGTTACACTTCTCCTTTTTTAAGGGATTTTTAGCCCTGGTAACTAAGACCTTTAGGTCAAGTCATATTTTAATTAATGTTCTTATTTTTATGAAAAAAGATAATAATATGTATAATTTGAGACATTAATCAACTGAAATGAAATTAAATAAATGAGATGAGACGAAATATAATCTCAGTAAAAGGGTGATCATTTACCGAGATTTTTTCAGTGGACTTTTTGGGAGGATCCCGAGAAGTTACGTCCAGCGGCTTTGTTTCATTTTCCCACGTTTGTGCACTTTCACAAATATTAAACAGTTAATAAACCACCGTTATTACACATTTAAACCCGAAGAAACACTAAATAGACAAAATAAAACAAATCACACAACTTCACTACTCGCGTTCCCACCAAAAAGTCCAAATAAAAAATGATATTTGAGTCTTGCACAGAGTATATAAAAATGTAGGCTAAAATATCTGTTTGAATAAAACCAATAATGACGTTTCGTCGTGACTACGTCAGCTAGCCTATTGACGTTTGAGGACAAACAACGGTCAAAGATATTTGATTTAGAATATCGGTAATTAAAGATTATTTGTCATTATAAATTGATTTTTTTATACATATTCCTCGAAATGGTTTTTCAATAATAATAGAAAAATACCCTTTGGAGATAAATGAAAACAGAAAAACTAAACTTTTATAATCTGTATTTAAATTAATACATTTTTTAAATACGATATTATCAAGCTTCGCTTTAAAACTCTAGTCACCCACTTTTAGTTGTAAAACTGATAAACTAGCAACACCGGAAAAGAGAAGCGAGGTATCACAAATATATCATGTTAAGACCTATAGACCTAAGAAGTACCATCTTAGTGTATTAAAAATTGTCCGCTGGAATGTAGCTAATTAAGTTGCCGCCATAGCAGCAAGTGGAAGGATTTTAAAAATAAGCGCCATAAACTAGCACACTTAGCTTCAATCCAGCACACTTCGTTCTGTTTATAAATGCTATATTCATTTCCCTTCTGGCTGAGCCCTTGCTCGCCCATAAAATGTATGAAAAAGTCTTGTCTACCCTCCATAACATGTATGAACAAAAGTCTTTTCTACCCTCCATAAAATCATGAAAAAAAGTGTTTGTAGAGTAGTATCCCCTCTCGGTTTCAGCAGTCACTCGTTCCGGTTTGAAGAGTGGAATAATCGTTGTACAACAAGGATGAGCAACACGCGGCCCGTCAAGCATTCCTAAAATTGAATGAAATACATTCAATTTTAGGAATGCTTGACGGACGGTGAAGTCGATAAAATATATCGACTTTTCAATTCGTTTTTCCGTTCTTTTTTTGTTTGTTTTTATCTTGCATTAAAATTTGTATATGAAATCTTTTTTTTTTTGTTTTTTTTTTATTCTAATATTTATTATAACTAAAGTTTCGTAAATGATTAATAAGAGTCAATATATGAGCGGTCCAACAAAAAATTTTTTTTTTAAATTTGCCCTTTTATTAAAAAGGTTGATCACCCCTGTTGTACAACATAGTTGAAGATTCGACCGCGTGTCTCAAGCTAGGTGGGGTCATTTCAAACACTCGATAACTAGCATAATTATGAAAAACTGAGGTTGGAGGGGGAGGATTGGTTGATTTGAATATACTGCTTACTTATCTTATGCTGTACTTATCGACAGTCAGCTGTCTTTTTACAAATTTATTATAAATTTATTAAATATTAAAGATGATTGTATTGTTTTTATGTAAATGTTTGTTAATAAAATCAGCTGAATTTTGCAAATACTAAAAAATGTTTTATTTATTTTATAAATAGTAAATTGTGCACCCAGGGAGAAAAGTAGGACATTTCTTCCCGGGTGTAAAATTGCCAAACACGCGGGATGAGATGTCCTACTTTTGTCCCGCGGTGCACATACTATTTTTTCTCCTACCAGGCCAAAAGTTCGTGGAGTACCGAGCTGGGGTCCAGGGGCGAAGCCCTGGCCGGGAGTAGGGAGGGCGCCCCCCCCCCCCGTTCTCATGAAAAAAACAATTTAACTGTTTTTTAAATTTTAAATAAACTACTATTAATTGAATAAGCATTGTCTGATGAACTCATCTTTGTTTAATACTTCACTATTAAATTTTATTGCCTTTTGTTTATTTCACTTTTACACTAAACACAATATTGCAAATTTCCCGAGCACAACAATGGCGAAGAATTTTAGGGGCGTGTGAGAGCAGACGTAGACACTAACGCGCATGCGCACTTGTACCCCGGGAGGAAAAGTTACACTTTCTTCCCTGTACAGCGGGAGGAAAAGTTAGATTTCTTCCCTGTACAGCGGGAGGAAAAATTAGACTTTCTTCCCTGTACAGCGGGTTGAAAAGGAGAAAAAACAAATTGACTTTTTCCGATATACTTGTAATAGAAACCTAGATAAAGTATTTTATCAATTTAAGAGTAGTAAAAAAATAGTATTTCTTAATTAATTAACATATATTGATTTCATGGATGTATCTGCCAAATAATAAATGTAGTGGTGTAGGTACATAGTTATTGAACTAAACATTATGTGGTAGGGCACCCGGAATATATATGGATCACGGACAAGGCGTTTTGTTCCGTATCTCTTAAAATAACACAGAATATCATCAGTAAAGTTTTTCTAACTACTTAATCTGCACCTGAACTCTATTTAGGAAGGAGCTTGGACAAACTTTGGTGCACGTGAGGTAACTCAGGCGGATATTTTTTTGCCTTATTTACAGACGGGTGTTTGTTATAGATATTTGGACAGTGTTTTTTCTGCAAATGCATTGCCTGTTTCGTGTAGACCTGTAGCCGTATCTCTACTTTGACCCACTTTATGTATCACAGCCTTTGTATTTTGAACCATCGCAGTATCTTCCTATTGGACCCAATAAATCTATTCATCATTGTGCGATTTCTCGGATACTCTAGGCTTAAATATCTACTTCATTAGTTATTTTTCCGCGACCGGCCGCAAACTTCATCCGAGTTGGTTTCTATTAAATCCTATTTCCAATATTTCATACTTGTAAATAGCATCACAGAGATTGCAAAAAGGTTTTGATAAAATATACACATGGTTACATATGTGGCGATTAAGGGCTAGTGCAAACTTCATACCTACCCGATCCTGTGGACCGAATGGTAAACAGTCGACGTCGCCCTAAACATTCATTCAAAGTCATTACGGATCCTCCCGATCCATTAACGGTACTTTTAGGTACCACAAGCACCGGTCATCGTCCTCATCGAACCCGTCGCTTGCGAAGGGCTCGACGAGTAAATTAACCCTCAGACACAGCCCACTGAGTTTCTCGCCGGATCTTCTCAGTGGGTCGCGTTTCCGATCTGGTGGTAGATTCTGCGAAGCACTGCACTTGCTAGGGCCAGTGTTAGCATTACTCCTGGTTTGAGCCCCGTCAGCTCTCCTACACGTCTAGAAGCTGAAATAACCTCTCAAGGCTATCAGCATAGGTAGGGAAAAAAACATGGAAACACCACATCAAAACTACAAGGCAGGAACTAAACATCCGATACAAAAATCTCCGTTGGCTGTTGTAACGTAACAGTAAATCTGAGTACTGACAACAAGCTTTTAATCTACAAAATTATCCTTAAGCCAATTTAGCTGTACAGAATCGAATTATGGGATAGCCGCCTATAATTCGAATATCAGGATAATACAAAGAACGCAAAGTTCTAGCTTGCGTTCTATAAGTGTTGTTCCGTGGTTGGTCACAAACACTGAAATACACAAAGGACTAGGGATACCTACAGTAATGCAAGAAATTGCGAAATTAAGACAAAACGCTAAACGGCTCAAGAGAAAAGATGTCATAATTCAATGACAAACCTCTAATTTAGAGTAGACTAGCTATACTCGGCATTTAAAATTAACATTATTATTTATTGTCATTATTATTAGGGAGTCCAACACTCGTATAGATATTAGCTTATCCATTAAGTACATGTATTTTCTACATGGATACCAAGTTTCAAGTCAATCGGATGCATGGTTCAGTAGTTATGACGGGACAGCCGCAAAACCACTGTAGATTTATATATTAGTATAGATGGCTCGCCGGAGCCACGCTCTTACTCACTACGTAATGAATTTTAACGCATCTAATAAAAGCACAGGATACTGATTAAAGAGAAAAACCAAAATAGTTGTAAATGATTTACGTCAAGGACAGGGTAATTAAAAATAAAACAACGACAAATAAATAGTAAAACAAGTTTTATTCGATAATTTACAGTCTTGTAACACATCTTAAGTATAAGCACTTATCAACGCTAATGATTGTCCATGTATTGTAGTTCCGATAATAACAGGATCGTGTTGGGGAGAGGGCGCGGCTGCGGGGACAGGACCGTCAAAGTCTGTCGCTCCATATCGACAGCCGTTCTGATAAAAACAAAGTTTAAATTAAACCCGCAAAATTATAATTTGCGTAATCACTGGCGGTACGACCTCTTCTGCGCGGGTAGGTACCACCACCCTGACTATTTCAGCCGTGAAGCAGTAATGCGTTTCGGTTTGAGGTGCAGCCGTTGTATCTATACTGAGACCTTAGAACTTATATCTCAAAGTGGGTGGCGCATTTACGTTGTACATGTCTATGGGCTCCAGTGACCACTTAACACCAGGCGGGCTGTGAGCTCGTCCACACATCTAAGCAATAAAAAAAAGTTAAAGCCGCGCCTGTAATATAACACAGCTCCGTATCTGGACGCGTATATTCGATGTAAAAATAATAATAAAACGGTGCGCGTCCACGTGAAAGAAGTGAAACTTCTTTTGGCTTTTAGTACTTTTAATAATTTAAAAAAATATTAACATTCTGCACACCTCTATTTTCTCTACCAGCTTCACCCCCAGTTTTAGTAAAGATCCCTAATTTAAAACAAAAAAGAATATAGCCTATGTTACTCAGAGATAGTGTAGCTTCCAAACAGCAAAAGAATTTTTCAAATCGGTTCAGTAGTTTCGGAGCTTATTCAATACAAACAAACAAACAAATCTTTCCTCTTTATAATATTATAGTATAGTTAAGTGTGGAAAATTTCATATTCCTCCATTCGCGCAATTTTCGTAAAAAGGGATACAAAGTTTTTCCTTCACGTATTAATATATAGATTAGCGTAGTCTAAAAGCGGCTTTAATAACAGCAGATGAATAAATAAATCGTGGACACTAACACACAGACGAACCCCGCGAGGTTGGAGTGCAGCACGTGGTCGTCGGGCTCCGCCGCGAAGGACACGGCGAGCAGGCGGTGCTGCAGCGCGCGGCCCCCCCACACCGCCACCAGCCGCGTCAGCGCGTCCTCCGCGCGCATCCCCAGCGGCATGCACGAGTCCGGCAGCGACGGCGCGCCCACCTGCCGCGCCGCCGCCCCATCAGTGCGCGCCCGCCGCCCGCCACCCGCCGGCAGCGGACGCGCACCCTCAACACCTCTTGTGAGTCCGCGCGGATGGGTACCACCGTGAAGCAGTCATGCGTTTCGGTTTGAAGAACGGGGCAGCCGTTGTAACTATACTGAGACCTTAGAACTCATATCTTAAAATAGATGGCAACATTTACGTTGTAGATGTCTATAGGCTCCGGTAACCATTAACATCAGGTCCACCCATCTAAACAATAATAATTAAATAAAAAAAAGGAAAATGAAACCGGTATAAATAAACTGTAAATGAATGAAATTATTGAACTTATGCAAAGGACAATATCCAAAAGTGGGCCACTTTATATCAAAACTATTTGTACTTGAAAAACTATGCCTTATTTTTTCACGTTGTTTAGTTTATGTATCAACATTTCTTTCACACTGGCATTGTTTTACAAAAAAATAAATTACTTATTTGATAACATCCCGAAACTGAGTGCCATAGTTTTTAAATTCGCCAATAGGCAAAGGGCTTAGCCTACAGCCTTATAGTAAACATATATGCTGCCAAACGAAAGAGTTGTTTGTGACTTGAACAGCAACAAAAAAACGAATGGTTATAATTCACAGGCTTTTTAGTTTATTTTTATTTTTAGATCCTATCATCAAACATTCTTAGCTACTCACTTAATTCTTAGTGAATATCTGTGACCTTGCTCGTTCACGAAGCCCGCTATAGCAAGCAGAGTATTAAATACACTTGACATTGGCAAAATCTAAAAGGAAACGCCATAAACCTAAGAGATAGATAGATAGTTTATTTTTGTTCAATTCAATATTTATATATTGTAATAATAGTTATGACTTAAAACCATGAATTATTTGATATTTTTAGATATTAATGATTCCATTAGTAAAATCTCAATGGCCTACCATTACTCTGTTCTTATTATATATGATCAGAGAGTTTTGGCAGCAACCCGAGTGAAGTGTCACTTGAAGTTTTTATTTTAATGTTTTTTTAATAGTTTATTGTGATGTATAATATATAAATTGGGTGTTGTTTTGTGTATTAAACATCAATAATCGTTGTTCGTCGTTGTTAACGATTATTGAGGCATTGGAATAAAACTGTGGCTAGCATAGCTGTGACTGTTTTTTTTTTCAAGATAAAAGGTCTGCGGAAATTCACGTTCACTCAATGTGCTATTCATCGAGTTGACGTCAAAACTCCCAAAAAGCAATAAAAAGAGATACACCGGCTTTTTATTACCATAAAAAAATATAACTACGACAGACTAGGCTGTATAGGCTAGGCTGTATAGGCTACGCTCTTTGCCTGCTTATTGGCGAATTTAAAAACAACAACAATATCGTTGCCGGCTTCCGGATTTTCATTTCATTTTATTATTATTATGAGGATATAATAATAATAAAATGTACGTAAGGGCTTATTTCTAGCAACATTAACCACAATCAACTTATTTAATACTGTAAATAATGATGAGAGCGATTATTGATTTCGAAGAAAACAATTAACAACTTAATTTTAGATGCAGAAAAAAACAGATTTGTCTTAAACCTGGGTGAGAATATAAAAATCGTTTTCTGAATATGAAACGATATTTCTTTGTCTATCAAATTAAGTTAAAACCATCATGACAGGACAACTTTTTTTAGGGGCCCAAACGCCCATAGAAAATGGGCATTGTCCTTTGTATAATAATGGTAGCTAAAGTGTTAAATTATACCAAGTATTTCATAAACCACTGTAAGGACTGTTTATAATGACCCGGAACGAAAAGTTTCTCAGTAACAGTAACTAAGAATAAGCTTAAAATTCTATTTGACTTAACACATATTTTATGACACCCTGTATATACTGTATATACATACACCCTTTACATACTTGATAGATCTACTTTATTTAAGGACGAAATAGTTTTTGCAAATGAACAGTAATTTCATCATCAAAAATTAACATGGTACAACATACATACCTTGTATATCTTGAGATCTGAGAATTTAACATCAAAGGAATGCGGGTAGTATGGTGTTCTCTTCCCGTAGAAGTACTCCCGGATGCGCGCGTCCCGGGCCTCCGCCCTCTGCGTGCCGGAGCGCTCCACCACCTACCCGGGGGCACACAGATAACACATGTCCATTTACATATCGTCGCTCGAAAGGCAAATGTGACTAAGCGACAATAACTGCTTTGTACATAAATGGTAGGCAATAACCATATTCGATGCGCAAAAAATATATATTTCTAGGTCTATTAAAATAATTTTAATCCTACAGCTAGATTCATTAAAATATATATTTTTTCAGGTATTTCAACTTTAAATTAGTCTATTGTACAATTCCCGCATTGTCGCTTAGTCATGTTTGCCTTTCAAGCGTCGATATATTCAAGAATTTAACCCCTGTATATTTTGCTAAACCTTTTGAGTGATAGAAACGATCATGATAATGTTCATGTCAGGTTACTTATGCGTGCACTCACATTTTTTATTGCATATATAGGTGATTGAGCTCACGACGCACCTGATCTTCAAAGGCTTCTAGAGTCCATAGACAGTATTATTACTATCACTGAATTGGTTCTACATAAGACATTATAATAATACACCCTACTTCGGTTTAAAACATACCTACAAAGTATTTTTTTTTATTATTGTTTAGATGGGTGGACGAGCTCACAGCCCATTTGGTGCTAAGTGGTTACTGGAGCCCATAAACGCCACCCACCTTGAGATATAAGTTCTAAGGTCTTAACTATAGTTACAACGGCTGCCCCACCGTTCAAACCGAAACGCGTTACTGCTTCACGGCAGAAACAGGCAGGGCGGTGGTACCTACCCGCGTGGACTCACAATAGGTCCTACCACCAGTAAAAGTATACCAGTATATCAGTGAGACCGTTGTCAAAGTAACGTCTCTCTGTTGACGAAGGTTAAACACCTTCATTTTCTACTCATGTAACAATATTAGGTGCAATACAACTTACCCCACCACTTTTAGGTAGATAGACTACTTTCACGAATTTAGGCATGTCACGCTTCAGCTCGTTGTACAATCTCTCATTGTCTAAAACTAATATGACGTCAACCTGAAAATTATGAATGTTATTATTAATTTCTTTTTCATCATACTGATATCTTTTCAAACTGTGAATGGTTTATCAACTCACTCTGTGTATTCATAACAAGTATTCAAACTATCAGTTATCTCTCTCTCTTCTCTTTAGTATTATTAGTAAAAAAATGCTTTCAGCCCACAGACATTCATTCCTAGACGTGAAAGATACGATAGTAAGAAAATATATAATTGTAATACATGTTGATTGGTTGGTCGTTAGCAAAACAGTTTAGATTTGGAAGTCATATCTTTCGTGCTATGGGGTGAACAGATTCCTAAGCCACTTAACAACACTTAGTCTATAAGCTCACTGGTGGTAGGACCTCTTGTGAGTCCGCACAGGTATGTGCCACCACCCTTCCTAGGTCTGCCGTGAAGCAATGCAGATGCATTTCGGTCTGAAGGGTGGGGCAGCCGTTGTACTATACTGAGCCCTCACAACTCATATCTCAAGGTAGATGGCGACATTTACGTTGTAGATGTCTATGGGCTCCAGTAATCACCTAATACCAGGTGGGCCGTGAAACTATCTACCTGTATAAGCAATAACAAGATAGAGAACAAAATATTTTACCAAGACTAAGATGCATCTTTAAACCAACCAGTTCTGTTTTTTGACAAACCTAAATTGACAGTTACCACTTACCACCAAACAAACCTGTGCCTTTTCAAAAACATTATTTTAAATTTTCCATTCTGTAGCTTATCTACATCAATAATGCATATTTAATGAGCAGTAGTGGTGTCCATAAATTCAATTCAGATACATAACAGTTGTCAATGAAATTGTCAATTTTAACAACTCACCTCAAAAGCTTGTGCGGCATGAGTTAAAACCTTGTAACCAGCATTCTTAATCCAGCCACACGTGTTTATTATGACGCCCGAAGACGCGGCTGCGTATTAAAATATGAATGTTAAAATATTAACATAATCTATTCAAGTTTTGCACCTACCCCAGATGACTGGGCCTGGTGGACTGAAGAAGGCCAGGGAATTATGATCTTGTTTTAAAATTTTATTGCAATATTTAATGTTTGTTTTTGTTTCTTTTAACAACCGATACTTGGAACCCTCTGAGGTGAAATGTAACTTTTGCATAATTATCCCTGGCTCAATCTGTGCCTTATTTTTTAGTACTCAAGGAGATAGTATGTATTTTAAGTCCATAAAAACAGATGAATGTTTTTATTTAACTAGCATGATGACACGAATAGTAACTTTTAGTATACTTCTTGTGCTCGGCGATGCATTTAGGTAAGGATGGAAGAAGAATTTCACTTGTTGCAAGTGTTTTTAGGAGAATTAAATTGCTGACGCAATATCCAACNGTGCCTTATTTTTTAGTACTCAAGGAGATAGTATGTATTTTAAGTCCATAAAAACAGATGAATGTTTTTATTTAACTAGCATGATGACACGAATAGTAACTTTTAGTATACTTCTTGTGCTCGGCGATGCATTTAGGTAAGGATGGAAGAAGAATTTCACTTGTTGCAAGTGTTTTTAGGAGAATTAAATTGCTGACGCAATATCCAACCAAAGATTCTCACCCTTTTTATTAGTTTCGCATTTCTCTGTGATCACTTCGGCTAGCCTCGACACAATGGTGTTGTATAACTCAATATTATCGCTTGGCGAAGTGTGACCAAAGTGATAAACCAACGGAGCCTGCTGACTGAAGCCTTCTTCTATAGACGCAGGGCGCTCTACTAACAATGCACCTGTGGACCAAATAATAATATGTAGTTATATTAATTTTTTATCATAATCATGAGCCAATGGGTTCTTGGTGTTATGTAGTCTTGAGGTTCTGGGGCTGTTGACACATCATAACCTGTATCTTGACAATGAGCTGACTTACTTGAGACATTTTTTTTTCTTTTCTTTTTTTTGGGGCTGGGGGCCGAATCTCCTACGACGTTCCTGCGCCTAAGGGCGCGCGGGGTATGTGAGACTAAACGGTCTGCAAGGTGTTGTGAGCAGACCGCGGGCCGAAGGAATTTACTTGAGGCGTGATGCAACAGTGTAGGATTAATATTACTACTTTTCAATGTCAGTGACTCAAGAGCAAGGTAGTAGAACCTTCCGCTGCGGGCTCTCAAGATGACCATCAGTAATCATAAAAATTAATATATTTATGATTCAACATGGTGTTATTCCTTCATTGTGGAAGTCATCCGTGAACATGTACTAAGTATGTATTTTATTTGAGAAATTGGTGCCTACCTAGGGGGTTTGATCACCTGCATAGTTGCAGTGTTCGGTACGAGTACACCAGGCACCTTATTCTCTTGACTACAATAACTGCATAACATTCATACAGAATTTAATCTATAATACCCACCGATTGTACCAGGAACGCTAATCTGGCCCTGTCCCACATCCAAATCAACATAAATAGGCCTCCTGCCCATGCGGACAGCATAGTTCAAAAGGATTCTTGAGAGTGTGGACTTGCCAACATCTGCAGGCCCAACTATCATTGTTACCGGACCTCTTGTGTTCTCTTGTTCTGCTGCAACTCTTTGCTGTTCTAATGCCGCATGTACGTTCAAGTACACTATCTGAACAACAATTAAATGGATTAAAATTGAATACAAATGTTACTATAAATAAGAAATCAAATTCTAACTGGAACTATTCAGAATCCAAATGTTCAGAAAGCAAAAAAAAATATATTGTCTGGAATATTGCATGCATTTATCAAACTAACAAATAAATTACCATCGGTGTTTCTTTGGCTACATAGCTGACTTCAGTCTTTCCTCTAAGTTCTATAGTACATCCGTGCCAAGTAAACACAGCAACTTTAGCACCAGTGTGGAATTCGTATGGCTTTCCTTTCACCAGTTCTGTACCAAATAATTCAGCATATCCACTTTTTACCTGTCAAAATTATTTAAGTTATCAGTTTGAGTGTTTGAATTAAACAAATATACTTATGTACTATGTGGAGTGATGACCACTTCGATAAAGCGGCACGACACGAGAACCCTCTCATCGTGGCCGCCGGTAACTACATTCCCGATCCTGCGGACAGAATGGAAAGCAGTCGACGTCGCCCAAAACACGTCATCTCGGATCCTCCCGATCCACTAACGGTGCTTTTAGGTACTTCAAGGTTACTTGAAGGTTACGCTTAGGTACTTAGGTTCTCGTCGAACCCGTCGCTTGCGACGAAGGGCTCGACGAGTAAATTAACTCTCAGACACAGCCCACTGAGTTTCTCGCCGGATCTTCTCAGTGGGTCGCGTTNAAGCAGTCGACGTCGCCCAAAACACGTCATCTCGGATCCTCCCGATCCACTAACGGTGCTTTTAGGTACTTCAAGGTTACTTGAAGGTTACGCTTAGGTACTTAGGTTCTCGTCGAACCCGTCGCTTGCGACGAAGGGCTCGACGAGTAAATTAACTCTCAGACACAGCCCACTGAGTTTCTCGCCGGATCTTCTCAGTTGGTCGCGTTTCCGATCCGGTGGTAGATTCTGCGAAGCACGGCTCTTGCTAGGGTTCGTGTTAGCAACGTCACCAGGTTTGAGCCCCGTGAGCTCACCTACTAAAGTTAGGGTTACGCTGACATAGCCCCTAGGGCTATGAGCTTAGGTAGGAAAAAAAAAAAAAAAGGAGTGATGATCTGTGCAGGGTGGCTGGCAGGAGGTGGATGAGAGAAGCAGAGGATCTTGCTCAGTGGCGAACAATTAGGCCTATGTCCAGCAGTGGACTGCTCTAGAATGATGATGATGATGATGATGATTTATGTACTATAGATGTTTACAACAATACATTCATCACTCATTATTTAAGCTAGAGGTCATTAAGAGTCTATAGACTACAAAACTCATTTCACGTGTTGAACACCAAACTAGAAACTCTCTGACCACCAATAAGTCGGGATCAGGGAGCTGTAACAGACATCGTGTGCCTGCTCTTTGACATCTCTCAGAAAGTTATAAGTAGTCACTGGTTTCATAAGTCTCACACTATTTTTGAGTTTATTCTTGACAATATTTGTCCAATGATATTTGGATGACTCTTGATATATTGGGGCAGTCCTAGGGAAAAGTATGCAGTGACACATGGTATCCATTCCACATTTTAACACCAGATTGAAAAATGACATCAAAGTCTCAATTATTTACTGTATAATGACTGTCCAATGATTTAAATGGTGGATGAATTTATATTTGATTTTAAATTCGAGTACAAAACAAATGAATAATGATAAAAAATTGTTTATTTACTGGTGATTGCAATAAGCAGAAAATCTACCAAGGTCTCTTTACTCTATTTATATTATAGTTATTTTGAAGTAGTCATACTTTCAATCTTCATTCATATAGTAATGAATTGGGATGACACGGTGGTAGACAAATAAGCATTTTCGTGAATGAAATTGGTGCAGCATGTTCATATGTTTAATAATAATCTATGCATAAACTTTTGTTCTGTTGTAATCTAAATTATCAAATTTACCGTTTAAAATTATCCAAATTGAATAAAAAAAATATATGATTAAAAATTAATTAATAATTATTGAAATTTTTTGACATTACTTTAAGAGAGAATTGTTACGTTTAGATTTCTATCCTACCTCCTTCTGCTTTCAACCAATCCTCTCTCTGTTTCTGTTAATTTAAAATAATTGTAAAACTGTAATAGTTAGTTTTCGTGTTTTCAGGTTAGAATTGTTTGAAGTGGTGCATTAAATTTTCACGGGTATGGTGCTACTGTACAAATGATTTTTAAAGTCAATTAGTAGTCGTGTTCAGAGCCCAACTTTAATCAACCTTTTAATACAACAAACACTTTGAAAATGAAACTTAGAAACGCTAATTAAAAAAATATTTTTAAAATAATCTACCGTGCTTATTAAAGTGTACTGAACTAAATAATTTTTTTTTACCTCTAAGACGACTTTTTCGTTCTTCGATTCTACTTCAAAACGTAATTCCGAATCGGGGTCAAGCTTAAATTCTTGTAGTTGCACTTCAGTCATTATGAAAGACTTGCACGTTCACTTAATTTAATTAAACTTTAACAAAACAATAACAATAATTAAAATCAGTAGGTAAACACAATTCAATTCCAATTCAAATACACAAATACATACAAAACACAGAAAACCACTGAAATAGAAACCTACAGAAAACACATCCACTAATGTCATTCGAAATTGTAGTGATGTAGGTACATATCTCTACCAAAACATTAAGTGTATTTATTATCTATGCTGCCAAGTGTATTATCTGTCTCTACCTGTTTTTTTTAAAGGGATTTTATGACCTGGTAGCTAAGACCTTTAAGTCATGTCTTATTTTAATTTATATTCTTATTTTTATGAAAAATGATGAAATGAAATGAAGATGATTAATCAAATTAATATAATTGACGACATTTTTTTTTTTAACATAATCTTAATCGATACTAGATTCGAAATAAACAGACCCATATAATTTATTTTTTGGAAATCCGATAGTTTTCATTTATGAATTTCATTTTGAAATTCGTTTTATTCGAAATAGACGTAAGCGCCAAATGACGTCACATTTTTTTTTATTGCCCGACGAGCATGCGGCCCACCTGATGGTGAGTGGTTACCGTCGCCCATGGACTTCAGCAATGCCAAGGGCAGAGCCAAGCCGCTGCCTACCGCTTAATACTCTCCACAAGCCTCGTTTGAAGGACATGTCATAGCGCTCGGGAAACACCGTGGAGGGGAGCTCATTCCATAGCCGGATGGTATGGAATTATTCTTTAATCCATATCTTTAGTATACATATTCGAATGGATGAAAAATATTGTCTTCTACCTTCCTTCAATCCATTTAATATGCATTTAATACCCAGCAATAAGATCTGTCACTGATGGCCGTAAACGAAGAAAAAATAAACCTAAATGTCAAAATCCAAAACGACGAAATAATTTCAAATTATTTTGAAAGTGTTATTCGTTCTCTTGTTAATATTTTATTGTTCTGTAGTACTAACGCTACCGTGATCAGTAGTTATTAATGGAATTTAGCCAATGTAAATGATGGAGAACTCATTTTTTGAGTATCGTGACGAAACCGGAGTTGAAAGCGACTCTGATTACGAAGTAATCGACGACAGTTTAGTGGAACCGAAAGCTGTACTGAAGCAGGGAACAAACCGCACAGCATTCGTGCCCGAATCAGAAGAATCTTCCTCTGAAGGTTAGTGCCTAATGTAGAAAAATAAAATAAGGAATAACATACATCAACTACCAATAACATTTCTCTAAGTGCATTCCCTAAATTAACAATAAATAAAAACGATTTGTAGAACCTCTTTGACTGTATTTTATAGCTATGTTGATAAAATTAGCAGATATGCTTCTTCTGAGTGCACCCATACGATTTTAATGCTGTCTGAATATAGCAGCAAGCTAACTTAATTTTAACTTATAATTTTCCAGAACTTAACACTGCTCAGTATGCTTCTTTCCCATTTTATACAAAAATATTATGCATATGTAAATATAAGGTACACTAGATATAAGCCTAAAATAATAGAAAAAAAATTTGAAACATGTTAAAATTCAAAACTATGAATTAATTGGAAATATTTTGAACATTTTTTTTTGTTCTCTTGGTAATATTTTATTATTCTTTAGTATCAACAAGACTGTGATCAGTAGTTATTTATGTAATTTAGCCAATGAAAATGATAAACTCATTAGAGATCATGAAAAAAAAACAAAGTTAAAAGCGAAATATAGTTGGATGAATGAAGTTATACTCAAATATGATAAAGAATTAATTCGGTTTAGATTATTAAAAATGTATTTCTTTTTTTGTTTGTCTGATATAAACTGGCATACGTTTAAAATTCATATACCCTTTAGAAGTAATTCTCAATGAAAAAAAAAAACATAGTATACACCTTAATATGTATAGAGCTAGTTCAGTGTTAAAACTATAATGCACTGGTCTCAAGCTAACCACTAAGATTCTAGACATATGTTCTGATATAAAGGGAAAAATAATTGTTATACTCTATTATTAAAATACATGTCTTAAGATATATTTTTAAAATATGTTGGAAGTTGTCTAGGAGGATTATAAGAGTAAAAAATAACAAATTCTCATTGGTTACTTAATATTTCTGTATTTCAATTAATCTGAAGTTCTAGGGTGTTCAAATGATCCATGCTGACCAAACTGATATACTGTTATTCATTGTTCATACTTTAGCAATTTCCTAGTTCAGTAAACCAGGATGAAAATTATTTTGTTTACAGATGATCCACAACAGGATCAACCTAAGCACAAAAACTCCCAATGTAGCCTCAGAAAAAGTATTATCAATACTCATATCATATCTAGCAGTGATGATGGTAAGAATTAACAAAGTCTATATATGATAATACCACAGCTATCTTCTGTATTTTAGTGCCAGAATATTGACAGTTCTACAGTTTGGTAATTTCTAGATATAAGAAATAAACATTCATAATTTCTGTAAATAATACCTTTCACAAAATAAATTCATCTACATTATATTTTAATCTTCATCCAACAAATCTGGAACCATTCAACAGTGCAGGTGTCATTAAAATCTTTAAATACTTGACAATTTCTTATTATGGAAAACTAAATCCAATTCAATGAATGATACTTTAGAAAATGAAAATCTTCCCAATTCAGTTCATAAACATAAACATTATTTTTATTATTATTATTTTAATATTAACTTTATTACTCAATGCTTAGTTCTAACTATATCATATTGCTTAAATTAACTTCATTAACATCTAGATGGGAATCAAAGCCAAATCATCAAAACAACATCTCATATTGAGGCAGTAGTTAGCTCTTCCGAGGAGGATGGTAAGCAATCATTTCTTTCATTAATTGTGGTTTTCATTTCATTTTTAAAAACTTTCTCATGCTTTTTCTGATTACTTATTTCACTTCGACCATATATCCAATGGTGAACAAATATACATGTGTCTTTCATTCGTAATTAATAATTATACTTAATAATAGTCATTTTGTATAATATTTATTAATAAATAACAAATTCAAATAATTTAACATAAATCAATTCATACAGTAGAACAAATCTTCCAATATGCTTGAAGTAGGCACAGTTCCCAAGATACTGGCTGCGTTACCTCGTTGGCCAGCCAGACTCTCTCTGTGCAAAGTACCAGCCAGCCTTAGCATCACGTGTAGCCTCGTTAGGAGATTTCTGATTAAAATAGTTACAGTTAAAAATATATTCCTTTCTCAATTTTTAGACGAAGAATACTCCCCTGAAATGTTGCCGCGCCGTCCGCAATCAATAAAAAAACCTACAGACCAAACTAATAGAGTTCAAGGTCTCAAGAATAAACGTATGATGTTTGATTCAGATTTAGACAATTCCATAACAGTTGAACACAACAGGCACCGGAAACAGATGTGCTTAAAAGATACGCCAATAAAAGTTGAAGATATAAAGAGGAAGTCCTTGCTAGATGACAGTATGCGAGACGCAAGCGGCTATGTGTCAAACGATAATTCAGATGGTGATAGTGCAGAAAAAGACGACAGCAGCGATGAAACGAAATATGATAGTGATGGTGATGAACCTGTGTCCCGTCTAGATATAGAAGGACATAAGAGTAATAGTGAAAATAAACAAAGTAACGATGAGACTGTCAGTCATGATAAAACATTAGACAGCGATAGCCAAACACCTTCAAAGAACGACAGCATTCGATTCACTGCTAGAAAACTTAAGGACTGCAGACGGATTGTCAGCGATGAAAGCAGTTCTGAGACTGACGATGAACAAAAACAAAAAGTTGATGATCCCAAAAACGGATCTCGTGGTAATAGTATAGATGATAAATCTAATTTAGATTTTGATGATAATGAGAAATGGAGCAGTAAAACTAGTGCCTGTGAAAGTGATTTAGATGGTCCAGACGAGTATGAGATGGCAGTTAGGCGTGCAACACGGAAGAGTATTATGGGCTTCATACCAAATGAAAATAATGATAGTGATGAATCTGACTGTATACAATCTGATGAGGTGAGTAAACGTGTTTACTGATAGTCTGCTAAGTTAATATCGGCCAGGGGGAACATTTACCAAAGCAGGAATGAAGATTTTCGGTATTTTATCATCATCATCATCATCGTTTGTGATTGAGAAATACAATTCAGAAAGACTACAACTCATTGTAACAATTTCAAGTCATATGAAGTTCGGGGTCAATAAACTCGTTGCACAATAGACGGCTGATTGTCTTCGAATTACATGGCGCGTTCAAGAAAAACTATTTATATAATATAGGCAAACAAAAAAAACGGTTCAGTGCCTTATTCTCCTCCATTTGTCCACCGTTTTAACATTGAAAGTAAAGAAATGTATGAAAGGAAAGATAACATTGGAAAGTTTTTCCCACGTTCACAAGAAAAGTGTCAATAACAAATCTAGAGGTGTCAGTGATTATGATCGAGAATTTAATTTTAATAAAACAAAAAAGAATTTTAGTTCCTTCTTTTTACGTTTCAATCCATACTCAAATGGATCAAGTTGACTTTTCATTGAAAATTTCAAACACACTATGCAGTCGAACTTATTACCTATCTTTCAAATATTTAAGCACTGACAACGACGCGCGCTGTGCAAGTATTGTAGTAAATAATTAGTTTTTAGTTTATCTGTTTACATATTTATCGTATTCACATGACACTTGCTAGAATTGTTCTCGACATCAAAAGGATATCTGATATATTACTAATGTAATGTAGCGCATATAGTTCTTAGCAAGGTCTCTAGTTAAAATCACATTATATATTATATATTTACATATTTTAGGCAGCGGCTTGACTCTGCCTCTTGCATTGCTGAAGTCCATGGGCGACGGGAAGCACTCACCATCAGGTGGGCCGTATACTCGTCTGCCTAGACGGGCAATAAAAAAATATTATATATGGTATCATTTCTCGTTCGCACGCGTATATGACAATGCAATCTGAAGCCTAGTTTTGCTGAAATTGAGGTTTTTTATACAGAGCCAACGGATATCAGGACATAGTGATGTGATGCAGGAAGAAAATCAAAACAATAAAGAAGGATCGCGTTCTGTGAAGACGCCAGAAAGAGACGGCGATAACTCTCGCCTCAGCTGTTCACCGATCAAAACCCCTTTGCATGACGTCACGAATGTCATTATCGAATCTGTCGAGAATTCACCCAGTGCTCCTAAAGGTCTCACGAATAAGGTTCAAAGTGAACTGGCGACCGAAGAAACAGGAAACAATGAGAATTATATTAAGTACGACGACGACGTCACTATTGTTGACACGAAACCCGAAGTGATACAGTTGAGCAGTGATGATGAAGATGAGGTGAGCAGTCTTCTATTATTTTTAGTAATTCCGTAAATCTTGATTCTATCTAAGATTGGCACATCATGATAAGCATTACTGGGGGAATGTTCGAGAAGTAATTATAAGTAAGGCATATTGGCAAGATTCATGGAAATATCTGCATTACGCCTATTTCGCTTGGTCGTCGACCTCCTGTGTTATTTGTTTATGTTTTTATTTTTTTATTTTTTTTATTGTTTAGATGGGTGGACGGCCTACCTGGTGTTAAGTGGTTACTGAAGCACATAGACATCTACAACATAAATGCGCCACCCGACTTGAGATATAAGTTCTAAGGTCTCAAGTATAGTTACAACGGCTGCCCCACCCTTCAAACCGAAACGCATTACTGCTTCACTGCAGAAACAGGCAGGGCGGTGGTACCTTGGACGGCGCGTGCGAGAGGCCGCCGCTCAGCCCTCGACTATCGAGTGCCGGGTGCGGGGGCGCCCGGCACTCGACTGTTGGTCCGGTGGTGAAGCGGTGCAAGGTGGCTCCTGTGCGCCGCTCACGGTGTGTCTCCCGAAAAGAGGTTCTTCGGGATTTTCCCGGTGATGAGATCCCGTCTTAACATTAGTACGGGTACCGGCTAAGGCGAGACTTTCGGCGTGCACCGCGGTACCGTAAGTTTCGTGTAGTCGGTGTAGTGGAGCTCGATGGGGTTTAGTCGGTAGTCGTTCTGCGGGGCAAGTGCTTCGCGCGCCTTTTTCAGGGCATAGTCTCCTGTGAGAAATTGGGCGAGGTGGAGGATATCGGCCCTTCTCTTCTCCCCTTCTTCCTCTCAGGAGGCGCCGGAGTCCGACATAACCGGGTCCGTTACCCCCCTCGACCGGGTATCTGTAAATGGATTCCCCAGCGTTAAAAAAAAAGGGCGGTGGTACCTACCCGTACGGACTCACAAGAGGTCCTACCACCAGTAAAGTCATGTCTCCAGACAGGAAGCGGCATTTATGTTGTGATGACCACGGGCTCCTAATCGCTCCTGTGCATTCCAATAAAAGCGCTCTATCTCAAACGATATTTGAAGACACGAATGCAGTCCAACAGAATAGGGGTATCCAACCCAAATTTAGTAGGGACAGAAAAAGTTTAGGAGTGAACACTGCTACTGTGGCGGTGGCGGTGGCAGATGACTTGCCATCTGATCTGATACAAGCACCTGATAGACATATGATTGTAGGATCCTCAACTTTATGTCAATATTAATGTAATCCATGCTTAATATTATAGGTACATATCAAATTAGCTTTGTCTGTCTGTTATGTTGTATCCTGGAGTCATTGGACCTAAATTGACGAATTTCGGCATGGAAATAAGTAGGATACCTAGTGTAATACATTCTAAACAATAGTGGTGATTTTGTTTGACTTTCCGTTTCAATACTTGAAGTTTAGCTGATTGAAGTACGTATAGGCGGCGTGCGAGTCGTGTTTGTTTTATATAATATTATACCAAAGCAAAATGTGGCAAGCATTCAACAGCGAATATTTGATTTATAAAACAAATACGATATAATACTGGTTGGCTTTATCCAATTGGACAGACGAAGGGATCGTACGGCACACAGCCAAGTATTTACAATAAACGGTAAACATCATGTTTGTGAAATGTAAAATATTCGCGAAGCAGCCGCTGTTGAGTTGTTAGGTCTCGTTCGGAACAACCCGCGTATTTCTGCCGTGCACCTTCAGGGTGGGGCAGCCGTTGTAACTATACTGAGACCTTAGATCTTATATCTCAAGGTGGGTGGCGCATTTACGTTGTAGATGTATAAGGGCTCCAGTAACCACTTAAAACCAGGTGGGCTGTGAGCTCGTCCATCCATCTAAGCAATAAAAATATAAAATTAAAAAAGACGCTCGTGTAGCTGTTACCAAATCCCACCCCTCCTGGCTTAGCCCATGCTCATGCTCACCTGTCCTGCTGAAATTGAAAAGGCCTCCGGGCCACCAGTAATCCCTCAATCCCAAAGAAAAACCAAATTTTATTCAATTCTTTAAACTTGAACACCTTTACACAAACTAAACGGTCAAAAAGCCATCATAATTACATGTTTACATTAAAATAAACACTGAATTGATTAATAAAACAAATTGCATAGTTTCACGCGTTGCATTCCCGCTAAAAAATCGCCACTAGATATTAAAGTTTTAGTGCCACTGACCATTTAAATAAAAATGTATTGAGAACCGGCGATTCCGTTTATGAATACCTTTACTTATACGAATTGCCAACATTTAAATATGAAATAAGTAACTGACAATAGAAAAAATGAAATTTATCGAGGGTAGCTACAAAATATTAGTGAGACGTTCCAAATGTTTCAATATCAATGTTTGCTTTATAATTTTATCTATTCGATTTTTTTTATTCAATAGGATAAATTTTATATTATTTGCTTTAGATACAAATATTAATTATTTATTGATTCGTGAATGTGTAATATCGCATAGAATATGCCGAAAACAATGCCCAAAAGTCCAAATACCAGTGTGAGTGTAACATTTCCTAATAACGATATTGAATGATATCATAATTTAATTGGCACGCTTCGCCGCCGCTATTGGTAAATAAATATTAAACATATGTCCAATTTTTGTATATACTGAAACACTATATTATGTCCTTCGTTGATTGTATCATAGCAGAAATGTGCCTCCGAAGTGTCGAAATATAGCATCATTCGAAATATCCTTCAACTTTATTGTGCCTAAGAGATACTATATGATTATATGTGCTTCAAAACAGAATCCATCGTTTGCAAATGAAAATATAAATAAATATACTCACAGGTGAAAATCGAACAAAAAACTTCTAACGTAAAAAAATCACCCAAAATCAAAAACGAAGCGGACAAGTCACCGAAAAAGTCCAGGGACAACACCATAAAGTCGTACCTGGTGCCGCCCAGCTACCCGAACCAAGGCGTCGTCTACGTCAAGAAAAGCATCCGGGAGAATGAGCTGTTCAAGTTAAATAGTTTGAAAGAGGATCTACATAATGTTAAGGTGAGGGCAAAGCGCCGCGTACTGTCCTAGTTTTCCAATTACAGAGCATAATGTGACTCAGTGGCACTCACCTTTGGGTCTTTGGAGGGACTACGGTTCCCTCTGTATTTTGTACCGCATGTTCCATGGGGAGTGCTCTGAGGAATTGTTCGAGATGATACCAACGTCTCGTTTTTACCATCGCACCGTCCGCCACCGGAGTAGAGTTCATCCATACTACCTGGAGCCACTGCGGTCATCCACAGTGCGTTTCCAGAGGTCTTTTTTGCCACGTACCATCCGGCTACAGAATGAGCTCCCCTCTACGGTGTTTCCCGAGCGCTATGACATGTCCTTCTTCAAACGAGGCTTGTCTACTCCTGGCATTGCTGAAGTCCATGGGCGACGGTAACCACTTACCATCAGTTGGGCCGTACGCTTGTTTGCCTACAAAGACAATAAGAAAAAAAACAATGCCGAATTATGCTGAAGCTTAATTGGAACGTGAATTAGTTTTCAAATGCATCAGCAGAGTGCGCTAAGTTCAGTGTTGAAAATAATGTGGTAAACAATAATAATTTGTTGAAAACTATTTACGGTTATTTTGAGTAATTTGGATTTTGATTACTTCATTAACACTTTTTTACGTTTTGAGTAATTTTTTTAAATGAGTTCTAAGAAAATTATATACTTTTTAATTGAATCATCTTATCCAGATGATAGTGATGACGATGATTTATCGAGTGCTCCGAGCTTAAATCAATCAATTATTTCATTATCAAGTGATAAATTTGTTGAAAATATATATGATAATGAAACAGATGAGTTATTTGAGCCATTAATAAAATATCTGATGAGAGGCAGTACTTTTGAGAGTGCTCGATTGTGCGAAGCGTTGCTGTAGTTGGAACATTCAACGTTGAGCATTATGCCGCATAATGCGCTCTTGTGCTGTCATTGAAAAACTACCTATGTGTCGGCACGGGTACCGGTGAGGAGGACCGGCGGGGGGCTGGCGGGGCGGGGCAGGTCGCCATAGAGAAGGATACCACCAGCCTGCCTGTCTCTAACGCAGAGAAAACCTTGTCTTTTCTCAGACTAAGGCGATAATTGAAAATTGCTTGTTGCATTCGTATCGGTTTTAATTGCGACATGTAATCTGAGTTCCGTGCGCGCCCCCAGAGACTTCTGCAGCAAGTGGAGGTGAACACGCTGCCGGACGGCGGAGTGAAGCTGATCGAGCGTCTCACCGGACTGGAGGCGGAGATCCGACGCCAGGGAGACAAGGTCGCCAACATGGTGGTCGAGCCTGGTCAGTTTAGTGCAATATTTGCTTTTGCGATTAGCGTAAAACCGGCCTTAATGCCGGATCTTTTCAGTGAGTCGCGGTTTTAATCTGGTAGTAGATTCTGCTAAGCACTGTTCTCGCTAGGGCTAGTAGTGTTGGCAAATTCTCTCAAGTTGAGTTCGTGAGCTCACCTACTACCCGTTCGGGCATAGCTGGAATAGCTCTTTGTACTAACCGCAAATAGGTCTAAAAGGTCATTGATTATTTTGAGACATTAAATATTTGTTGGGCTTTTTGGCGGAAAAACTAGGAGCTGTTATACGGGACTTTGAAAAACTATTTTCGTATGATAATGATAGCTTATGATCCGTTCAGTATCCGTGAAGGTGCACAAGTGTGCGAATATGAAACAGAGTCGCTGGACGTAACTTGTCATGTTGCTCCAAAAAGTCTTTTACAAGTCGTCGCGGCCTAACGGATAAGTCGTCCGGTGCGTTCGTGTTGAGCGATGCACCGGTGTTCGAATCCCGCAGGCGGGTACCAATTTTTCTAATGAAACACGTACTCAACAAATGTTCACGATTGACTTCCACGGTGAAGGAATAACATCGTGTAATAAAAAGCAAACCCGCAAAAATTATAATTTGCGTAATTACTGGTGGTAGGACCTCTTATGAGTCCGCGCAGGTAGGTACCACCGCTCTGCCTATTTCTGCCGTGGAACAGTAATGCGTTTCGGTTTGAAGGGTGGGGCAGCTGTTGTAATTATACTTGAAACCTTAGAACTTATATCTCAAGGTGGGTTGCGCATTTACGTTGTGGATGTCTATGGGTTCCAGTAACCACTTAACACCAGGTGGGCTGAGAACTCGTCAACCCATCGGAGCAATTAAAAAAAAAGTTCATCGAAGACATTGTTTCATTTTACTGGGACTTTATTTCATTTTATCGAAAGTTTCATTAAATTGCATCCCAATTGATTAGTCTAAAATAAATCAACTTTATCTGTTTTCACTCTATATCCTTTTCCATATAACAGAATTTGAAAATGTATGTGTTATTTGTAATTGAAGATTTTTATAAACTCTGCACTGGCAATAGTGGCATCGCAAGAAACCAATTAGTTGTCATACTTAAAAAGAATGAAGAAAGGTTTCCTTGTAGTCCTATGCTGTACAAATAAGTTAGGATAATGGAATCATCGTTAATATAAAAAAAAAATTTTTTTTTAGAGAATCCAACAATAGAGGAAATAGCTAAAGATGGCTTCGAGAAGGGGCTCTCCTGGGAGGAGATACAGAAGGCCAGCATCGCCGTGCAGCCGCGGATGTTCGGCAAACAAGGTGACCGAATTCCTTCTGTGACCTCATCTGGTTCTACTAAGGTTCTACTACTTAGAGTACACCAGAACATCTCACAGCACAGACCATAAGTCTATTACTGTATGTGCTTATGTATGCTTTGTATTCGGGTTCACCATTTAATTTGTTTTTTTTTTTTTGTTTTTTCTTATTTTTATACTATAGTAAAATTATTTTGTCGGTGCAGTTTGGGTCATGAAACATAGCCCGACTAGGGCGGTGAGCATTTTGCGCGGGTGCAACGTCATTATCGGTATAAAACGGTAGAATTTATTCAAAATAATATTTGCACGTGTTGTTATCAACAATGTGTTAAGAATTTTCACTGAAATGAAAACAGATCCCGAAAAGTTACAGAGTGTTAATTTCTGCCGTTCTCGTTAACTTGCTGCGGCGATATGTGGTGTAAGTGTTCGATTAGTGATTTTTACATTCATTTTTATCACTAACCCACAAAATGACAAAACTAAGTACACTATCGATAACGCTTATCGACAACAATAATGCGCATCACTATGCCCGTCCATAAGGCTCGTGAGTGGAAGAGAGAGCGAAATATTCGCTTCACTGCTCGGATTATTTATGACCCAAACTGCACGAACAAAATAATTCTACTATTGTTTATACCATGGTCTAAGTCTGTACACACGTACCTAGCCTTCATTCCAGCAATGAACCAAAGGGATACGGGGGTGACTGAAAATCAGCGCTGTTCGATTTTGATCAACCTTGAACAGCATTAGCTGAGGCAACCTCCTTTTACCTTTTTCTCTTTTTTTATTTTTTTTTAATTTTATTTAATTTAATTTGAAAGGCAATAAATGTTTTTATTATTATTTTTATTTAAATTTTTACTTTCTCAGCTTGCGCCGGTAGTACTTTAGTGACACTTACGGACTCGCTCAAGTAAATGTCACGGTTTCTTGGGGTTGGCTAATTAAGTGTGTTCTACTATTGTATTATGTGGTTGATCATCTATTTGCAGAAACTTTCTTACGATTCTGCACGTGTTTAATATAGCAGCTTTTTGAAGAAGTATGTAAGTGCTAGGTTTCAGGTTAAGGAGCTTCAAACCATGATGTATATGTTTTGGAATAACACCAATTATTATTATTATTTGCGGCATACCGTAACATGCGACTCCCGCGCAGCCATGGCGAGCCACATGGCGGAGCGGAACCTCATCCTGGACCGGCTCCGAGACCTGCACGAGTCGCTGGCGTCCTGCCCGCCGGAGTCGCAGCTGGCCGCCCCGCCGCGCGGCCTGCGCTCCCAGCTCATGCCGCACCAGCTGCACGCGCTGGCCTGGCTGCACTGGAGGGAGACGCAGCGACCGGCGGCCGGAATACTAGGTACCCACGCTGGCGATGGCTTGTTCATACATTATCTTTAATATATCAGTTACAACTCATACAAAAGTTAACGTAAAATGCTAGAAGAGATTGCTCTTAGCGATAAGACCGCCAATTTTATTTTCCTCCTACCTATGCTGATAGCTTAAGAGGCTATTTCAGCTTCACCCTAACGTGTGTGGGTGTGCTCACGGGGCTCAAACCTGACGAAGTTGCTAACACTGGCCCTAGCAAGAGCCGTGTTCCGCAGAATCTACCACCGGATCGGAAACGCGACCCACTAAGAAGATCCGGCGAGAAACTCAGTGGGCTGTGTCTGTGAAAGATCGCCAACTATACTTTTTTTGTATTTAATATATCGCATTGTTTTTTTTTTTTTTGCTGTACAATATAGAATACTCACTCTCTAGAATGCATCAGCAAACCGGAAAGGAAATAAAATGTTATTATTTTGTAATATTGCAGACGTACCCACAGACCACCGGGTGTTGAGTGAGTGACCTACCTCAATTGATTTGTTATACTAGTTGTTGTGTCCCTCGCACTGAGTGGCGTGGCAGCCTCGTGGCTAGGTAGTCAGGATGTGGGTACCTATCCGTGCAAGATTACACTGCACCGTTCATATTCCGATATTAATATGTTATAGTCATCGTTTAATACTAGATCGATTGTCTAATAATTTCCTTGTGAATTCTAAAAATGAGAAAAGAAATGTCTACTCTATATTGTATTTTTCATTGAATTTTACCTTCGTTAACCATTTCAGCGGACGACATGGGCCTGGGCAAGACCATCACGATGATAGCGCTGATGGTCAGCGACAAGGAGAACAGCGCCGAGGATGACGACTCCGACGACGAGCGGCCCGGGGACAGCAGGTGTGAGTGTCGACCCATATCACTACATAGTATAAAACAAAGTCGCTTTCTCTGTCCCTATATCTGTTCCTATGTATGCTTAAATCTTTAAAACTACGCAACGGATTTTGATGCGGTTTCTTTAAATAGATAGAATGATTGAAGAGGAAGGCTTATATGTATAATAACATCCATTAAATAGTGGAGAAATCAATTATAAATTACAGTTTCCGAAGCGAAGCGAGGGTGGGTCGCTAGTCACATATAAGTGAATGCATCTTAAATCCGGGGATAATGTCGAACAAAATAAAAGAGCATATTAAATTCATTGAATAAATCTAAATCTTGAGCTGCTAGTAATTTGGTCGGAATTTGCTTCCATCTCTTAAAATGAATGTGCCACAAGTGTTGTTTGTATGCAGTGGTGCGCGGCGGCACGCTGGTGGTGTGCCCGGCGTCGCTGGTGCAGCAGTGGGCGGGCGAGGTGGAGAAGCACTGCGCGGGCGGGCGCCTCGCCGTGGCGCTGCACCACGGGCCCGCGCGCGCCCGCCACGCGCACCGCCTCGCCGCCGCCGACCTCGTGCTCACCACCTACAACATCCTGCAGCGGGACCACGACAAGGTCAGCGCCGCCAGGATCTGTGTCCTTGCCTACGTTTGCCGCTAGGGGCGCTGTTCTAATTGCATACAAAATTGGATTAACTTTTACGCTATCGAGAACGTTAAAAAACACGCACTAAGCACACTGATAGTAGATTCTCAAGGCTATCAGATAAGTTAAGAAATAAAAAAAGTTCGACAAGTTCGAAGTGAATTTCGATATAATTAATTAAATCAAAAACTCTTATTAGGGACCTACTCCACGGTGGATGGAGCGTGACGCGATTCTCTTTCCACTTAATTTTTTTTTTGTGAATTTCGGAAACTGACAATTCATTGCATTTGAAAAATTTTATTACTTCCCGTGACGTAGCTTTGAGTGTAAATGAATCATTATTATAAATGCTGTTTCGTTTGTAAAATATGATTAAGTAGCAAAAAAAATGTAAAGTGCTTTTGGTCGATTGCAATACGTCACGACGACTCTAATATAATAATGGTATGATCATAGTCACGAATATTAGTTTACTGGATATTACTGTTACGCGCTGGGGTTCGAGATAAATAAAATTTCACCAAAGTACAATTTAAAACTGTATTCAACACTTAAAACACTGAACAAATACATTAAAATTCTCAATTCGCTTCTTCCGCTTCGCTTCAAGTGATCCGTTCGCTGTTTCGCTTCGAGTAGTTCCGATTACTGACTGACTGCGCGCCATCCCTACAACGCCTTTATAGCCGGATACCTCATCCCTAGAATTATCGAGAACATTCCACATATTTCTAGTAGTAGTTTCCGTTGTACTTCTCGAACATTCTAGGTGCTACTAGGTCCTTCGATATTCGTTCGACTATTCGGCGATAGATGACGTTACTCTTACTGGCGTAATATTACGTAAAGCTTTTTTTTATTGCCCTTATAGGCAGACGAGCACACGGCCCATCTGATGGTGAGTGGTTACCTATGGACTTCAGCAGTGCCAGGGGCAGAGCCGAGCCGCTGCCTACCGCTTAGTACTTTCCACAAGCCTCGTTTGAAGAAGGACATGTCATAGCGCTCGGGAAACACCGTGGAGGGGAGCTCATTCAAAAAAGACCTTTGGAAACGCACTGTGGATGACCGCAGTGGCTCCAAGTAGTAGTAGTAGCTACAGAGTGTCTCACAATGTCGTTGAGGCGGCGGGGCGGGGGCGGCCCGGCGAGGGCGACACAGTAAGGGCGCTTGTGCGCAGGGCGTGCTGTTCCGCGTGCGCTGGCGGCGCGTGGTGCTGGACGAGGCGCACGCGGTCCGCAACCACAAGTCGGCCACGTGCCGCGCCGCCGCCGCGCTGCCCGCCGCGCGCCGCTGGGCGCTCTCCGGCACGCCCGTGCACAACAAGGACCTGGACCTCTTCGCGCTGCTGCAGTTCCTGCGCTGCTCGCCCTTCGACGACCTGTCCGTGAGTGTCCCGCCCTACGTGTTTTTATTTTTTTGAATCGTTGGGTGTGATTTCAAACTCGATGAAACGAAATAAAACGAAACGAAAAAATAAGTGTGCCGCGATTGGCTTGCCGAAGTGGGTCCGAGCGGCGCCGACAAATAACGAAGCGCTCCACAGGGTCTCGCGTCACCGACTAGTTCAGTGTGTTTTTGACGTCCGTGCACGCTGTCGTGGCTCTCGGAGCGCCCTGAGATACTTTTATTTCTATTTAGTTTGTTATTAGCAGATGTCGCTGCACGTAAATTCAACAATTCCTGAATCGCGGTGACGGGTTGTTACACAGTTGATAGACGTTCTCGTATTTCTCTTGCTAAAGAATACTTACCGGCGTAGGGATACCGTGATGATGCAGGCGACTTCCCCAGGGTGAGGCTGCTCCATTGCAATGCGGAGTGGTTAACCCTTGCGATTATTTTTATTTTTATAAGTTTCACTTCAACCGTGTCCGACTTTCACACACACATTTTTTTTTGTTGCTTAGCTGGGTGGACGATCTCACAGCCCTTCTGGTGTTAAATGGTTACTGGAGCCCATAGACATTTACAACGTAAATGCGCCACCTACCTTGAGATATAAGCTCTAAGGTCTCAGTATAGTTACAACGGCTGCCCCGCCCTTCAAACCGAAGCGTATTACTGCTTCACGGCAGAAGTAGGCAGGGCGGTGGTACCTACCCGCGCGAACTCAAAAGAGGTCTTACCACCGGTAACTCGTGTAACTCACTCTCACTGTTCGTGCTCATTACTGTCGTGTCTTTATCATCAGATGTGGAAGAAGTGGATCGACAACAAGAGCTTGGGAGGGCAGGAACGTTTGAGCACCATAATGCGTTGCTTACTTCTGCGGCGCACGAAGATGCAATTACAGCAGAAGGGACAGCTGGCGTGTCTCCCGCAGCGCCACACCCACGAGCAGCAAGTCACTCTCTCCAAGAACGAGATGAATGTTTACCAAAAGGCAAGATCAGTCTGAATGATGACTTTATTCATAGCTAGCGACCCGCCCTCGCTTCGCTTCGGAAACATTAAATTTTATTATTGATAGCCCAGTCCCATGCCATGTTGCGCGCGGTACGACAATAACTGCAGGTGACGCCGCGGGGCGAAGCTAGTCTAAAAAAAGTAGCCTAAGTTACTCCTTATATCATCAGCTACCTATTAGTGAAAGTCTCATAAAAATCGGTCCAGCCGATCCAGCCGTTCCAGAGATTAACCGGAACAAACAGACACAGACAGACAAAAAATGTAAAAAATGTTATTTTGGTGTATGTACTGTATATATAATTATATGCATTTAGTAAAAAGCGGTTATTTCAAACAGACACTAATTTTATTTATATGTATAGATGATTGGTCCTGAGTCCCGACTCACCGAGTCCGAACTGAGGGTTGATGCGGTTTAGCCTTTTATTCTTCCAATTTGTGAATTTGTGTATCATTTAAGTAACTCACAATTTACTACTGATCATGTAATAGTCCTAAATGCATAGTAGCTATAACCTTATAAGTGTACAAAATGAAAATTAATTAATTTACAAGACAAAGCATCAGAAAAAAAAAAATTAAATTTGTTCAGGTGCTGGTATTCTCGAAGACGCTGTTCGCTCAGTTCCTCCACCAGCGCGCTGAGAAGAACTCTGAGCAGTTTGGTGCCCCTCTCCCCGACAAGGACTCGGAGTACGCGAAGATGCACAAGAGAATGATCGCCTTACAGGGTATGTTCATGTTTACAAAACAATGGTGATAATGTGGAATGTCTTCTTTATTCTTACCTTAAAAGTTAGTTTTTAATAAATGAATTTTTGACGTGACCGCGTCTTATAATTCGATGGAGCCGGCTGCACGCACGAAAAAACATGACTCATGCGGCGTTACCTCGCTCTGATGCGTTCCATTTAAGGCTTGAAGTGCAAGCGAGAGCGCGCAACGAGCGACAAAGAGGCACAATCGGCCTCCGCGTTCGGCAGCGTTCGACAGCTGTCTCAATGTGGTGTCAATTGTTTATAGCAACGATAATTGTGATAATTGAAAAATGAAACCATTCCATCAGTATTTTCCTATGACGTTGCCACGTTCAACACGTTACATTGGAATAATATTCCTTCGATAGCTCGGCTATAAACATATATCAAAGTCAACATTTTCCAACATATCACAGTCCACTATTCTTAAAGAAAAGTATATTACAACTCAATTTAAAAAATGCTTCACAACAAATACGTACGTATACCCTAGAACCCACTGAGTTTATCGCTAGATCTTCTCAGTGGGTCGCGTTTCCGATCCGGTGGTAGATTCTGCGAAGCACGGCTCTTGCTAGGGCCAGTGTTAGCAATGCAATGTTGAACCCGTAAGCTCACTTACCCATCCAGATGAAGTTGGAATAGCCCCTTAGGCTACCAACGAAGAGGTAGGGGAAAAAAAAAATGAACTCTATTTCAAGGTGCTCTTGCGAGTCCGCGCGGGTAGATACCACCACCCTGCCTATTTCTGCCGTTGTAACTATACTTGAGACCTTAGAACTTATATCTCAAGGTGGGTTGCGCATTTACGTTGTAGACGTCTATGGGCTCCGGTAACCATTTAACACCAGGTGGGCTGTGAGCTCGTCCATCCATCTTAGCAACAACGAAAAAAGGTTGAGCCTGTGAGCTCCCCTACCCGTCCTCGTGAAGTTGGAATAGCCCCTTAGGCTACCAACAATAAGCTAGGGAAAAATGAACTCTATTTCAAGGCGCTAAACCGGTCAAGTCCCACGAGATCCTGGTCCTGTTGCTCCGTCTGCGGCAAGTGTGCTGCCACTGCGGACTCATAGCCGCCATGCTGGACGACGCCGCGCCCGACCTCGACGCGGACCCGGCCGGGAGCGACTTGCTCGACGAACTCAACAAAATGTCGCTCGAAGACAGCCGGAAGGAGGTATCTTTTTTTTTAATTTATTGCTTAGATGTGTGGACGAGCTCACAGCCCACCTGGTGTTAAGTGGTAACTGGAGCCCATAGATATCTACAACGTAAATGAGCCACCCACCTGAGATGACGAGATAAGTTCTAAAGTCTCAAGTATAGTTATAACGGCTGCCCCACCCTTCAAACCGAAACGCATTACTGCTTCACGGCAGAAATAGGCAGGGCGGTGGTACCTACCCGCGCGGACTCACAAGAGGTCCTACCACCAGTAGTTACTGCTCACTCACACATTACTCGAGTCATTAGCTATTAGAATGATTTGGACAAGCCATAATAATAATTAATCCAGCTAATCATCAGCCCAGTATAAGCCGTGCCAATAAAGAAACGAATCGAAAATGGCGGCAGCGATCATGCGCTCTCACTCTAAACTATTGCTGTCTTTAGTCGCTGATAATACTTGATTTTCATTACATACCTCTCAACTAAATATAAACATCTCGCAGAGTTCGAAAGACGATGAAGATGAAACCGAAGGTGTCCAAGAGGAAGGCACCACGGCAGCCGAAGCCATAAGGTCTGTCCTGAGTCCGAACAATCCCGTGTTCGAACTAACCAGGCCTTCATCAAAGATCAACGCTGTCATGGAGTGTCTCAAAGAGAATGTATTTTCTAAGCCAGGTCAGTTGCCCCTGGGTTGTGTAGAGTTATTTGCAAATAACTTTATAGTAAAAAGTTTACCGATTCGCAATAAAAAAAATCAATAACAATTAACACCATAATCCCTATATCCTGTGAAACACTTATCTTAAAACAATTTTAAATTTTCTAACGTCAACTTCAACAGGTGAAAAGGCAGTGATCGTGTCACAATGGACAAGTGTTCTTCACTTGGTCGAGAAGCAGCTGTCAGCCATGGCGGTCCGCAGCGTGACGCTGAGCGGGAGCGTGCCGGTGACGGCCCGGCCCGCGCTCGTGCACGCCATCAACGACCACAACAGTGCCGTCAAGGTACGCAGACCAGCTCATACAGTAGGGGGGCAGCCCCCGCCATGGGGTCCGCAGCGTGACGCTGAGCGGGAGCGCTTATCTCCTTTCTTATATTTTGAAACTAATGGTACCGTAAAATGGGGAAAATCGGGATATTTTTTAAGTCAAACATTGATTATTTTTTTTAGTTATAGTAATAAAACGGAGATTAACATGGTTCCGGAGGCTAAATGTTTATATACGATGCTTTATTATACATAGTTCATTACAAAATATACACAAAAACTGAAAAAACTAGTTTGACCCGATTCACCTTGACTTTGGGGTGAATCAGGCTATTTATGGTGACAATAGAGTTTTTCGATAGGGCTGTCACTATTTAGTGGTTAGGTAGGTACCCAATTATTTTTTTAATATCTTTAATGAGTTAAATTAAACTATTTAATATTCTTAAACACAAGATAAAAGTCATTTTCAGTTCAACAAAGTTTAATCTCTAACAACTCAACAAAAGTATTGTGACATCCCAGATTTGTCCCTATTCTAAGTCTCTATTCCTCCCAATCTACTGTACTATCATTTTACTCCTCTGTCGATATAGATCAAAAATATCTCTCTTTCTTTCTTTCTTTCCTCCTTCGATGATGACACGGTAACGTTGTTCGCTCAGGTGATGCTGCTGTCGCTGTGCGCGGGGGGCGTGGGTTTGAACCTGTGCGGCGCCAACCACCTGTTCCTGCTGGACCCGCACTGGAACCCGCAGCTCGAGCAGCAGGCGCAGGACCGCGTCTACCGCGTCGGCCAGGACAAGACCGTGCACATTTACAGGTAACTAACTAGCTGCCCCATATATTACTCACACTTTTTATTTGGTATAGAATAGTAATAAATAAATAATAATAAAGGATTGTGTGGTTTTATGAAACCACGGTAAAAGAGAAACTTTTTTCACATTACTAGCTGATCCCGCAGACTTCGTAGTGCCTCAATCGATAAATAAAAGACCTAAGCTTTTGTATAAAATAAACTTAAAATAAACAAAAGGAATCCGTCCGACGGAGGACACATCAAAGGAAAAACAAAATTGTTATTTTTATTTAATTTCGAGCATTTTGATATTTATCTACTTTTTAAACCTTCTCTGGACTTCCACAAATAATTCAAGACCAAAATTAGTCAAATCGCTCCAGCCGTTCTCGAATTTTAGCGAGACAAACGAACAGCAATTCATTTTTATATATATAGATAGACATTTAACTCTGATAAACAACATTCATATTAAACATTGACAAAAAAAAAAAAAAAAAATAGCGTGGAGCACTGGCACAAATTAGTAATAGTCTATATACACTACACGGTCAGCTGCTGCGAACTATAGGTGCCACCATATTGGTCTTGGCTGCTCTGACGAACGCCTTTCACTTTATCCCTACTCCGCGGCCGACCGTCACGCGACATGCAACACACAGACGAAAAAGTTTGAGACAATGTTATAAAAGTTTCACTTCAAATAAATAAATAACTCTGAACAAATCACGCACGGTCATCCAGCCCCAAATTAGGTTTCCATTTGTTGTCGGTACCAGAAACTGACAATGCATACATCACACGAATGTTTGCCCGATGTTGGAATCGAACCCACGACCCTTAGCGCAACAGAACCGCTAACTACTGCACTACCTTTTTTTCCCTACATAAGTTGAGAGCTTGAGAGGCTATATCAGCGTAGCCTAAACTAGTAGGTGAGCTCACGGGGCTCAAGCCTGACGACCTTTGCTAACACGAACCCTAGCAAGAGCCGTGCTTCGCAGAATCTACCACCGGATCGGAAACGCGACCCACTGAGAAGATCCGGCGATAAACTCAATGGGCTGTGTCCGTGGGTTAATTTACTCGTCGAGCCCTTCGTCGCAATCGATGGGTTCGACGAGAACGATGACCGGGGCACTACCAAGTCAATCTTCTGACTATAGTTTTTGCATTGATTCTTTTTTAATAATATGCAATTATCATATGATATGTTCAAAGATGAAACATGTTTACTTAATCTTATGCCTTAACTGTCGAATAATATGATCTATTTACGAAAACTAAACGAAAGTTAGTTGACCAACAAGCGTGTTGTGAGCGTCACAATAGAGCCCCCCCCCCCCGGTCCCGCGGCGGCTCCCTTGAAACAGCCGCGCCGCAGGGTCGATGACACGAGGTCGTTGACCCGCAATTCGTCAAACCGACTGAACCGCGCACGCATCACGCTGTATATTATAAAATTATGAAAACAATAATAACATCTCGCGTCTCGATGCCACGTGGATTTTTTTTTTTATTACCCTTGCTGATAGCCTTGAGGCTATTTCAGCGTTACCCCAGCGTGTAGGTGAGGTCTCGGGGCTCAAACCGGAGTGTTGGCCCCAGCGAAAGTAATGCTTCGCGGAATCTACCACCGGATCGGAAACGCGACCCACTGAGAAGATCCGGCGAGAAAACCTAGCGGGCTGTGTCTATGGGTTCATTTACTCGCCGAACCCTTCTTCGCAAGCGTCGGGTTTGACAATAACGATGACCGGTGCTTGGGGTACCTAGAAGCACCGTTAGTAGATCGGGAGCATGAAATGGCGCATTGATGCCGACCGTAGATACTTACTGACGGACTCTAGGTCCATGTCGTCGTGGAGGTCCACGTTACGGATATACCACGGGGCTCCGACGGATATCCTGCAAAAACAGGATTGTATTATTTGAAGAGGTTTCAAGTTGGTGCGGGCCGCGTGAGTGAACACTTCGCTTGCATAAGTCAGGACCGGACGCAGTGGTGGATTTACACTAGGGGTAGTCGGGGCAAGTGCCCAGGGCGGCAAATTTTTGAAAGTAAACATTTTTTTTTAGTCTTGTCAAGATTCTAATAATTAATAAATTTCTTTTTATTGATAATTCAAGAAATTCAATTCATTCATTATTTGTGAATTATAATTTTTGCACTTTTGGTAAAAATTAATAATCAAGATGATTTAATCAATTTATTTCCTTTGAGATTTAAACTAATAATCGATTTTTCTATTTTCTGTAATTAAAGAAATTTAATTAGATTTTTGTTTTTGATGTATTATAATATAATAATGAGTCACCCTTGGTCAAAATTAAATAACGAATATTTATTTATGTTTTTGGAATATATGACATATGATAATGTTTCCGCAATAAAAATAAAATATAATATATAAAATATAATATATATAATATATAAATAATACATAAGTTTAGGTAAAATTACAGTATTGGGGCGGATTTTTTTCCGGTGCCCAGGAGCGGCATTAAGTTTAAATCCGGCCCTGACCGGACGTGTGCAAATTTTGTAGAGTGTCACCTTATTTCTAAGGGACAATTTACTTCGCTTATAGGTAAACAAAAACCAAATAAGTTACCACCATTAACATTACATAAGAGTATAGGCGTGAACAGAGAAAAAAATTGGCCTTTAAAAAAAATAGTTTACCAATATCAACTTTGCTGTATTTTTGTATCTTTTGTGAAATTCCTCTGAATCTGTCTGCTAACGGCCGTTTTCAATAACGTATCTGAGTTTTCGGATAGATAGCTATCTCCGAATATCAGCAAGAGCGTATCTGTCCTTAGTTTGCGTTTCACAATCACGGATAAGTGCTATCTCTCTTTAACCAACAGTAGATAGCTTCTTCCCTCCGATTTACGGCCGTTTTCAATAACCTATCTATCCTTAGTTTCGGTTACTAAAGATAGACAAATCTATTCTTTTGTCCTTACTTACGTTCCAATAACCTATCGACAGACAGCAGTTCCTATCGGATTTATCTATACATCGTCGGGAGGACGGATAGCCTACTAAAGATAGAACGCTCATACAAATCGTGCTTACTTCCGTTTCAATATGAGTTTAAAGTAACTCTCCGGTAGGCGGCGCTATCTCTAGTAAGGGCATTCGCTTATCTGTCAAAATCGGCCGGTTACATGTTTATCTTTCGAAAGTAAATCGCTATAATTTAATAATTGTTTCTCTTCATATTGGCATATTGTAGAAGTGATGATAGTGATATGGAATTATTTCAAATGATAATGGATTGTGATGCAGATAGTGACAGTGAGGCCGATATCATATGGTTAGGAAAATAAAGATCGTCTGAATTACATGGCGAAGATCAATAATTACGAATTTGACTATAGATTTCTGAGCAAAGGTGTTGTGAATGAATTGACTAATTTAATGAGACCATATTTGAGTGTAACGTCAAAAAGGTAAGATAAATTTTAACCATAAAAGTACTCGTTATTACAACTTATATTTGTTTATAGCAATAGCAAAATTATACCCAATTTTTGTTGTGTTACAAAATCACACTCAACAGGAATTCTATAATACTGCTGGATTCCCAAGGTGCCCTAAATGACATTCATATACTAATACAATAACCTGGTAGGCTATTTACCTTCATTCTTATTACACACTGATACCTCTACATTTTATATTTGTGTTACAAATTCAAATATAGGAGAGGAATTTAGAAATAGAAAAAGAGTATTTTGAATGTGTAATTTGTGTGCAATGCATCATTGATGTTTCAAAATGTTGTTGCTTGGTGGCCTGGTTCTACTCATGATACAACTTTAATTAACCATTCCGATTGAAAAGGTATTTCTTATTTATATTATATTTTTATTTATTTATATTATATTTTTATTTATTTATATTATATTTTTATTTATTTATATTATATATTTAGGTGTTTATATGAATTTAATATGACACTATTATAATAAATTATCTACATATCAAGAGAACATTGATAACAAGGTGGACTTGGAAATTGCTATTTGCTTGCCGATAGAGGCTATCCCCACAACCCTATCTTTTAACATGATTAATTAACCCACATACTCAATCGGAACGATTTAAAATGAATCACATATTAAAACAAGAAATACTATAGAGAGGTAATCTTTTTTTAGTTAAGAGTTTGTTATTCTGTATTGTAAAATAAAGTAAGCGAATAATGTATAATTTTCAGATGCATTGGTGTTTGTAAAAGAAGACTCCCTGTATTATCATTGAAAAGTAGATTAAAACTAGAAAATATGCAAGCTGTTATTATAGCTGCCATGCTGCATAATATCGTCAGGAGTATGAATTTAGAAGAATTAGAATCATAAATTTCAGTTGCAGATACATTACAGGAAAATAATATAATTGTTCGTAACAATTTTCCAGAACGTACATCTGAAATACAACTACTTTTTTTTTTTACTATAATTGCTTCCAAAGATAATTTATAAAATAAACTCCAATGATAATTTGACTATTTTTTATTTTCCAAAATGATAATTACATAGTGGTTAGTACATGCAAGATATTTAATTTAGAATTTGTACATATACTTAAAAAACAATCTAACATAAAATTATTATTGCCTACTTAATTTATGAAATCCTTTTAAGTAATTTTTTATTTTTTAATCTAGCATTATCTAAATCTAACTTAAGTTTTGCTACAACAATCTCCTTTTCTTCATTTTCCAAGTCAAGTCTCTTTTTTGCTATTAGATATTCTGCTAATGCATTGCATTTCTTTTCTTCCATCTTGTTTCCGCTTGGCTGTAAAAGTGTTAAAAATACATGTGACCTACAACAATGTGCATGCTTTATCCAAAATGTCANAGCTCATACAGTAGGGGGGCAGCCCCCGCCATGGGGTCCGCAGCGTGACGCTGAGCGGGAGCGTGCCGGTGACGGCCCGGCCCGCGCTCGTGCACGCCATCAACGACCACAACAGTGCCGTCAAGGTACGCAGACCAGCTCATACAGTAGGGGGGCAGCCCCCGCCATGGGGTCCGCAGCGTGACGCTGAGCGGGAGCGCTTACCTTTTTTCTTATATTTTGAAACTAATGGTACCGTAAAATATGGAGAATCGGGACACTTTTTAAGTTCCACATTGATTTTTAACGTTTTTTTTAGTTATAGTAATAAAATGGATATTAAAATGGTTCCGAAGGCTAAATTTTTATATACGATGTGTTTTTATTCCTAGTTCATTACAAAATATACACAAAAACTGAAAAAACTGGCTTGACCCGATTCACCTTGATTTTGGGGTGAATCAGGCTATGTATGGGGACAATAGAGTTTTTCGATAGGGCTGTCACTATTTAGTTGTTAGGTAGGTACCCAATCATTTTTTTAATATCTTTAATGAGTTAAATTAAACTATTTAATATTCTTAAACACAAGATAAAAGTCATTTTCAGTTCGACAAAGTTTAATCTCTAACAACTCAACAAAAGTATTGTGACATCCCAGATTTGTCCCTATTCTAAGTCTCTATTCCTCCCAATCTACTGTACTATCATTTTACTCCTCTGTCGATATAGACTAAAAATATCCCTCTTTCTTTCTTTGATGATGACACGGTAACGTTGTTCGCTCAGGTGATGCTGCTGTCGCTGTGCGCGGGGGGCGTGGGTTTGAACCTGTGCGGCGCCAACCACCTGTTCCTGCTGGACCCGCACTGGAACCCGCAGCTCGAGCAGCAGGCGCAGGACCGCGTCTACCGCGTCGGCCAGGACAAGACCGTGCACATCTACAGGTAACAATTTTTTTTGTTACTTAGATGGATGGACGAGCTCACAGCCCACATGGTGTTAAGTGGTTACTGGAGCACATAGACATCTACAACGTAAATGCGCCACCCACCTTGAGATATAAGTTCTAAGGTCTCAGTATAGTTACAACGGCTGCCCTACCCTTCGAACCGAAACGCATTACTGGTTCACGGCGGAAATATGCGGAGTGGTGGTACCTACCCGCGCGGACTCCCAAGAGGTCCTACCACCAGTGATAACTAGCTGCCCCATATACTAGTCACGCTTTTTATTTGGTATAAAATAGTAATAAATAATAATAATAATAATAAAGGATTGTGTGGTTTTATGAAACCACAGTAAAAATGAAACTTTTTTTCACATTATAGACATTTAACTCTTACACTTTAAAAACTGAAAAAAAAAACAAAAACAAAATAGCGTGGAGCACTGGCACAAATGAGTCTATACACTACACGGTCAGCTGCTGCGAACTATAGGCGCCGCCATATTGGCCTTGGCTGCTCTGACGAGCGCCTTTCACTTTATCCCTACTCCGCGGCCGACCGTCACGCGACATGCAACACACAGACGAAAAAGTTTGAGACGATGTAATAAAAGTTTCACTTTAAAAATAAATAAATAACTCTGAACAAATCAGGCACAGTCATCCGGCCCCAAATTAGGATTCCATTTGTTGTGGGTACCAGAGACTGACATAGTACATCACACGAATGTTTGCCCGATGTGGGAATCGAACCCATGACCCTCGGCGCAACAGAACCGTTAACTACTGCACTACCAAGTCAATTTTTTGACTCTAGTATTTACATTGATTCTCTCTCAATAATATGCAATTAGCATATTAAATGTTCAAAGATGAAATATGATTACTTAACCTTATGCCTTAACTTTCGAATAATATGATCTATTTACGAAAACTAAACGAAAGTTAGTTGAGCAACAAGTACGTTGTGAGCGGCGACTCCCTTTGAGACAGCCGCGCCGCAAGGTCGATGACCCGAGGTCGTTGACCAGTAATTCGTCAAACCGACTGGACCGCGCACGCATCACGCTGTATATTATAAAATTATGAAAACAATAATAACATCTCGCGTCTCGAAATGCCGCGTGGATCTTTTTTTTATTACCTATGCTGATAGCCTTGAGGCTGTTTCAGCGTTAGCCTAGCGTGTAGGTGAGCTCACGGGGCCCAAAACGGGAGTTTTGCTAACATTGGCCTTAGCTATATATACCTATACTGGTGGTAGGACCTCTTGTGAGTCTGTGCGGGTGGGTACCACCGCCCTGGCTATTTCTGCCGTGAGGCAGTAATGCGTTTCGGTTTGAAGGGTGGGGCAGCCGTTGTAACTATACTGAGACCTTAGAACTTATATCTCAAGGTGGGTGGCGCATTTACGTTGTGGATGTCTATGGGCTCCAGTAATCACTTAACACCAGGTGGGCTGTGAGCTCGTCCACCCATCTAAGCAATAAAAAAAAAGCTAGAGCTACGCTTCGCAGAATCTACCACCGGATCGGAAACGTGACCCACTGAGAAGATCCGGCGAGAAACTCAGTGGGCTGTGTCTGTGAGTTAATTTACTCGTCCAGCCCTACGTCGCAAGCGACGGGTTCGGCGAGAACGATGACCGGTGCTTGGGGTACCTTGAAGCACCGTTAGTGGGTCGGGAGCATGAAATGGCGCATTGATGCCGACTGTAGATACTTACTGATGGACTCTAGGTCCATGTAGTCGTGGAGGTCCACGTTACGGATATACCACGCGGCTCCGACGGATATGCTGCAAAAACAGGATTGTATTATTTGAAGAGGTTTCAAGTTGGTGCGGGCCGCGTGAGTGAACACTACGCTTGCATAAGTCAGGACCGGACGCAGTGGTGGATTTACACTAGGGGCAGTCGGGCCAAAAGTGCCCAGGGCGGCAATTTTTTTAAAAACTAAAATTTTTTTTAGTCTTATCAAGATTGCTCAATAAATTAATTAATTCTAATAATTAATAAATTTCTTTTTAATTGATAATTCAACAAATTCAATTCATCCATTATTTGTGAATTATAATTTTTGCACTTTTGGTAAAAATTAATAATCAAAATGATTTAATCAATTTTTTTCCTTGGAGATTTAAAATAATAATCGATTTTTCTATTTTCTGTAATTAAAGAAATTTAATTAGATTTTTTTTTATGTAATATAGTTATGAGTCACCCTTAGTTAATATTTATTTATGTTTTTGGAATATATGACATATGATAATGTTTCCACAATACAAATAAAATATATAAACTATAAGTTTAGGTAAAATTTCAGTATTGGGGCGGATTTTTTCCGGTGCCCAGGAGCGGCATTAAGTTTAAATCCGGCCCTGACCGGTATGCAAGTTTTGTAGAGTGTCACCTTATTTCTAAGGGACAATTTACTTCGCTTATAGGTAAACAAAAACCAAATAAGTTACCACCATTAACATTACATAAGAGTATAGGACTGAACAAAGAAAAAAATGGACATTAAAAAAAATAGTTTACCAATATCAACAAATTTGCTGTATTTTTGTATCTTAAGTGAAATTCCTCTGAATCTGACTGCTAAGTCGACATTAGCAACTCCCCGTCTCATTGTCAGGTGGTACCGGCCCGCGGACACAATGAATCTGTCTTGCTCAGTCCACCCTGTCGCTCGCAATGATATCTACACGATTGAGACTTCAGATTTTTGTCTCAAGCTGACAATATATTGTACAGTCCACGGTCTATGCCTGTCATTTATCACTGGGTTAACCCACACGAGCACATCTGCCCATATATAATGCATTAGTATCGAGAACCACAACAAACAAAAGCCCAGAACTTTTATACCAACAATCACTTTGGCTGATTAATCAATAAGCACTGAAATTTATAATTAACTAGCGACCCGCCCACGTTTCGCTCCGGAAACTGTAATTTATTATTGGTTTCTCCACTATTTAATGGATGTTATTATACATATAAACCTTCCTCTTCAATCACTCTATCTATTAAAAAAAAACGCATCAAAATCCGTTGCGTAGTTTTAAAGATTTAAGCATACATAGGGATATAGGGACAGAGAAAGCGACTTTGTTTTATACTATGTAGTGATTCTTGAAATTAATTGGAAATACATATCGAGGGGTGATAGGCTATTTGGTTTAAGCGACACTTTCGGAACATTACAGGAGAGCAATTAAAAAGTTTAAAATTTGGAAAAAATATCATAACAAAAAAAACTTTTTCAGATATAGTGTTGATGCTAATATAAAATAAAACACACCTTTATTATTTATTTATATTAAAAATCATATCGAGGGGTGAAAGGCGAAGGTTTTAGCGACATTTCGCTTAATCCGCGAGCTCACAGCCCACCTGGTGTTAAGTGGTTACTGGAGCTTATAGACATCTACAACATAAATACGGCACCCACCTTGAGATATAAGTTCTAAGGTCTCAGTATAGTTACAACGGCTGCCCCATCCTTCAAACCGAAACGCATTACTGCTTCACGGCAGAAATAAGCAGGGTGGTGGTACCTACCTACCCTTGCGGACTCACAAGAGATCCTACCTCCAGTAAGAACATTTATCTTTGTAATTAAAGGTCTGTTTTATTTGGTATCAGGATTAACAGTTCGATGTTTTTATTTGAATTTAATTTAAGCTTAGTCCATTCAAATAGGTGAAAAAGTTTTTTGTTATATTTTTTCCTAATTTTATACTATAACTGGCTCTTCTGTAAAGCTGCTAAAATGTCGCTTAAACCAAATAGCCTTTTACTCCTCGATATATTGGCAGTCGATGTACAGAAATGACGTATTTCAGTAACAATATCACACTCGGTCTCAATGTTAAAACATTTGTTTAACGTAATATTGAAATATTATTCTCTTATAGAACAGAATGACATCTGCTCTATTACTTTGGACGTAATTCGAGGGTACGTTGCACAAAAATACACGCAAAAGGAAAATACGTAAATAATACACAACTGTATTACAGAACAATGCGAACTCGCTAATGTCCTATATCCGGTTTAAGATTAAGGTGACCAAAAGTTTACGTGTGTTTGGACAAATCCGTACGTTACAGAGGTTCGAGAGTAGGTAGTTTCAAATTTTGAAATCGGTATTTTTTTCTTCTTTTTTATTGCTTAGGCATGTGGACGAGCTCACAGCCCACCTGATGTTAAGTGGTTACTGGAGCCCATAGACATTCACAACGTAAATGCGCCACCCACCTTGAGATATAAGTTCTAAGGTCTCAATATAGTTACAACGGCTGCCCCGCCCTGCTTCACGGCAGAAATAGGCGGGGCGGTGGTACCTACCCGCGCGGACTCACGAGAGGTCCTTCCATCAGTAAAGTTGATGTCTATACATGATGCCCGCTAGGGACGAAAACTTTTTGAAAGGCGATCTCGTACCGGATAACGTAGCGTGGGTAGGCTTTCTACAAGATGGATGGACGACATATTGAGGTTCGCGTTAATCCGCTGGATGCAATTAGTGCAGGACCGATCTTTGTGGCGAGGCTTGGGGAACGCCTATGTTTACCAGTGGACGTCTGTGGGCTGATAAATCGATAGATATCTACATGATCGAAAATAGTTTATAGTTCATTGATTTTATCGTTTTATTTATTTTGAAAGCGGGTAAAATAAGCGTCAAACTTTTTGTAAAATGAGTAAAAATAAATACCTAAACAAGAGGTTATACTGGTACAGTGAATCCGTCCGTTCCATTACGAGACTTATAAGCTGCCGTTTGAATGATAAGAATGTCTATAAGCGGTGTTCGTCTAATCTGATTTCTAGGTTATAGCAACTACTTATCACCAGACGTGTGAATGCGTGTTCTAACCGAGAATAATAAAAGGAAAGCGTCACCTATGCAGATTTTATTTGGGGCGGGGGTAGCCATCATAAATCACAAGACACTTGATAGATGCCTGGATCTCGCTTACGACATTTTCAAGATAAGCTTCCTTATATACAAGTTCCGAACAACAACATACGGACCGTCGGTCTACCGAGCAATATCACCTGCTCGGTGCAAGATCTTCCCTTTGTCGTATATTACCAAACATTTAATATCACAAACGTGGGTTTTACTGGTGGTAGGGCCTCTTGTGAGTCCGCACGGGTAGGTATAACTATACTGAAATCTTAGAACTTATATCTCAAGGTGGGTGGCGCATTTACGTTGTAGATGTCCATGGGCTCCAGTAACCACTTAACACCACGTGGGCTGTGAGCTCGTCCACCCATATAAGCAATAAAAAAAAAGTGTCTCCTATAAACTGTAAATGTTGGTCACACGAGCAAATGACGGCAAGTGCTCGGTGTCTCCTCTCGGAGAAGTTGCCCGTTGCCAAATATTTTTATTAGCATTACGTGTGGCGTGTCAACTATTTGGCTAAAGATTTTAATCATTCCTTAAGCCAATTTCACTGGCTAATTCGAACTAATTGAGTCATTCGCCGGTCCCATTATTGGGGTTTGTTGGTGGCTCATAATGACTTAATGAATCTTATGTGTGGGATCTAGATTTTAGTCCAAACTTTTAACCCTTTGCGGTTCCTAAGACTGATGTAAAACTAATCTATGTATGTGTAGAAATAAACGACGCAGGGAAGATCTTCCACCGAGCAGGTGATATTTGCTCGGTAGAGCGGCGGTCCGAATGTTGCTTTTTTTTTCTACTTAAGCTGATGGTCTAGAGAGACCAAATCAGCGTAACCTTAACTAGTAGGTGAGCTCACGCGGCTCAAAACTGATGACGTTGCTAACACGAACCCTAGCAAGAGCAGTGCTTCGCAGAATCTACCACCGGATCGGAAACGCGACCCACTGAGAAGATCAGGCGAGAAACTCAGTGGGCTCCGAATGTTGTTGTTCGGAACTTGTATATATATGTATATGCAAACTTATTATGAAAATGTCGTAAACGAGATTCAGGCATCTGTCAAATATCTTGCGTTTGTATGACGGCTACCCGCCACATATGTACATGTCCAATATGACTCTGCACCTCGACGTGTTAATATCGAGGGGTGAAAGACAATTTGGTTTAAGCGACATTTTTGCAACATTGGTGTGAAAGATAATTTGGTTTAAGCGACATTTTTGCAACATTACAGGGATTGCCATTGAAAACTTATAATTTTAGTACAGGATCCCTGGTACATTTTTCTTTTTGCTTTGGTGGGTGGACGAGCTCACAGACCACCTGGTGTTAAGTGGTTACTGGAGCCCATAGACATCTACAACGTAAATGCGCCACCCACCTTGAGATATAAGTTCTAAGGTCTCAGTATAGTTAAAACGGCTGCTCCACCCTTCAAGCCGAAACGCATTACTGCTTCCCGGCAGAAATAGGCATGGTGGTGGTACCTAGGGTAGGCACTTTTTCTCGAATATTAGAGTTTTCAGATAACAAATTACAAAAAAAACACTCCATTATTATTTTGCAGATTACTATTCAAATTATTTTTCGAAAGACAAATAAAATACGAGGTTGACTAAAAACAACTTTACGTGGTTATGATCACAGTAAACAATGCTGTGCGCATGCGTTTGTGAGCAAGGATAATAGTATGCCTCAGCTCCAATAGCAAAATGTACGAAATAATATTATTTTTAATTTCATGAATTTCAACTGTGTAACTGGAGAACTGGAATAACGTACCACGCAATTTGTAGGACAATGTGGGTGGTAAACTATGCAAATATTAGCTAACCAATAATAAAAAAACCAGGTAGTTTTAATTATTTTTCATGACCTTATTTATGATACATGTTGGAGAGGGGACTCTGATAAAACCTTATACTTTGTAGGGCAAATATTTTTTCACGCTATTTAGATAATTATCTCGATAATTAACAAAGAAAAATTCGGTTAGTAATTTTTTTTTTAAATTCGTGAAATCAACCTATTTTATCCTTGCCACCCCTAGTAATCTACCATTTACCAACGTTACTGTAAGGAAAAAGTTGGGCGTCTAGTCAAAAGGAAGCTACTCACGAAAACTCAGCTTGTTAGTAATAAACGATGAAAAGTGTACCAGGGATCCTGTACTGTTTGGAAAAAATATTGTACGTAAATACAAAAAACTACATTTTTTTGTTTAGCTATCTGAATGGGGTAAACTTAATTGAAGTTCAATTAAAAACATCGAATTGTTGATGCTAATACCAAATTCAAAACGGACCTTTAATTAGATATCTAATAAATGTCGTGTTATTATACGAAATGTAGCTTAAACTAAATAGACTTTCACCCCCCGATATAATAAGTAATCATAAAAATAAATAACTAGGGTGCTAGTACAGGTTAAAACAATTATATTATCCTTTTGTATTAAAAATGTTTAATACACTTTACAGGAAAAAAAACATGGTAATAAACGTAATCGAAGTACCTATTCATCGTCATTAAAATACTTTTTTTCGCCGTAAATTAATTAGTTTTCTTTTCCAAAATCTATGAAGCATTTTCCTGTCGGTTTTTTAAGGACTAAATCGTTGTTTGGTACATTAGTTGACTTGGGATTCTGGTAACCGTACTCGTCGAAGCCGACAAAAAATTCGACGTGCAACCTAACCTAAGTATCAGCTCGCTGAGTTTCTCGCCGGATCTTCTCAGCGGGTCGCGATTTCAATTCGGTAGTAGATTCATTTGCGAAGCAGCTACTCTTGAGTTGTTAGGTCTCTTTCGGAGGCTTTCGGGTAGCTGTTAGCAAATCTCACCCCTCCTGGCTGAGGCCGTGCTCGCTCACCTGTCCTGGTGTAACTGGAAAGGCCTCCGGGCCACCAGTAAATCTTCAATCATAAAAATAATCTTTTTGTTACCATCATGGTATCATACCAAACTGGAAAGGCCAGACTACTAGTAATCTTTCGATCATATAAAAAACTAGCCCGTACCCATATGCTTCGCTGGGCATTTAAAATTAACATTATTATTTCTCACCCCCACAAAGATTCTCATCATTAACGCCCCCGCAACTGGTGTAGGGAGTCGAACACTCATATAAATATTAGCCTATCCATTAAGTAAATGTATCTTCTACATGGATACCAAGTTTCAAGTCAATCGGATGCGTGGTTCAGTAGTTATAACGGAACAGCCGTAAAAACCACTGTAAATTTATATATTAGTATAGATATAGATGAAAAAAATTTAATGGAAAATGGGTATGCAACCGTCGCGTCTATAGTCAAAAATAAATGAATAATCACTTTGAATACAGGTTCATGTGCGTGGACACCGTCGAGCAATCGATAAGGAAGCTGCAAGAAGCGAAGCTGGAGTTGGCCGACAACGTGCTCACGGGCGCTAAGAACACGAACGCTTCGAAACTCACCATCGAGGATCTCAAGATGCTTTTCAATATGGGGCAGCAGCAGTAGCGCGCGAATATCACGATGTGAAATTAATATAATTTGCGTATTGCGACACAACGAACCCGTTTGCTTAGTGCGAGTTTATTTACTGGTGGTAGGACCGCTTGTGAGTCCGCGCGGGTAGGTACCACCGCCCCGCTTATTTCTGCCGTGAAGCAGTAATGCGTTTCGGTTTGAAGGGTGGGGCTGCCGTTGTAACTATACTTGAGACCTTAGAACTTATATCTCAAGGTGGGTGGCGCATTTACGCTGTGGATGTCTATGGGCTCCAGTAACCACTTAACACCAGGTGGGCTGTGAGCTCGTCCACCAATCTAAGCAATAAAAAAATGGCGTTCTCGATAGCGTAAAAGTTAACTCGAATTTGTATGGAGTTGGAACATTTGCCTACGTTTGCCGCTAAAGGCGCTATGCTTAGTGCGAGTTTATTAACGTTCTCGATAGCGTAAAAGTTAACACGAATTTGTATGCAGTTAGAACAGCGCCCCTAGCGGCAAACGCAGGCAAACGTTCGAACTCCACACAAATTCGAGTTAACTTTTACGCTATCGAAAACGTTAAAAAACTCGGCACTAAGCACACAGATAGTTGAGAAATAGTTAAGAAGTTTGTCGTCGAAAAATCATGCCCTTATAATCCGGTTCTCTTATAGCCCGAATGTGTCACCCATAGAGCTATTTCGTTTCAGATTGTCTTTGGCTTGGTCTTAAATATATATTTTTTGTAATAAATAACAAGAAACATTCCTATAGAGAACGATGTTTTAAATAAATAAAATATGATGACACTCAATTGTTATTAATATTTTCGAAAATTCCAGAATAATTGCTTTCGGTTTGTATTCGACGGGTCTTTGTTAAGTGAAGATTTCGAGTCACGAACGTTAGCGATAGTGTTTTAAAAAACGTTGAATTTGTATAATAACTATTTTTTATGTGAATTGTTATACATTAAATTACTTTTATAACAAAATTGTGTTTTATGTTTGTCACCACCATCGCTGTCCGCCTTTTTTTCTACCTATTCAAGTAACCTCTCGAGGGGTTATACTAGATTCACCGAATTAGTAGGTGAGCTCACGGGGCTCAAACCTGACGACGTTGCTAACACGAACATTAGCAAGAGCAGTGCTTCGCAGAATCTACCACTGGATCGGAAACGCGACCCACTGAGAAGATCTGGCGAGAAACTCAGTGGGCTGTGTCTGTGGCTTAATTTACTCGCCGAGCCCTTCGTCGCAAGCGACGGGTTCGACCACAACGATGACCGGTGCTTGAGGTACCTTGAAGCACCGTTAGTGGATCGGGAGGATCCGAAATGACGTGTACCGTCCGCCGAAGACAATAAGTGACCTTTAACACCTATTTGCTGACCACGGACATATGCAAAAATGCATGTTAGCATCGGAGTGTACTTAATATAAGCGAAATTTGTGCTTGTACGAATGGAAACTTCAATTCTGCCTACTTCTGCTGCGAAGCAATTATGCCTCAAAATGGCTGTCCAGAGAGACTCCGTTAATTACTTTTTATGTTTTTATTGCTTAGGTATGTGGACGAGCTCACGGCCCACCTGGTGTTAAGTGGCTACCGAAGCCCATAGACTTACAACGTAAATGTCGCCACCTATCTCGGGTTATAAATTCTAAGATCTCAGTATAGTTACAACGGTTGCTCCACCCTTCAAATAGAAACGCATTACTGCTTCACGGCAGAAATAAGCAGGGTGGTGGTGCATACCCGTGTGGACTAACAAGACGTCCAGCCACCAGTAATTACGCAAAGTATAATTTTGCGGGTTTGATTTTTATTACACGACTTTATTCCTTGACCGTAGAAGTCAATCGTGAACATTTGCTAAGTACGTATTTGATTAGAAAAATTGGTACCCGTCTGCGGGATTCGAACACCTGTCCATCGCTAGATACGAATGCACCGGACGTCTTATCCTTTAGGCCACGACGACTTCAATTGTCGAAAGATAGGTACGATGAAAATGTACGGAATTTGAATTGATGTACCTCTTGGACGCGAGGCGTTGCGAAATGCATACAGACCTGATCGTTGCCAAGTTTGTTTGTGTCGTTTAGTGAATAAATGGCCGGTTGCAGCCAAGGAACCCGTTACAAAGGAATACAAAGTAATTAATAACTAAGAAAGTAAGCTGTTCCCCGTGTAATACTAAATGTATTGCGCAATCCATTTAATTACGTTATACTAGTAAGTGCTGTGGCGAGTAACCATAATAGAATACAAGATATTTGACAGATGCCTGAATCTCGCTTACGACATTTTCAAGATAATCTTGCGTATATACATTCTGACCGACGCCGCGACGCTCACGGTTTACGCATCCTGATCCATTAAGGAAGGAAGGGCTCGACGAGCGAATTAACCCATAGACACAGCCCACTGAGTTTCTCACCGGATCTTCTCAGTGGGTGGCGTTTCCGATCCGGTGGTAGATTCTGCGAAGCACTGCTCTTGCTAGGGCCAGTGTTAGCACCACTTCGGTTTAAGCCCCGTGAACTCACCAACTAGCTCGGCGAATCTAGAATAACCCCTCGAGGTTACTAGAATAGGTAGGAAAAAAAACCGAGCAGTAACACTCGCTCGGTGGAAGATCTTCCCTTTGTCGAATACCCTCAAACTGATGACCTGTGAAGGAACAATTGCAGCATTCACACTTCATAATCAGCGCAGCAAGGGCTTCGAGTACTATAATTCCCGCATTCTTGCAGTTAATAACAAGTCTTCAACGGTCGTCCCACAAAGTGCTTTTAATTATATTATCTGAAATCAAATTTTGATTCATACCTCTTGATATCATTTTATTTGCCTGCCTAATCGCTAGTAGCTTCGAGGCTATACCAGCTTCACCGGTTTGGTTTAACTTGAAAGAATTCGCTAACACTAGCCCTAGCAGGGCTTCGGAGAATCTACAACCGGATCGGAATCAGGACCCACTGGGAAGATATGGCGCGTAACTCAGTGGGTTGTGTCTATGGCTTGGTTGCACGTCGAACGCTTTCGTTCTATCGTTTCGAAACTCGTGTTCGACAATCACGTCATTTCGGATCATCTCGACCCAGTAACGGTGCCTCTGAATCCTGATCACGCAGGAGCCAGTCACCGTCGACGCCCTAGACACGTACGGATCCATCAGATCCAATAACCTTTGCATTAGACGCCTTCAGCTCTAACACTAGGAGCAGGCTTAGGGACCTCGGTAACTGTACTCGTCGAACTCGACAAAGAGTTCGCCGTGCAACCTAACCCATGAATCAGCTCGCTGAGTTTCTCGCCGGATCTTCTCAGCGGGTCGCGATTCCGATCCGGTAGTAGATTCATTCGCGAAGCAGCTACTCTTGAGCTGTTAGGTCTCCTTCGGAGGCGCTCGGGTAGCTGTTAGCAAATCCCACCCCTCCTGGCTGAGCCTTTGCTCGCCCACCTGTCCTGGTGAAACTGGAAAGGCCTCTGGGCCAACAGTATTCCTTCAATCATAAAAAAAAAAAAAAAACGGTGCCTTTAGGTTCCTCAAGAACCGGTCATCGTTCTCGTCGAACCCATCGATTGCGACGAAGGGCTCGGCGATTAAACTAACACACAGGCACAGCCCACTGAGTTTCTCGCCTGATCTTCTTCTCAATGGGTCGCGTTTCCAATCCGGTGGTAGATTCTGCGAAACACTGCTCTTGCTGGGTGTTAGCAACTTTGCCAGTTTGAGCCCCATAAAGTCACCTACTCATTCGGTTATGCTGATATAGCCTCTCGAGGCTACCAGATTAGGTAAGAAAAAAAATATTCAACAAGTTCGAAGTGAATTCCGATATAATTAATTAAATCAAAAACTCGTATTAGGTACCTACTCCAAGATGGATGGAGCGTGACGTGATTCTCTTTCCGTTTAAAATTATTTTTGTGAATTTCGGAAACTGCCAATTCTTAGCATTTGAAAAGTTTTATTACTTCCCGTGACGTCGCTTTGAGTGTAAATGAATCATTATTATAAATGCTGTTTCGTTTATAAAATATGATGGATTTAGAAGATACCTATATTGAAAATTATTGATTAAAAAAATACAGACCGAGCGCTGTGAGTGATAATTGACGTCAGCAATGCCAAAGGCACAGAAAAGCCACTTTGAGTAAAACCACAATTTCACTTTAATCTCATTAACACATGTCTAAAAAAATAAAAAATAACAGGAAACAAATCGCGCACGGTCATTAGGTTTCCCTGGGTTATGGGTACCAGAGACTGACATATGTACATACATATATAGGTACGTTTAAATATAATAATAAGAAACGAAAGCTTCTCCAATGTGAATCGAAGCCACGACCCTCGACACAACAGTCAGGAGGGCTAACCACTTTTGTTTCTTCTTTCTATCTAAGCTGATAGCCTTGAGAGGCTATGTCACCGTAACCGGGCGAGTAGGTGAGCTCACGGGGCTCAAACGTTGATGCTAACACGAACCCTAGCAAGAGCCGTGCTTCGCAGAATCTACTACTGAATCGGAAACGCGACCCACTGAGAAGATCCAGCGAGAAACTCAGTGGACTGTATCTGTGGGTTAATTTACTCGTCGAGCCCTTCGTCGCAAGCGACGAGAACGATAACCGGGGGGCTAACCACTGCTCCACTGATTAAGTAGTTTTTTATCATAGTAACGTCTCTATTTTAACGCTTGGGAATCTATTTACGGTTACTGGACGTTTAGATACAATAAGGGGTTAACGGACCGGGTTATATCAGACTCCGGTGCCTCTAGAGAGGAAGAGGGAGAAGAGGAGGACCGAGGCCCTCCACCTCCTCCAATTCCTCACAGGAGACTACGCCTTGAGGCACTCGCCCCATAAAATCGACTACCGACTATACCTCATCGAGTTCCATCATAGCATCGCCTGCCACCGGAGTACAGTTCACCCATATTACCTAGAATGACAACTGTTCGTCCACAGTGCGTGTCCAGAGAACTTTTTTCCCACGGCTCCGGGCTTGAAATGAGCTACCCTCTACGGTGTTTCCCGAGCGCTGTGACATGCCTTTCTTCAAGCGAGACTTGGAGAAGTACTTAACTATAGACAGCAGCTTGGTTCTGCCCCTGGCTTTATGCTTGTCTGCCTACAAGGGTAATAATAAAAACTTATATTAACTAGTAAATAAACAAGCTAAATTAGCAAACAAAAAAATGTCCTGAATTCGACTCTGATTAAATAATATCAGGCGACGAAATTCTCAATGAAACATTTTACATTACCAACAGCGAACGCTTGTGGGTAGTACGCGACCTTTGTTCGGTATTACTATGTCGTAGAATTAATATGTTAAAACAGAAAGCAATCAAATACGAATATAAATTTTATAGTTCGTAAAAATGTTCGTCTCGAGGAGAGTATTTTACATTGGTGTTGTAGGTCCACTTGATTTTTTTTATAGTGTACTTCAAGAGAAATCCGCTTCGCAGTAACATCGTGCCAAATATTTAGGTTTTCTACGGAAATGATGACGAATTATTTTAAATGTGAATGAGACACGATTTCTAGTAAAACGCCCGTGAACTTTTATGAAAAAAAAAATCATACCCGCATCGGTCAATTAGAATGATGACGGACAGTCATTCACCGTCGCAGACACAACATGAAACTGTCTAAAAATAAAACGGGATTCACGGCCGGCGCGCAGAACTCTAGCAATACGGGAGAATATCGGCCATTCCTCGGAGCGCGCCTCCCAGCGAAACATTATTGATAAATACCACAGTTCTCTTTGCCGCGTTTCGTTAACTCGTTTTAATTATGAGTCTAGAGCGAAGGTCATTCGGCAGCACCGATCCACAGGTTACAAAACGTTTATTCACGATTATAGTGCTCTTAGTTGGGTTGCTATGCATCTTTGGAGGTGAGTGTCTATTTTTCCATTTCTTCGTTTGTAAACCGCTCTGTTCGTATAATATTATAATGCATGCTAAACAATTTTTGTTGAATATTTATTTTCACATGAACATACGTAGGTATTTTGATATTATTTCACTATTACCAGTTAAACGAATGTAATGCCTTATTAAATTTGGTAAATCGAAACACAAATACTTATTACAAATAGTAATTTTGACGGATAAGTAATTGAAATATTGTTTTTTTTTATTGAAACAATTAATTTGTTTTCTCATGTAAACAAAACAAATACATAACAACAAGACATTTAGACTACGCACCCAACTGCATCGAACAATACAATAAAAACTATGATGTCGGTGGTATGTTCATTAAATTGTATTAATTATTGTTTACGAGATATCTCTTCTCTAAGTAGTCCAAAATATTGTCGCCGTTTGCCTCTGTTTCTCCGCTTATTTTTTTTAATCCACAGTAACTATTTTCATACAGTATCCACTAATTTTGTGACTAACAAAAAGAGCTAAGGTCCAATCAGCTTGACCCACAAACCCACCCACACAAAATTATAATTTGCGTAATTACTAGTGTCTTGTGAACCCACACGTGTAGGTACCATGGTCTTGCCTAATCCTGCCGTGAAACAGTAATGCGTTTCGATTTGAATGGATGGACAGCAGTTGTATTGTACAAACTGAGACTCAAGATGGGTACCGGCATTTACGTTGTTAATGTCTGTAGGCTCCAGTAACCAATTAATATCAGGTGGGCCGTGAGCTCGTCCTCCTATCTTAGCCCTAAAAAACCTGATTCCACGAAGTCGACCTTCTCACGGATTCCTTGGCACCTCTGGGTCTAAGGAGGAACTTCGGTTCTCTCTGTATTTTGTACCGTATGTTCAATGGGGAATGCTCTGAGGAATTATTCGAGATGATCCCCTCACCTCTTTTATACTATCACACCTTCCGCCACCGTAGCAGAGTTCATCCATATTATCTGGAACCGCTGCGTTCATCGTTGTAGCGTTTCCAAAGCTCTTTTCTGCCGCGTACTATACGGCTTTGGAATAAACTCCTCTCCGAGGTATTTCCTGAGCCCTATGACATGTCTTCCTTCAAACGAGGCTTGCGGAGAATACTTAAAAGTAGACAGCGGCTTGGCTCTGCCCCTGGCATTGCTGACGTCCATGAGCGACGGTAACCGATTACCATCAGGTGGGCCGCATGCTCGTCTGCCTACAAAGACAATTAAAAAAACCACACACGTAATGTTAAATTTAAACCTTAGAATAACGGTCATGCCAAACTTGCCTAATCTCCGAATGGCGTGTTTACTCTGTAGGGACACAGTTTGTTGTTTTTTTTTTTTATTGCCTTGGCAGACGAGCATACGACCCACCTGATGGTAAGTGGTCACCGTCGCTCATGGACGTCAGCAATGCCAGGGGCAGAGCCAAGCCGCTGCCTACCATAATGCCAGGGATTACCTACAAGCCGCTGCCTACCAATTGCCATAAACAAAGTTGTTCGTAGTCATAACAGGCGGCAGCGCCCGCAAGCTCCGTTGCTTTTTACTTTTTAAGTTCAGTCGCGAATAAACGCTCCGATTAACTAGTTATTATTTAATTATCTGACTTCCGGCAACGTCCTGAACCATTATTGACCACTACTAAAATAACTCCTAAAACTCTGTGGAAATAGGCAGTAAGGGATAAACGAACCTTGCTTACCTTACAACACGCCCTAGAAATAACTCGATCTAGGAATCAGAGGGGTTCCGGTCCGCGTCAAGTTGGGATTGCCCTTAGACTACCAAAGGTTAGGTAGGGAAAAAAATAAAGAGGGGTGAGTTGGCGACGTTACGTAGGAAAATTAGTTCTGAAATAAATTTTTTTTACTGCCCTTGTAGGCAGACGAGCGTACGGCTCATCTGATGGTGAGTGATTACCGTCGCCCATGGACTTCAGCAATGCCAGGGGCAGAGCCAAGCCGCCTGCACTTGGATGATGATGAAATCTCTAGATTACTAGATGTTTTCTTTGATTATCAGCTGGACTGTCGACCCTCTTGTTAGATGATGTGGTATACGCCTTTGTAATGTGTGTTTAACGGTGTCCTCAAATCTAAATACATAGCCATAAAAACGATTTTAGCTTTGATTAACTTCGCTCTAGTTGCTTTTGATTTGCCAAGCTAAACGAATCTGAGTTTTGTGTGGGCGATATTCGAAGAAACACTAACGCTGATTTTTTGAGGATCTTGTCGCACTAAATTGTATAGATTTTTTAAAATGAATTGAGTTGTCAACGTTTTAATTGTAGATTGAAGTCATCATAATCCTATCATAATTATTTTACTGGTGGTAAAGCGTCTTGTGAGCAGGCCCGGGTAGGTACCACCGTCCTGCCTATTTCTGCCGTGAAGCAGTAATGCGTTTCGGTTTGAAGCGTGAGGCAGCCGTTGTACTGTAAAAACTGACACTTAGAGCTCATGTCTCAAAATGGACGCGGCTCTGGTAATAACTCCGTCTAGTCATTTAAGTAATACAAGAAAGGTCACCCAATTGGTGTCTACCGCCTCCAGCCTCGTTTCGGGATACGTCATAACGATCAGAAAACACTGATGAGAGAGTTCATTCAAGATCTATTTGGTATAAAATAAAATAGGTTCTGGACTGGACTCATAATGTGGACGGGCATATTATTACCCCTTTGGTTAGGGCGACTTCAAAACAGCTCATTGTTGTTTGTCCATTAACGGAATTGACTGCTCGCCACCAGATGGTACATGTCAGCCCTTTCTAAGCTAATAAAACAAACATTCTTAATGGGATACAAGGGCAGATGAGCTCAAAGTTGTTGTTGCTCAATGTTAAATGGATTTAAACCCACATCACAACTTAAATGCCACTGTTAATTTTTGCATACAGGATCGAAGCCTGGTAGTAGGACCTCTTGTGAGTCCGCACGAGTGGGTACCACCGCCCTGTCTATTTCTGCCGTGAAGCAGTAATGCGTTTCGGCTTGAAGGGTGGGGCAGCCGTTGTAACTATACTGAGACCTAACAACTTATATCTCAAGGTGGGTGGCGCATTTACGTTGTAAATGTCTATGGGATCCAGTAACCACTTAAGACTGGTGGGCTATGAGCTCGTCCACCCATCTAAGCAATGAAAAAAAAAAGAGAATTTAAAATAATAATATTTTCACAGGCTATTTGCTTGGGAGAATGGCTCGGACCGAAGTGAAGCGCGCCAACGAATTATTAACACACAATTTGACGGCCGTGGCGGACTCGTTGTACAAAAAAGCCAAAAGGATCACGCCCAAAGTGATCCATCACAACGATCCAGAGAAAATACTAGCGAAATTACTTGACACGTTCAGTTGTAACGATTGCGGGAAAATTAATAAATATAATCTAGAAGAATACGTTAAAAATTCTATTAATTACCAAATCGGAAAATTAATAAAGGCAGTCAACAACGCTACCGTTTATCTGGACTCATTAAGTTGATATTCTGTGTTATTCCTACGTATTTAATTAGTCAATACATTTATTGTGATAATTATGTGTGATTTTGGATTTATTAAAAACGAATTATTATATAACTAAATGAATATTTCATTGAGGAGTGAATAATTAATGTTCCATTGTTTAATTCAAAACTGATTCAGAGATTTTAGATATTATTTAAAGGTAGGTATTTAATTATGTATTAAAAATATTTTCTAAGTATCTATATGCCCTGTTATGAGATTATAAGATGGTCCGATAATTGTTTAGTTATCAATGGGGCCCATAACCATAAAGGTTAAGTTTATCCCACAGTTTTATAATAGTTCATGTAAATATTTATGAGCAGTATCTATATGAAAGAACATGAAATTTTGCAAGTATAGCATACTTATAAAACCGACCTTGACCAGCTACCGATTTAGTCCATTAACCAAAGAGTTCAGAGTTTGAGACACTATTGTAATTTAATAACTACGATGCTACAGTTGTCGTCGTGGCCTAAAGGATAAGACGTCCGGTGCATTAGTATGTAGCGATGCATCGGTGTTCGAATCCCGCAGACGGGTACCAATTTTTCTAATGAAATACGTACTTAACAAATGTTCACGATTGACTTCCATGGTGAAGGAATAACATCGTGTAATAAAAATCAAACCCGCAAAATTATAATTTGCGTAATTACTGGTGGTAGGACCTCTTGTGAGTCCGCACGGGTAGATACCACCACCCTGCCTATTTCTGCCGTGAAGCAGTAATGCGTTTCGGTTTGAAGGGTGGGGCAGCCGTTGTAACTATACTGAGACTTTAGAACTCATATCTCAAAGGTGGGTGGCAGCATTTACGTTGTAGATGTCTATGAGCTCCAGTAACCACTTAATACCAGGCGGGCTGTTAGCTCGTCTACCCATATAAGTAATAAAAAAAAACATTTTAATAGGAATTAAAATTATTATACCAACCGATACGTGGGACCAGTATTCGTCACATTTTCATTGTTTTTTAAAACTTGACGATTTTTTTTTTTTTTTTTTCCACAGGAGAAAATCGCCGGATCCCCACCCGCGCGGCAGGTGGNTAATCAAAAAGCAAAAGGCAAAATTGTAAGCACAAAGCGTCTTAATATAACACTGCTATATTAATATATACAACTGACAGATGCTCCGGTTTTTTTTTTCCACAGGAGAAAATAGCCGGATCCCCACCCGCGCGGCAGGTGGGGTATGTGGGAGCGACACGACCACCGGTTCCCTCGTTCAACGGGCCGAGAGCCTGCTTTGATGGCGCCGCGTTACACCTTCCCCCAGAGCGGTCGGGGGAACGCGGTCTACCATCACCCGGCTTCCTATTGCGGGTGAGCGTGCAAAGCACGCCACCCCGCGTCTGGGTCTCTCCCCGCACAAAACGGGTGGGACCCCTAGCTCTTAGGGGGCCAGGTCACGGATACGACCCCGGTCCCGACCCCCTGCTCGGCGGCGGCGGGTTTCTGCGTAGTGAGGAGAGCTTTCCCTCACTCGCCCCGCCGCCTCCTTCTGCGAGATGGTGCACTCGCAGAAGTCGAGCATAGCCTTCCATGACTCATCGCTGCCAAGCATCGACGCCACGACGCCAGGCAGCGACAAGTCTTAAAACTTGACGTAAAAGCATTTGGTTCATTCAGTCAATTTAGTTCAGTGAGCTATTGCACTCATAACTGGGATGATAGTAATAATAAATAACTAGGATCAAATCACGCACGATCATCCGTCTTCAATTTAAGATTTATTATTAAGTATTATGGGTACCTTTTTTTTTTTTTCCTACCTAAGCTGATAGCCTTGAGAGGCTATTTCAGCGTAACCGTGGCTAGTAGGTGAGCTCACGGGGCTCAAACCTGATGACGATGCTAACACGAACCCTAGCAAGAGCCGTGCTTCGCAGAATCTACCACCAGATCGGAAACGCGACCCACTGAGAAGATCCGGCGAGAAACTCAGTGGGCTGTGTCTGAGAGTTAATTTACTCGTCGAGCCCTTCGTCGCAGGCGACGGGTTCGACAAGAACGGTGACCGGTGCTTGAAGTACCTAGAAGCACCGTTAGTGGATCGGGAGGGTCTATGGGTACCAGAGACTGACAAACATACTTATATATGTACGTTTAACTACATACGTATATATAATATTTATACATTTTTTATAAGCATTTATAATAAACACTGAGGCAAATAACAAACAAATATGTTCATCACAGAATGTTTACCCGATTTGGAAATTGAACCCACGATCCTCTATGCAATAATCAGGATCGCTAACTTCTGCACCACCGAGTCAGTCACTCATGAAACAGTGTAAAGGTCATCGTTGCTCATGAACATTAGCTTAAAGATCAGAAATACTTTTACTAAGATGGCAGACCGGAACCCATGGTCATCACAAAGCCACTCGCCTTGAGAAAGAAATCAGTGATCGAAGTCTCATTTTTGATACGCTTTTATTAGCTTCATACTGAAGTTAGCATCGATGTTGGTATGTAACGGAATCTTTGAACATGACTTTTATGCCCTTCAAAACGTCGGATTAACTCGAAATTTGACGTAATTAGACCCGTTAATAACTTTCGGCACTCAAAACAACAAATTCATATTTTTTTACTTAGAATAATTGGAAGCTGTTGTATTTGCCTGAATGTACATTAATGAATATTTTTTAATACAAAATGCTACTTAAACTAAAAAATAAGAAATAAATAATAGTTTCAAAAAAAAAAAAATTTTTACCATATATTTATTTTTTATTTTTTAGTAGCATTTTTTTTGTAAGTGCGTATTTTAGTTTTTTTTAATCTATTATTTATTTATTGTAACGGCTCTCCCACTCTCCAAAACAGAATTCATGACTGCTACGGGACAGAAATAGGCAGGTTGGCAATACTCAGCCATGCCAGCATAAAATACGCCTTACTTCATTTAATTCTTTATTACATGATTTTGTTTCATAACAAAGCCGAAACTATGTCTAATAAACGAAAAGTAAAATACACTGGAACGAAACGAAAATGATTTATCTGTGTGCTTAGTGTGAGTTTTTTAACGTTCTCGATAGCGTAAAAGTTAAATAAAGTATGCAGTTGGAACAGCGCCCCTAGCGGCAAACGTAGGCAAACGTTAAAAAACTCGCACTAAGCACACTGAAATTGGTTGAAATGGTAGAATTCTACTGAGACTTTGGTGGTATTTATGAAAGTCCACGTACAACGACTTTGTCTCATTTTCGAAAGAATTCAATAATTTCAAGAAGAATCGGCACGAATTTTGGTTTTGTTCTTTTTCAGGTATATTACCACTGAAGCATGAAACCAATATGTATATTAAACGCTGTCTGATTGATGTTGTACAATACAGTTGAGGCTTCGACCTCATGTCTCAAGGCGGATGACGGTTTTTACACAGTGATAGCTAATTTTTTTTTTCCTACCTATTGGCTGGTTGCTTAGGGGGCTATTCTAGCTACATCCAGACAGGTAGGTGAGCTCACGGACTCAACCTGAGTGAATTTGCTAACAGTAGCTATAGCAGGAGCACTGCTTCGCAGAATCTACCACTGTATTGGAATCGCTACCCATTGAGAAGATCCGGCGAGAAACTCAGTGGGTTGTATCTATGGGGATAGCTCTATAGCTCTATAGCTATCGCCATATGCTATGTTATGAGCTAAAGCTCTTCTGTACACTTAACACCATTCGTTCCCATCAATGTAATAAAGAAAGCACGAAGGATGGAACTACCCTTTTTTTTTTTTCTGGTAGAGGGAACCTCCTACGAGGTCCCCGCGCAAAAGGGGCGCGCGGGGTATGTGAGACTCTACGATCTGCATGGTGTTGTGAGAAGACCGCGGGCCCAAGAATTTTAGGGCCCACCCACTAAACGACTCCCCTGCACTCTTATACCCGACGTCCGATCCCCTCCGAGGTCAGAACCCGCATGAGGTAGGGGGGCTACCGCGGTCAACACTACAACCAGACGGTGCCGCTGGTGTCCCGGAATACCCCGCTGGACCAGAACCAGCCTTCCGGGTCGGGACGCGATACACCGTCGACCGGTCGCTCTATTTACTCCACGGCAGCGCGCTAGAGTGCTGGTAGCGCGCCGCGCGGCCTTACCCCCTCAGGTCGCCCCTTGACCTTCACCGGGGGGAGGCCGCTACTTACAGGGGCCGGGACGTACGGGCGTATTCCCTCTCTCGCTCCGCCGCCTCCTTCTGCGAGATGGTGGACTAGGTTAGAACTACCCTAGTAGATGATAGTTCTACTCTCCATAAAAGAAAATTGGAATGGAATGATTTATGTCTGTTTTGACCTATTGTTTTGAATGCATCGTTAGTCTAGTGACTAGACTCCAATCATTAATGATCTTGAGTTTTGAAATTCGGAATTGGGGTTCGTATTTTTGGTCCAAGTCAGTAAATTTGTCATAATCTCGCACGCTTTAGCCGTAGCCGTGAAACAGCAGTAAAAAACTCTAGCTTGGGCCCATTTAATGTAAACTATTAACCCAATAAACTATTAACTAATTTATTAGGTTAATAAACTATTAACCTAATAAATTACTTTGTAAATGTTTATCTACTAATTTTAACTTTCAGATACCATAACAATAGTTATGGTATTATAATAAAAAAAACTGGATGTATCCCTTTGCCAGAAAAAATGGTGATAGGCTTTTGGCGGGAACGCGAGAAGCAAAGCTGTGTTCGTAAATTGTTTTAATTTGTTAATTTAGTTTTTGGTCAGCTTTAAACGTATAATAACCGTGGTTTATTAAGTGTGAAGAATCTGTGTACGTGTAAAAATTTTGAAAATGAACCATATATGCTGGACGTAGCTCTTTAGATTCTTTTGAACACCCACATAAATCTCAATAAAATAACCATCATTCTACGTAGACTTTATTTCGTTTCATCTCATCTCGTTTCACTTCATTTTATCCCAATTTATTACATTCATAAATAATTCAACTTGACCTTATTTCACTACATATCATTTTTCGCAAGCCTAATAAAATTTAAGTTTTTTTTAAACTCAACACTGACACAATAGCGTCACCAAGAAACCCATTGCCATATTCACAGAAAATGTTTCATGAATTGAAAAGTGAACTGAGATTGAAGATGATTTTGTCTATTTATTGAGTTTAGTAAATGTGCAAAGAAACATACAACTTGTCACTTGCTTATTTCTGATTAAATTTAGCGCTGAGTTTAGTGAAGTCAGAACGACTTAACCAGTTAATCTTTCGTGAAAAGCGTAGAAAATTGTTAGAGCCAGCCTTTGAAAATTGCCCCACTATTTTAAGTCCCACCGTTCTTACTCCATTTCCCATGTCCAAATTCCGGTAACCATAAAATAACTACACATTTGGGCAACAATATATTATGTAAATACCCAGTAATATTGATTTATTACTTATTAATTGGATAATTAAATAATTTTAAAATATTCTTGAGTCTCGTTGTTCTTTTGTATATCTTTAACATATTGTATATAAAAGCAGCTACATAAGAATTTAAAGTAAATACAGTATTAACTCAGAATACAGAATGAGAGTATTAAGTGCATAAACCTCTCATAATAGCGAAGTTATTTTATAAATTTATAAACCAATTCCACATAATAAAACCACGTACTAGCTCTAGGCATTTTGAGCATAATTGGTTTTTTGGTTACGATACCGTTGTTCCAGCTCCGGAAAATAAGTACAAGTAATAAATAAAATATTGTGAGTATATAGGTACAAGTAAATCCAAGGTTTATTGTAGTTTGTTACGTTGCTTTCTTTTTTAAGGGATTTTATGACCTGGTAACTAAGACCTTTAGGTCAAGTCTTATTTTAATTAATTCTTATTTTTATGAAAAATGATAATATGAAGTGAAATGAAATAAGATGAGATGATATGGTATGAAATATAATCTCAGTAAAATGGTGGTCCTTTACTGAGACTTTTTCAGTGGACTTTTTGGAGGATCCTGAGAAGTTATGTTCAGCGGCTTTGTTTGATTTTCCCACATTTGTGCACTTTCACAGATACAAAACAGTTAATAAACCACAGTTACTATACATTTAAACCTGAAGAAACACTAAACAGACAAAATAAAACAAATCACACAACTTCACTCCTCGCGTTCCGGCTAAAAAGACCGTTGTTTGCTTTATTTCTTCGTTCAATTTCATGGGTGAATGAAGTTAGCCCCTCAAAAAAATTTTTTTTTCCTGTTTTCTACTTATTTTCTATTAATTCGTTTGTTCATCATTTGTTCTTGATTGTTCACTGTTAATAATTGTTTGTTCCCCATTTATTTATTTTAAAAAAAATATTAAAAATATGTCTAAAAGTTAGCCCCTCGATTGCAATTTTTAATATTTTTTCGTCCTTAATTACTCGTAAATATTCATTTTCGATTGTTCTTATATAAAATACGTTTGTTCTCTTTCGAAATTACTCATTTTTTGTTTAATTAATTGTATTAGTTGAATAAATGTATACAAAATATGTGTACTGCGCATGCCATAAGTGTATAATCTATGGCNTTCAACTAATACAATTAATTAAACAAAAAATGAGTAATTTCGAAAGAGAACAAACGTATTTTATATAAGAACAATCGAAAATGAATATTTACGAGTAATTAAGGACGAAAAAATATTAAAAATTGCAATCGAGGGGCTAACTTTTAGATATATTTTTAATATTTTTTTTAAAATAAATAAATGGGGAACAAACAATTATTAACAGTAAACAATCAAGAACAAATGATGAACAAACGAATTAATAGAAAATAAGTAGAAAACAGGAAAAAAAATTTTTTTTGAGGGGCTAACTTCATTCACCTCAATTTCATGGAGTTATTAAAAATACTAACTCTATGTTCGATTCACAGTTCTCCGTATCGATATTGAGTAGGTATCGCAGTATTGATTATTCTGTCAGTACTAGTATCGAACTAAAAGTAGGTATCGAGTATTCACTTGTATCGGGATATATCCCTATTTCCGGTAGCCATCTTACTTTAATTGCGTCGGGTGACTTGAGATTAGTGCGCTCGTTTTTTTTTAAATAATAACGTAACAATTAATAGACATAATTTCTTGGAAGTGATATAAATCAGTGATCATGGTGCCGGTGAGTTCATTTTATTACGTATCATATCAAGCTATTCTGGTGAAACGAAAATTTAACGGTACACAATTTCGCAGCAAACGAAGGTGTTCGTCGGCAGCCTGCCGCAGGGCTCCAAACCGGAGGACCTAAGAAAGCTGTTTGAGCGTTTCGGCGTCGTCACAGAGTGTGATATAATGAACCGGTGCGGGTTCGTGCATATGCAGACAGAGGAACAAGCGGCAGCGGCAATTCGCGCGCTTCATAACTCGACATTTAACGGCGGCGTCATATCCGTGGAGCGCGGACGCATCAAAGAACGCGGGCAGCGTGGGGGCGGTCGCGGTGGACGAGGTTCCATGCGCGGTGGCATGGAGCGTCGCGGAGGCGGCCCCGTGCGACACGCGCCCCCGCCTCGGGATGCACCATACATGAGGGACCGGCCAGGTCCGGTGCGCGGCTACGAACGCGGTCCGCCGGCGGCGCCCTATGATGAGCGCTATGCGTACGGCGAGGACCGGCGTGGGTTCGCGCTGATGGATCGCGGCCCTAGGGACGCTTACGCACCGCCGGCGCCTGCTTACCCTGACGAACGCTACCAGAATCACATCTCAGTGGTGGAGGGTACGCGACGTTACGATGAGCCTCCCTATGACGACCGCCACTACGACGAGCGCGCACAGTATGAACGCCCGAGACCTGCTCACCACATACCTAACGGGGACATGTACAGCCGACGATCACCTGCCCCCATGTATTCCGGGTCAGTCACAACAATCTAAATCTCTAATTTCTTTTTCTTTGTCTCTTCCATTATATTTATAAATAATCCAGTAGCACCACGCTCATAAAAATACACATGTAATTTTCTAAATCCGTTATGGTGATAGTAACTAGTGATTTAATGTAGGTTATGATCATCGAGTTAAGATTATTCAGGGACCACAATCTGCACTGCAGAAAATGCAACTCTGGTGGGAAAGTTGCCAAATTGATATTAAACTTACCTTACCTTAATACAAACAGTTTATAACATAGTGTTATTAAAACTTAAAAACAGAATACAAATGACTCTTTTTGTGGTGTTTTTGATTACCAATAAGTATAACAACAACGTACATGCCAGTGTAACTGAAAACGAATAATGAGTTTTACTTGTGTAAGCATTATCAATTAAATTGTATGTTAACATTTCAGGCGTGGAGGTCCAGCTCCAGTGGCCGGAGGTTACGAGAGAGATCACTATGTACCACAATACATGCAACCTCCATTGGGACGGTGAGTTAAAGAAAACTATATTTTACTTATGAGCTGGCAAGTGAACAGTGATATAAATAAAAAAATAGAATGATTATCACACAGAAATACACTAGCATTACTTTATTTTGTGTGGCTTAAAATGGGACCTAACATTTTTTGCTCTGGGTGTTGTAAGAATCGTATACAGGATTCACCAGAGAATGAACTCTTGTGGCCATCACACCAGCACTGCTATTCTTTTTATTGCTGTTAGGGGTTATTGGCAAAGTCGCAAGTATATCATATGCATTCTTGATGTGGAGCAGTTGTGTGTTCCAGTCGGAAGGGTGAGACAACCATTATGTCAAACAAGTCTTTGTAGGTTTCTACACAGCAGCTTAACAATGAATCCACAAGATTGTCTAAAGTTTATCAACTGGAAAGCTTTCGATTTTAAAAAAAGTTACATGTTGCAATTTTAGACCCATTTAACGCATATAGAACCACAGGTCATATTTAGAAATTTATAATTACCACAATAGATTCTATGAATAATGAAATTACTACTAATATTAGACAATAGTAAGAAGTACTCGATAGAACTTATAAAATGCTGTACAGTAGGATATTTGCTAATTGTACTAACAAACAAATCTGGTGGTAGCTATACATTTTCGTCGAACCATATTAGTACTGAAATTTGGCAATTATCTCATCAATGTTTGTTCTGTAGAGTGGAAAATTAATTGACAAAATGGAAAATTTGAATATTGCTGCCCACATTATCAAAACCCCATTTTAATTGTACTAACTGATGCTCCTAATCTTCAAAGTGGATTTACTGAACACAAACCACTTTCAATACAAAGAATTGTTTTTATTTATTAATTAAAAAAATAGATTGCTACTCTATCTCAGGGATTCCCAAACTATTTTGGGAAAGAGACCCTATTCCAAATTCAGATCAATGTAGACTTTAAGACTTTAAAAATCCTATCTCTAGTTTTTATTCCTATGAAAATCAAATACTTATCAATTTAGAAACTTTCCAGTTGGTTAATTGGGTAAACTTGATATAATTTTTTTTCTCATCAAAATTAACTAAAGAAAATTACATAAAATTCAGTACATACAAGTAAATGAGCTACAAAAATACTTCCTACTAAAATAATACTATTTTTTTATTATAAGCTGGTACATGTAACACAACTTACTCAGTACCTTTATAAGTTTAAAATAAGAACTTGTTTTAATTAATAGAGGTTGATTTGAAGACCTTGTCGACGACACCTAAATCAGTTTTCATTTCGACCCCTGGGAAACCGTAGACACCTTGGGGTGATAATGTCCACTTTTGCAATCACTGCTTTCAAGTAAGTCCTAGTCACTTGTTCACTTGCCAGTTGAAGATCGTATAGAACGAAATGATAAGTACTGGTATGCGTTGAGTGTGAGAAGTTCCCAATAAGTCTTTCTAATTTTAAATTAAAGAATAATGACCATTTTCATACTGAGGGTGATTTCGGTGATAGTGTTATTTTATCTGATCTTTCGGACACTAGTGTACAAGTGAATGTTTTTTAATGAAATGCGATAATTTCATAAAACCCCCTTCATATACCAATATCAAGGCTGTGCATGTTATGGATGTTTATGGCCGAAAATTACATGAAATGCTTTTTCATATGTTTAATGAAAACTAAATTTTAGAACAAATATACAAAATTAATTATTTCATTTTCTCTTTATTGCGTTACGAATTTTAAATGTTAAACACTCTAAGGGCCGCACTAATTTGAGACCGCATGCGGGTCACGTTTTGCATAGCCCTGCTTTAAAAAGTTATTTGTACAAAAAAAGCAAGGATCTTACGAAAATTGTTTGTGTTAATTTCAATGAACATAACAAAACTTTTTAGGATCTGGTGAACAATATATAACTAAAAGAAACTGATGAAAAAGACATTTTGATGATACTACTAGAAAACAACTACTAACTGCAAGAAAAATATAACGAAGGGATATATAATAAATCGGAATTAATCGATGTGTGTTTACCTTAAAAGAAAGTTTTGGTACACTGCTTAATTTCTAAATAAAATGGTCATTTTTTTTAATATTGTACGGAACCGTTGGACGCCTCTCAGAGTATAGTGGAAATAATGTGTTAGACATGTCGATATAACTGATGCGTGCGTCAATGAAGCGATGAGCGACAAGGGAGGGCGCTGGTCCACTATAAGCCGAGCGGGTGTCGGTTGTCTCGGGGCTGATGGCTCACGGTGTGTGTTGTGTGTAGCGGGGGCGGAGCGCCACGGGGCCGCGACATGTCCGGGGGCGTCGGCCCGCGCCGGTACTAGCCGCCACTGACCACGAACTTCAGGACCACACGTCTATAGTCTATAAGTTAATTAGAATTATGTCAATCGTTTTTTAATTAAATAAATGAGAACAATCAAGACGAATCGCCTTCATTTTGTAACAAACCTTATGTTGTTGACGTAAGACGCAGATTAGGTTAAATCAATTATATGATGTTGACGTTCTTCCCTAGAAAAAATGTAAAAATATACTTGTTTCAAAATGTAATTGTCTATCTGTGGAATTAAAATCGTTAATGAATCGAAAGTTTTCACTTATATATACACATCCCCGACAATAATCTGCATGTTTTGTTAGTTGCCCCGTTCAGCTTCCTCTTCGTTGCTTTACAACGGGTGTTTTTTAAGCCCGATAGAACTTGAGAGACTATATATTAATCTGAAAGTATGTAGAGAATTGTTTTATTAGTGCAAACGATACCGTGGCGTTAAATTTGAATATGATTTCGGGCCATACGCCACCGGCTATTCTTGACGATGCGTATCTATTTAGACGTCCAATTGCGATTCACTATTTCCAACACTGCCGACCGGTCGTCCCATATAACATATTAGCAATTTAGCGTCCAAGCCGTTAAGGACAAAATATTGACTTGAAATATAACCTAACCCCACAAGATAAGCAGTGGATTCAAATTGCACGACCTCGGAAGATCATAACCCATAAATTTATTATTACGTGTCTGCGTAAAGCTTTCTTGTTTAAACAATCACAAGTCCGCATCAATGTCGTTCTAATAAAACAAACCCAGTGACGCGAAATCTGGCCTAGTTATTTAGAAAGAAGGACTAATGATATTACGCACTATGTAATCCGCTCCTAATTGATATTTCTGGGCTTAACGAGAATCTGCGGTCTCTTGTGGATTGGGCGAGCTCTTAAGCCCAAAATTGACTCGAGTTTTTGGATATAATAAAAACGGGTCAGTTTCAAATTGTTCTAAAAATCGTTTCGCTCTGGTTTCGGTACCAGCCTGGGGATATTTACGCTTAGAAAGACAGATTGCGTAAAATTTACCACGTATTAGTCTGAGAACGATTATGATACATTTTGTTCATCGTTTACGCTTTTGTTTATGTATTATCTTAATTACGTACATTAATTTTGCGGTTTATTTAAATTATTGCATCATTATAAAGCGGTGTTGTTGTAATCTATGTACAGCTCAAGGTATTGCTTGCTCGGTAAATGGACGGATTACATGCGCCTTTTAAAATTACCAATCGTCAAGTAGCGCGAATAATCGTTTGATCTTAAACTCAATTTAGATTATATAGAGTAGCATCGCTCAAACGTCAGCATATTCAGCATGGTTTGTCGGAGTATGTCGATAGTGACCGGTCTCTCTGAGGACAGTTATGACACGTTTTACGGTTAACGCATTTAAGTTCTATCTCAGCAAAAAAAACACCCATTGCTTGGTTGTGGTAATATTACATTAAACTGATTACAGTGACTATTCGTATAGTTATATAAGGGATGCGTTCAAATAATACTTTTCACCTATAAAATAAACTAATCTTAAATTCTATCTTTCGATATTAAAACGACTGTACCCACAAGATCGCTTCAAATATTTCTATAAGCCGTTTGGTATAAATATATTACAAGGGCATACGTTGATTACCTACCAACTTTAGAACAGAGGACGCATCCCAGATTTCTGCTTATGAAACAGATTACAGAGCACTTGATCATTTAGAACGATACGTTTACGAGATTTGGACGGTGTCATGCGGAAGTTACTATGGAATTAGAGCCTTTATCGCAATGAAACAACACAATACACGACAAACATTCACATTAACATTCTCGTCAAGGATATTGCAAGGCGGCCGTTGATAAATCGGTTTAAATACAGTTTTAGTTCGTGAAAAATCAAAGGACGTTAGCGGAATCGAATACTATAGTAATTTACGGATAATTTTGGGTCTTGGGCGATATACAGTGACACGTCCGGTCCTTTGGAGTGTCAGCGTGGAAGTCTTATTGTTTACCCCAGTGTCTAATCCTCGTTGGGATATGAGGACACCAATTGTCATATATATATTGTTACAAAACAGACCCGTTGCTTATGACGTTATCCACGCATGGAACATATCGATAGAAATGACGGTACGGCACTACGCGTTGATGTCTGAACTCATAAACAATTCAACGTAAAAACGGGCGAATTTATACAAAAAAAAAACGGGCACGCTAAACCGCATAGTTTCTATAAGCGTTTTGTGTTGTAACGATAAAGGCTCGTGGTGCGTGTTCTACGATCGTTTCGGAATGCTCTGTAATCTAATTTGACTAACGGCGTTGAGCGTCGCCTGTGCGTCCCAGAGTCCTTTCAGATAGTTAGTGGCGGATCAACGTTCGGGCGGCGATGCGTACTCGATGCTAACAGAAGCCTTACGCACTAAATAGGCGGCGACAGACGAAGACACAGGAAAACGTATACACAAATTGTAAGTACGGCCATCGAGCAACGTAAAGTGTGCGCTCAAATAAAACGGTGATCGAATACGCAGTTGTACAGTCACGTCGAAAACGTTACGTCTTTTACATTCTGACTATCAAAAGAAGTTATACATTACGAATCGTAACGGCAATAGTTTGCAATTTTTGACGTGACAACGTCTTATAATTCGTTGGAGCCGGCTGCACGCACGAAAAAACATGAATCGTGCGGCGTTACCTCGCTCTGAGGCGTATTTTCTTATGACGTTGTCACGTTCAACTATCGTCAGTAAACCGACTTTACAGACAACCGATTTTTGATTGTGACATCGACAGTACCATAAAGAATCGTAATGTTTACGGGCTGTTGTTTTTGTTTGGCGTCGATCGATAACAAAATTTCGGGTTATTGTTTGTTAACAGATATTATTATGTTTACAGGCAATGGTTGGCCGGATGAGATTGTGAGCGTCCATCAGTTGTGGCAATGGACCAGGACTCTTATGATTCAATGCACCCTCGAGGCTTCAAACCTGTTACGTCGTAATCGGTTTTTCGAGTGGACAATAAATTTGTTGTTAATGTGGAATTTGTGTATTTATTTTTCAATCATCCCTGTTTTAGAACATTAGTCAGGTAACACAAGTGAAATTCAGAAAAGCGAATTGCATTACCGTTTTTTAAGCTATTGCATAGATTATATCGCGGGCCTTGAGCGCGGCTTGAGAGCGGAATCATGAAATTCCGTAACGAAAAAAACCTTCATCCCTCACTGCGCCTACTATGTAGCTCGCGTTCAACACATTCACACGTTGCGCTTGTGTACTGTTTAAATTAAGAAGTCTTAACACCTATTTATGTACTATCAAAATATGTGATATGATTTCGTGGGTAAGACAACGATAGCGCGATTCAGCTTTTGCGTCAAGCGCCATCTATCGGCGACAAACGGAATTGTAAAATAGAAAATTATATCACATTAAAATGCGTTGGGCGTGCCATTTTCTATCGCTTAGTCGAAGAATTTTATTACTACTACTACTACTCATTCAGTGATTGGAGTGGCATTAAAAATAAACTAGCTAAACCGTTGATTCTGGGCGAATGAGAGTTAGAACTAGCATCCAAAGGCGTGTCTCTATCCCATGTAGCGCCCTCTAGTGAGTGCGCGGTCAAAATGGAATACTCACAATGTAGCAGATTCATTGAAAGTTAGCCCACTGAGCTTCTCGCCGGATCTTATTTTATTGTTGTTTTAATATTAAATTGTTATTGTCGATTTATAATTGCATAAGTTGATAAAGAACGCTATGCAATAGCTTTACCGCGGCAGTCTCCGAATGCCACACGTCTTTTTTTAGATGCTTTAGACTGTAGTGCTCACAGTTGTGTTTTTAGAAGTCCACAAGACATAATAGCGGGCGTGTAGCCTAAAAGCTTGAGACGTGAGGTCGAAAACGAATTGTGATAACAGCGTTCCCATCCTCCCAAACCGAGACGCGTGTTGCTTCGCGGCTGAATTACGCATATCGCCGTCTGAAGAATTGCTATTATTACTTTGCTCCTGGACGAACTGTTCTCGTCATGATGGAAACCCTTCATGCTGTAACTGTAACTACAGCTATATAGTATTTGCGCCCAATGAAGCACTCGCTCAATATATTTTTTAACAGAATGAAGAGCTTCTGGGCAAGCGTCATTTAAATAAAAACAATAAAATATTTCTCAATATTTAATCAGCATCTTTCAAAAAGCATAAATGTAATCAATATATTATAGATTTGAGTTGAATAATCGATTTGAGATTCACTAAAAGTCAAAATTTGTACTGAAACAAATAAAGTTACAATAAATTGGAAATGTTATCTATGGCACCGGTCATGGTAACATTGCGAATTACAATTAAGCCAAAATGAAAACGTCTATACACATATCTATGAAAATACTGCTTTGTTAAATTACAGACACATTCTTGCTTTGCGCTAAAACTATGTTCCGAGTTGTTCTATGCGTTTCAAACAAAATAATAATTCTATGATAAAGACGATCGCAGCGTTCACATTGTGCTTCGGCAATTACTACTGGGGTGGGGAGCTTTGGATTGAGGTCGACTCGTAATTAAAGAATGCATTTAAATATTTTTTTGTAGTAGATTCGACATTTCATATTCTTACGTACAATAACAAGACGGCACATTTATCTGTTTTATTTCATGTAATTATCAGAATTAAGTTTTAAACAACAAAAAAATTCCAGAATTTATTTATTTGTAATTTTTTTTTCATTCCAAAAATATATTTTTTTTTACATCAGATATAGTAATAACCTTATTCGATTCACGCGGCATACAGTAAAACTTACAATTATAAAATAAATTAAAAACAACCAAAATAATAAGTCGAAGGACGGCAATTCTTGAAATATTTTTTTTAAATCCAACAAATAATAATACTTAAATTTAACTTAATAGATTCTTTTAAATGATAAATTTTTAATATAAATATTCCTTTTTCATATATTATTTTGTGTTAGTGAATATTATGTGCAAGAGAGTAACGACTAGCATTGTGTGTCAAGTTCTTATAGATACCTAGTTTAGTATTTCTATATAAATATTTGAAATCATGCAAAATTTGTATAATACAAAAACTGGAATTTTTTACATAAATGCTAGAGATCTAACAACGATCAACTATTACAATATTAACCAGATATACTCGAGACAACCGCTAAATAATAAAATGCATAAATAAAAATAATTAAATACATAAGCACCCTCAAAAAATTTTAAATTTGAACTTTTAATTTTTCAAACAAATGTAGGAAAATATAATAAAACACAAAAACATTTTTATAGATAATTTAGGAGACTACAAATGCCACAATATACTTAGTGAGGAACACGAATAATATGTTCAAACTCGCTACAAATATCTATTTTATATCAAAAAATTGTAATTTCGTTGCATGTAAAGCTAGCGTTTAAGGCATGTAGTAATATAAATAAATACTCTTCTAATTTATACTTTTCGATAAAAATAAATACAATTTTCCATGAATCTACACGAATATACTTGTCTATGTAATATACTTTACGCATTACAAGTGTTTACAAAAATAGTTTTCAGGCAAAATGTTGAAATTTAAGTCAGCATCAAATATACGAAAGCTAATGAATAAATACTCTAAACAATTAATACTCATCATTAAGATTTAGAATCACAATTACTTGTATTATTTCTGACGTAAGTACCGCCGACTTGTAACATCCGTCCCGATGCCCCTAAGTGACTACAAGTGACGTCACTGATCGCAGCACCTACTCCGTGGTAACTATAACTTGACTAAGTAACCTCATATACTCTACATCCATACTAATACTATAAATGCGAAAGTGAGTTTGTCACGCATACACGCCTCAACTGCACGAACGGTCCTAGTTACGCGCGCACATTGTCAGAAAAAGCCACTGCACATTCACAAAAAATTATACTATTCAAGCGGTTTTTCTTTGTATATTAACGCGAATGAAGCCGCGCTTAAAATTTAATATAAATATTATTGATATTTCAAAGATAATCCATCTATGTAAGTACATGAATTGTGTTTAAATATTAGAAGAATCTCGCATGTTGTCCGCAGGAGGCAAGTCTCGCCTTTGTGAATAATCGACTTTACCCCCTTTATTCGTTAGTACAAATTAATATGAAAATGTTTTAGATTAGTCTACAAATCCTAATAGTTTTTTAGATAGAGACAAGCAACGACAGCTGTTAGGCGTATTTCTACCTTTGGTTTTTATACAAACTTCATATTTACAACACTGACCACTGTGTTAATTAATTGGGACTAGAGTTCAGGGTAGTTTGATAATTACCTACCCGTCCGCCCTCTCGCGGCACGAATGCGCATTAATAAATTTTTATCAAACACAACACACACACACTATTTTCTAAACTGATATCAATTTGAGATTCCTTCCAGCTACGTTGTTACACAATTGAGAGGCGCTAAAATTTTGGGTCAACGTAACTTTCAGTTACATCCCCGCTTCGATTTTAAGAGACCCATGTTTGAACCTAGAAATTAAATTTAAATTACTGGTTTATTGCAATTTTCTGAACACATATATTGCCAGTATAATAAAAAAATATTTTCAGTGTTGCCTGCAGACCCATATTTTGAAAACGCGGCTAATTTTATATTTATCATTGTATGTTATGACCTCGCGTATTTGAGAGCTTGCGTGAAAGGTTTTTCTTCTTTGAGTGACTCTTTTAGGACGATGTCGGAGCTCGGGAGGGGGGTCGGGGAGTGCTCTCGATCCTCCGGTTCTGAACGGCTTTGGGAGTCAATTGATGGTCTGTAATAATAAAATGAAAATAAAATTAATGTGATTGTATTTAGTAACATCCTTTAGTATAGCAGTCGACAGAGGTCGCTTTGATCCTTTGGCGGGAATGTAAAGCGTGACGTTGCTGTGTTCTTGGCAATTCGCCATTTTACCAGTTTACTGCTACATTGAGGTTCAAACCAATGATAACGGTGACCTATTAACCTAGAAACACATTTGACACGGTTTCTTAGACTCTCCTAAAAAGTCTGCTACGTCTCATTGAATTTTTGTCGTTCCACGCACACGTTAATGATGAAATTCAGTTCAAAAGGTCGAGTAACCAATGACCGTACAATAAAACAAACAAAATTTATACATGATAGTGGACTTTTTGGCGGGAACGCGAGGAGTGAAGTTGTGTGATTTGTTTTATTTTATCTATTAGGTGTCTCTTCAGGTTTAAATGTGTAATAACGGTGGTTTATTAACTGTTAAGTATCTGTGAAAGTGCACAAATGTGGGAAAATAAAACAAAACCGCTGGACGTAACTTCTCGAGATCCTCCAAAAAGTCTCTGAGATTATATTATTATTTCATCCCATATCATCTCATTTTATGCCATGCCATATTTCATATTAGTCAACATCATTTAATTTGACTTCGTATTATCATTTTTCATAAATAAAAAGGTGATAGTGAAGTTTTCATTCAAATTAAAATAAGAATTGACCTAAAGGTCTTAGTTACCCGGTCATAAAACCCCTTAAAAAAATACATGAAAGTATTTAAAGTTTGTTCCTTTTTCGTTTTATATATTCCATTCAAACCGAATTACTGCTTCACGGCAGAAATAGGCAGGGTGGTGGTACCTACCCGCGCGGACTCACAAGAGATCCTACCACCAGTAAAAAGCGTTTCAAATGGCAGCCGCACTAGTGTAAAATTTGGCCCAAGGTTGTTCCTATGCACCTGTAGCGGCGGCTGCTGGCCGGCACGAGCGCGGCGAGGTGCCGCAGCAGCGCGTGCCTCTGCGGGCGGCACGCGTCGCCCTCCAGCCTGTCGGGCGGCATGTCCACGCACAGCTGGCACCGGGACTCGCCCAGGAACTTGATCGTGTACTTGTCAGTCTTCAGCACCAGCAGCAGGATCTCCTCGAGGTCGGCTTCGCTGCGGAGCGTCAACGGGTATTGGTTACTAAATTATTGGTCGCGCTATTTTAAGGTGGCATTTTTGTCTGGTGGCAGCAGATTTTGGTTTGACAACGACGAAATATGCACTTTCGTTTCGAAAGGTGGATAAGGTAGAGCTGAAGACCGGGCTCAGTGGTGTGGAGTGGGAGAGGCCTATGTCTCACAATGAACGACTGTGGCCTGATGATGATGATAATGATTCTTGATGACTTTTTTACAGGTGGTAGGACCTCTTGTAAGTCCGTGCGGGTAAGTACCACCGCCCTGCCTATTTTGACCGTGAAGCAGTAATGCGTTTCGGTTTGAAGGGTGGGGCAGCCGTTGTAACTATACTGAGACCTTAGAACTTATATTTCAAGGGGGTGGCGCATTTACGGTTGTAGATGTCTATGGGCTGCAGTAATCATTTAACACCAGGTGGGCTGTGAGTTCGTTCACCCATCTAAGCAAAAAAAAATTAGAATTTTTTTTATTACGAAAAATTGTAAATTAAAAATTATTAGTAGAAAAACTTCGATCAACAATACAACTGATCGAAGTAGAAAAAATATGACGTTTGGTTGCTCTGTAGCGGTTTAAAGTATTCGTAGCGTCGGTAATGGTGTAATGAACTCTCAGACACAGCCCACTGAGTTTCTCGCTGGATCTTCTCAGTGGGTCGCGTTTCCGACCCGGTGGTAGATTCTGCGAAGCACGACTCTTGCTAGGGCCAGTATTAGCATTGTCGTCTGGTTTGAGCCCCATGAGCTCACCTACTAGTTACGGTTACGCTGAAATAGCCTCTCAAGGCTACCAGCTTAGGTAGGAAAAAAAAAGGTGTAATGACAATAGCACACGCGAGCTCAAACCGTAAACGTAGTCTCGAAGTAAGGTTACCTGGCGGAGGACAGGAACTGCGCGAAGTGTATGTTGGAGACGCGGCCGGCGCGGTCCTCTGCGTCGGTGCAGAGGTCGGTCTCCCGGTGGTACATGTACAGGAAGTCGTTCAGCTGCTTGGCGATCACGGCGCAGCGGTCCTTGTCGCACATCTTGGCGGGCGGGCCCTGCGGACGCGGCGGGGGGTTGGGGAGAATGCACACGGCTACATGTACTCCAAGTGGACTTTTCCGGCATTCAAGGCTTTAATGCTCTTTGGTTTTGCGAAAAGCCAAAACTAGTTGTGGCCAAATCAAGCAAATCTTTTGTTATTTTTATTTCTTGGATCGGTGGACGAGCTCACAGCCCACCTGGTGTTAAGTGGTTACTGGAGCCCATAGACATCTATAACGTAAATGCTGCCACCCACCTTGAGATATGAGTTCTAAGGTCATAAGTATAGTTACAACGGCTGCCGCGCCCTTCAGACCGAAACTCATTACTGCTACACGGCAGAAATAGGCAGGGTGGTGGTACCTATCCGCGTGGAGTCACAAGAGGTCCTACCACCAGTAATTACGCAAATTATAATTTTGCGTGTTTGATTTTTAGTACACGATGTGAATCGGAAATAGCTGTATTTTTAAGAGAAAAAAAGTGAATATTATCAATAAATGTACACTAAAGGAGACGGAAAATCGTGGGCCAAAAATGTAATTACTTGGAATGTAGTCTAAAAAATTTGTCATATTTTTTTATATAAGAATATAAAAAATCACCTCAATCCTTTTTCTGGGACCGGAGAAAAATGAGAAAATTAGTTTTTGTCGGTTTAGCGGTGTGATCGATTTAATTAATCGATTACAGGATTATAAAAAGAAAAACATTGCACTAGGTAATTAATGCAAAGTAATTAAATGAGCGATTTATACTTGTTGTATACATGTGCGGTATACGCCAGATTTAATTGCGATTATATACATAAATGAAGAAAAAGTCTATTATTACTTAACAAAGTAATAGGATTATCGATTTCAAATCGATTGAAATCGATTGTATTTTTGATGACATCTTTGACAGTAAGCTGACATGACGTTTGTTCATAGATTATCAATGAAGTAGGAAACCTATGGAAATGAAACGTCAACCAAAATTTCGTGCCACTGTGACGTCATCTGGCCACAAAACATGGCGGCTTTAGTGCTGTACAAAAGATTTCAATGTTATCAGGTTTTATCGATAAACGTTCTTGGCTCATTTTATTTTAAATATTGTTGAGTATTATTTATTTGTAGAATTTATACTTTAATGGGAAATAAGTAGGTATATTGTTATGTGCAAATATGATATGATTTAGATGGGTGAAATCTAAGACTAGTTCGTCCTTCGTATTTGCCAAGTAAACGATATGTTGATTTTTAAAAGCTGCTACACTGATTTTATAAAGTTGTCGTTTGTCGCAAAACATAAAGATATGGCGTAGTTCAAAGCCATCAGCCCATTTCTAGCATGCTAAATGTTATCGTATTTTGAGTACGTGTTTTTCTTAGACTAT